ATGTTAAAATTATAAATTTAAATTTAAACTCGGCTATATTCAAAGATAAAGTAAAGAGGAGAAGAATGTAGTAAAAAAATAATTTTTTTGTTTATATTAAAAATTCTTATGTCGGCTTCCTATTTTCTAAAAGCTTAAAAAATATATATTTTTTCCAAAGTATCACAAGGGATTTATTTGCCAGTGTTCAGGGGGCCCTCCTTTCCACTTTGGAGTTATTTCCTAAAATTCTTTTTATTTTTTTCAACCAAAAAGGGCAAAAATATTTTTTCTAATATTTGATATATTGTTTTGTTTTTGTTTTTTGGCGCCGGAGGCGCTTCTTGGCTCTTCCTCCATATATATTTTTTAAATGAATGGCTTTGTTTTTGCCATTTTTTCAATTTTTATATATTTTTTTTTTAACTCCAGACAAATAAATCATGTGATATCAGATGTACTTTTATTTACGGATACTTTATTTTAGTGTCCTTATTTGATTTATTATTTTTACTATTTTTTGGGGTTACTGTAGAAATTTTTATTTTACACTAGATGGGTTTTTATGCACTAGAAATACAAAATATGCACGAAAATATGCCGAAAAATATAATTTATACCTAGAAATTTTACTTATTTTTGTTATTTTTGCTTATTATTTTTGGCAATTTCATTAATGTATAATTTTACTTTTATTTCAGGTCAAAATATTCAAATCTAATTTTCATTACTATTACTCCATTTTTTTTAATTTATAGTTCGACAAATTGATTATTTTTACTCCGTTGGACATTTTGAGATGGGACAATTTGTCATTTTATTTTAAAATAATAATTTTATTAATAAACTCCCTATATTATGCTTATAATATTGCTTTTTGTCCCCTAATTTATTTTCTTAAAATTTCCACTTTTTTACTTGTTTTTGGTTCTCTTCTATTTTTGTTGCCGCTTATTTATTTTTATTTTCTCATTCTATTGTATTTTTTTGGAAGGAAAGTGAAAAATTATTAGGATGGGCCAAAACTTTAAAAAATTTATGTTAATTAGCACCTGCCTTTCTTTCTATTCTATTTTATCCTTATTATAAACATTATTTATTTACTATTAAATCTCATTTCCCCAACTAAAAATATTAAAAAAATATATTTTCCTAAATTTATCATTGGGTCTCGCTATAAGATATACCCTCTTTTTAAGATACCTTTCCTAAAATTTAATTATTCTCCGGGGTATAGTCACATTCTGGTTAATTTCCCTTATTTAAAATACGCCTCATTATAAGGTGCGGTCTTTTCCCGGGTGTATCTTATAGCGAGGTCTGACCGGTAAATCTATTTTCTTCAACAATGCACTTATTCCTTTGTTTTACTTTATTCTTTATTTCTGCTTCTACCTCCTTTGACGAACCCCCCGGCATTTTTCTTGGTTGGGAGTTGGCTGATACTAGTGATCATTGTCCTGGTTGCCCTTGGTTTTGTTATCACCCAATTGGGTAGGTTTGAAAAAATACTAAAACATTTGAATCGGCTTTCACTTCGGTGAGAAAAACCCCTTTTTGTTTGTAGTTCATTAAAAAATTTTCTTGGAATTTATTGGAAATTTCATTTTACGGATTTTTGACCTTATATTTTAGTAAAAATTTCGATTTTCAACGATTTTTTCCTTCCTATTTAAAATTTGCGATTTTTGTGATAGAATTTCTTTCGGTTTCAAAACACCTATATTACTAACACAATGCATATAAAACCAAGAAAATTTTTCCACCTGGGTAAAATTCCGTCATATCACCTATACTCCGATTCGACACTCAAATCTACTCCTTCTTACCTAAACTCTCTTTTAAGCTTTATCGAACCAACCTACTGCTCTGAGACCCCGCTTGAACATCCTCCTTCACTTTCGTGTCCTTTTGACTGGATTACTGTGTCTGTGCTTTTTACCGTCGGTGTTGTCCATTCAATTGTTCTTGGTGTTATTTTGTATTTTGTTGTTCGTTTTAACCGATATTTACGTCGTCATGTGCCCTTGACGACAATTCCATTTACTGCTGCTCGACGACTTCGAACCGTTGGTACCCGGGCCCCGATGGAAGAAGTTTCACTCGAATGGGCCAATAATTAATATTTTTAAAGAATTTTTAATTTTTAAAGAATTTTGAATATTTTTTAATAATTTTTAAATATTTGTTGAATTTTATTTTAATTTTAAATTTTTCCATTGTTCGTGCAGTAATTTTTTATTTTTTGTTAAATTTTTCAATTTAATAATTTCATTTTTGGCTGTGTGGTTAGCCTAGGACCTCCATTTGTAAGGGTTAGCACTGGGGACTTTATGAATAAACAAATAAGAAAAACATTTCCAATTAAATTTTATTTCCGAAAATTAAATATAATGTTGGCGAGCGTGGTTCCGCCAGCAAAAGCCAAAAAGAACAATAGGGGGAAAAAAAAGGAACCACTAAAAAGAGAATATAAAGCTTTATATCTTTCTCAAAGTGGGAGGAGTTTCTTTTCCAGTCGAGAGTGATGTATTACAGGGGCATCAAATCATAGGTGGGTGGTAACTAGGAAATTTTGGTTAAGGGCCTATTGTGTTCCCATAAATATTTTTTTTTGGGGTTCTCTCATCTCCTCTCTAAATTACCTATTTGATTTGTCCTTTACGTGGCTACTTTACCCTTTACCTTGGTGTTGCCTGGTACAAAGCAACCCCCTAGTATGCTTTGATGTCTTCACTGCTTCTATGAATAATTATTCTATATCTTTTAATTTTCACAGATCTTCATCTTCTTCAAGCAGTTCATCATCCTCCGATTCGTCCTCTTCAAGTTCTTCCTCTTCAGCTTCTGAAGAAAAACTTGGAAAATCATCATCATCAAAAAAGCATCAGCAGCAACAACATAAACCTTCACTTACAGCTTCGTCAGTTTCTTCATTAAAAAATAAAGGAGGAAATGTTGAAGTTCACCACCATTCTTTGGATAAATTGGTACGTGAAATAAGCAGTGCTGAAAGCGATGAAGACAAGAAAGTTTATTCAAACAATTATAATAGCAGCAATAAAAAGAAAATAAAGAGAGAAGTAAAGGAAGAGATGTTTGATATGGATGAATTACAGCAACAACAACATAAACACCCTTCAAATTCGTCGTATAAGGAAATTTGCAATAATAATAGTATTGAGGTTAAAACTGAAGCAAAATATGTTGATGAAGGTAAATTTTTATTTTTAATTTTTTTGTTGATAAATTAAAAGGGGTTTTGGTTCATGACTTTTTATGCTCTTAAAAAAGTTTCGCAGGCTTCATGTGTAATTTACCTGTGCTTACCTATTTATTGTAAAATGATTTTGAAAATCTTCGATTTTTTTGAAATGCTTCACATCTCTAAAGGAAGCATGGGTGTGTGTTGGGTTACTCAAACACTTTTTTGACCCGAAATCCGAAACTCGGTTCAATAAATTCTCGAAAACCCCGATTTTAAACTTGACCAGACTTTTCTCTCAACACGTAACATCCCTGTTTAGTAGTACTTTATTTGATAAAATAAATCGTATAATGTGTGGATAAAACTTGCGAGCTTTAGAAAGCGTAAGGGAAAATGAATGACCCCGACCCGATTCAACTAATAAATAGAATATTTTCAGTGACAAAAGGAGATAAAATGCAACAACAAGCTAGTAGTAGTAGTAGCAGTACAAAACGTCGCGAGCAGCTTCTTCGCAAATTGCAAAATGTAGAACAAGCCATTGCTAGACAAAAGTCCTTATTTTAAATTTATTTTTTAATTTTAATAATTTTTTAATGAAAATTTTATTAATAAAATTTTTTGTAGGCAAATGAAAAGAGAAGGTGGTAGTAATAATGTTACTGCATCTTTAGATGAAAAAAGGTCAAAATTGTCTTCAACTAGTTCAAATTAATTTTTATTTTTTTTTAAATTCTTAAGCGTGGTCTTACCTTGCTATGAGATACGCTCTTGGGGTTTAACTGTTGTCTCTTATAATGAGTTGTGTCTTAAATAGGGGGCAGGGAGATTGGGCATCTACCCCACCCATTGTCCAGCCTAACTTTTTAAAGGTGCCTCTTAGAGGTGTGTGTCTTCTATAATAGGTGCCTATTAAATAGAGGTGTCTCTTATAATGAGTGTAACTTGAGCAGAGGTGTCTCCTATAATGGGTGTAACTTAAATAGAGGTGTCTCTAATAATGGGTATATCTTAAACAGCGGTGTCTCCTATAATGGGTGTGACTTAAACAGAGGTGTCTCTTATAATGGGTGTAACTTAAACAGAGGTGTCTCCTGTATCGGGCGTATCTTATAGTGAGGTCTGACTGTTATTCAAATTTGATGGTATTCGTAATGATATTTTGATTCTTGGGTTCTTGTTAGACTTTTAAAAGTAAATTGCCCTTTTTTAATACTGTTTGGGATTTTTCGAGAAGCTAAAATTTCATTAAACAGTTAAAAATTTGGGCAATTTTACTTTATTCTTTATTCGTAAGAATTAATTCTTGAGCTAAACCAAATATATTTTTAATATAATAATTTTCAATGGGAACAAACGACTTTGCAGTTATCCAAAACAGAGTTAGTCGACGACTATTTTACCATTTTTTTTCTCTTATGTGTTGTCGAAAGCTACATATTCGGCTTTTGAGAACACTCGACTTTCAAGTACACGATAACCAATTTTTTTCAAAAGTTTTTCCATTAATCTTTTCGGCCAAAATCTATCTATGTCTTAAAGTTAATGGAAAGTATCCTCTAAAGTCGTGCTACATGAATAGGAGAGATAAACGGCGAAAGGGTCGCCGGCTAACTTTGTTTTTGGAGGACCTTTTGACATTATTATTTTTTATTTATCTTTTAATTTTTTTTGTGATATACATATATTTGGATGTAATGAATAAATAATTGGAAAGCACAAAATTTTGGTTTTTAAAATCTTGTTTTGAAAAGCAAACAATTTTTCTTTAATTATTTTTCTATTTTTTCTGTTTAATTTTTAATTAAATATATTTTAGGATGGAAAATAGTTTAGGTACTTATGGGGATGCTCGTATTAAAATATTCAATTTTGAAAAGCACAAACGTAAGGAGCGTCCAATACGTCGAAAGGCACCAGAGAATTTAATAAGGAGAGCTGGTGGGTTGAAACGTTGCACTGATTTGAAGTGATTTTTTAAATTTTTTACCAGTTCGATCCCGGTACACCTTTGGGGCTGAGTAAGTCGCTTATGATGAGGTGTATCTAAAATATTCTTGGGTTCCTCATCCAGTGACTAACCAGATTTCAATGAGCGTTCCTTAGCTTGTTGTTTATTGTAGTGGGCTGTAGCTCTAAATGAGGGGTATAGTTTTGTCAACTTGTCCCTCCAATGACCAAATAAATTTAAAGAAACGTACATTAAATTGAGGTGTTCTACTATTGGGAGGGTCTTATATTGAACTTTAGCTTATAACGGGAGGTAGCTTTAAATGTGGTGTATCTTTTAGGCAGCCCTTCTGCCTAGTGGACAGCTAAATTCTAAAAAGACGTATCTTAAATGGAGGTGTCTTTAGCATTGGGGTACCTTGTACTTAGACCCGACTTGTTGATTTTCTAAATAAAAGCCCATATTAAAAAAAATAATTTAAAAGGTATGAAAAATTGGTGCCATTATATCAACTTTGGGTCTCGTATTTCAAGTCATTACTAGCCCATTGTAATGAACAATTTGATGAACGCTTGTTACGAATGGATTTTCATGGTGCAATTTTAAGAGTGTCTGATTCTCCCAATAAAACACAGGTGCTTTTTAGAATTTTTCTCCTTCCAAATTAAAAATAGAGGGGCTTCCGGAGCCATTGTGATACGGATCTAATGAAGATTCACCTAAAACCCTTAGGCGTGGGTTTAAGTTATCTACAGGGAAGGAAAAATTTAATGTAATGGAGCCCCTGTGGCGCTATTTTCAACCATCCCACAAGAGAGGGGGGGGGGGTATTAAACTGAAGTGCTTTATAAAAGAGATGGGGGGGGGCTTATTAAATGAGAAGTTTTAATACAAAATATACGATATATTTTGATTGCCCTAGTAATCAATCAATTTTCAGATTGGTCTCTATGGCATTGTACTTCACGAATCAAGATCAACCTTTCAAATGATTACTAAACGTGATCGTGTTATTGGTAGATAATTTTCCATTTTTCTGATTATTTTTAATATTTTTTTAAAGTCATCCCTAAAGAGGACACCACTTTTCAATTTGTTGTAGCTAACAAAGTTTTTACTTTGTTTGGAAGTGCGTTGAAGCAAAGAAGTCATTTACGTGGGAAAAAGGCAAAAATGCCCAAAACTATTCCTTATTTGCTTGATTAAGTATTAAATTTTTTGTTGTTTTTTATCGTTACATTATTATATTCTGTGTAATATGTATACTAGAGGTGTGCCAAAACTGATTTTAAAATGTGTTGCGACAATTGAGGATACGCACTTGAGGATATGACGAATGAGGACGACAATTGAGGATCTGACATATGAGGACGACAAATGAGGACGACATATGAGGATATGCCAAATGAGGACGACAATTGAGGATTAAAATAATAATAAAAAACGGTGATCCTTGACCTTTTGAAATTCAAAAATGTTCGCCTGCGGCGCTGGAAAGATTATTTTTCATTTTTATCCTCATTTGTCAAATCCTCATATGTCGTCCTCATTTGTCGTCCTCATATGTCAGATCCTCAATTGTCGTCCTCAAATGTCGTCCTCATTTGTCATATCCTCAAGTGCGTATCCTCAATTGTCGTACCGCCTTTTAAAAAGGAGAAAGAAAACATTTAGAAAAAGAAAGTTGGCCACCCCAGCACACCCAGGGATAGACGGACGCCAAAATAGGCAAAAATATTTCCAAGTCGGCTCTCATTTATGTATAAGGTGAATGTGGGGGATAAGATTGGCAGATCCTGGGAAATCCTTGAATGTCCTGATCCTATATTAGATATCCAGTCTTTTTCGGATCCGTAAAATAAATTAGTCTTTCTAAGCTACAACAAATACCAGAAGATAAGTATTTGTTGCGAAACCAATTAACCTTCTAATTAATTCCAATTTTAATACAAATTGAAAACAATTTCCAAAGATTTATTTAAAAAATATATTAATTTTACAAAGAAGAATGAAGGAGAACTTAAGAGAGAGCTTATAAGAACTGATATTGTTATAAGATAGGGGATTTTATACAAACATAAAAGGTGTATATTTTAAGAGAGAGAAGAGAAAGGAAATGCTCGGGAAAGAGCAAAGTAACTAATTGTGTAATGTTTGGTAAAAAATTATATTAAAAATTAATAAAAATATAAATAAATAAAATTAATAAAATAAATAAATTTTATTTATATATTTTCCCTCGTTTTCACGACATCCGAATATCCGTGTCCGCCAACCTTGGTGTCCGCCAGATCTTTCGTAATATCTGTTATGAATTTAACACAGATAAAGATAATTATATTTATGACAACATGAAAACACTTTTTTCAACGAAGAACTTCAAACCATTTGATAACATCAAATCAACTGCAATGTCAGAATTTTGCAAACAATTCCTGAATGGTGCTACTGTTGAATGCAGTATTACAATGGCAAAAGATTGTTATAAATTAAGAATTGACAACATAAACTTAGCAACCTCACTTTTAACCAAAATTTTTAGATTTGTTAACATCACAGCCTTTACTCAATGCTAAATCTCACCGTCAAATTGGGCATCATCACCTTGTCGTAGTTCCGGAGGCGAAAAGATATGGGGATATTCTTGTTTTATATAATGGTATGATAAAGAAGTCTCTTAAAATTGCTGGACATGAAAATAAAAATCATTTTGTTCTTTTTGCCGATGTCAAAACATGTATTTTTTGCAAAAGGCAATTTGCAAACAATTGCCACTAATAAGTTAGAGAAAACAAAGCATATACTCAAGCCTGATAAAGTTTGGCGATATTTCGAGTAAGTTTTTGTTGGAGTTAGTGCTTATCTAACTTATAATCACTCCAGAATTATTACAATTGGAGCGATAACTACTCGAAATGTGGCTGATATAAAGTTTAAAGCAAGGGAAATGATATTGATATGCCGGAATATTAAAAAATATATTATCAGGTCGGAAATGCCTGAGATTGAGATATAGGTCCACGAAAATAGAAAAAATAGGGCGGACAAGCTATTTTTGGGCCATTTGACTTTAATCTGATTTCGAGACGAAATGAATGATATTTATACATATAAATCAAAACTTTCGAATGATATATAAATCAGTAGATTAAATTTACAATAAAATTAAATAATAGTAATTAAAATAATTTAAAATTTAAAAATATTTAAAATAAATTAAGCTTCAATATAAAGCCTGAAACAGATGTTTATTGCTATGATGTTCATCTATTTATTAATGAGTCTAATAAATGTTTAACTAAAAAATATGAGGATGAAGGAAAAGAGCAACTCTTTCGTAATATAATTTACGGACGCCTATAAAAATTTTTAAAAATATTTGTTAGGAATTCTTCCCGCTTCAATGTATTCATATACTGCCATTTCAACATGTATCTTTGGATACTATGTTGAATGCAGTATTACTATGGCAAAAGATGTTATAAATTAAGAATTAACAATATAAACTTTATTCAACTATTTTTATCAACAACAAAGTTGAATGGTGCAGGTTTATTTTATTTTTTTTTATTTATTTTATTTTTTTTATATATTTTATTTTTTATTTTCAATCAACTATTTTTATTCAACTATTTTTATCAACAACAATCAACTATTTCAACTATCAATTATATTTATGACAACATGAAAACACTTTTTTCAACGAAGAACTTCAAACCATTGATAACATTATCAAATCAACTGCAATGTCAGAATTTTGCAAACAATTCCTGAATGGTGCTACTGTTGAATGCAGTATTACTATGGCAAAAGATGTATAAATTAAGAATTGACAATATAAACTTAGCAACCAATTTTTCGATTTGTTAACATTACAGCCTTTACTCAATGCTAAATCTCACCGTCAAATTGGGCATCATCACCTTGTCGGAGATAATGGTATGGTAAAGAAGACTCGTAAAATTGCTGGACATGAAAATAAAAATCATTTTGTTCTTTTTGCCGATGTCAAAACATGTATTTTTTTGCAAAAGGCAATTTGCAAACAATTGCCACTAATATGTTAAACAAAGCATATACTCAAGCCTGATAAAGTTTGGCGATATTTCGAGTAAGTTTTTGTTGGAGTTAGTGCTTATCTAACTTATAATCACTCCAGAATTATTACAATTGGAGCGATAACTACTCGAAATGTGGCTGATATAAAGTTTAAAGTCAAGGGAAATGATATTAATATGCCGGAATATTACAAAATATATTATCAGGATATTGAAATAAGGCCGGATATGCCTGCAGTGCGCTATCTAATGAGTGAAGAATTCTTCCCGCTTCAATGTATCATATACTGCCATTTCAACATGTATCTTTGGATAAAATGGGATTAAATGACATTTCACCTGCCTCTACTAATACCAAAGTCACGGCAAGAGATAATTGATAAGAATATTAAATTAATTGGAATTTATCACATCAAATTTTTGAAAAGTTTTGGAGTAAAACTTTGTGGAAGCCAAAATACTGTTAGTATTGGTATGCGTAACTTCCTGCAATTCAAAATGGTCCATTTTTTGAATTTCTGGATAAAATTTCATGGATTGTAGCTTATAATAGAGTTCATTTGCCAGATATTAGAAAATTTGTTGAAACAATTATTGTGAAGGTTAGAAATATGGACTCATTCTACCTGTACCTGTATATCAAGAAGTGAAAGTTGATCAGATCAAATCATTCCTTCAAGAATGTAGAAATAATAAAATAAATATTTTATTTATTTTATATTTAATTTAAATTTATTTAATTTATTTATTATTTATTATTTTTATTTATTTTATTATTTATTAGTATTTATTTATTATTTATTATTATTTTTATTTATTATTATTATTATTATTTTATTTCATTTATTTAAATTTATTTAATTTAAAATTTAAATAATAAATAAAAATTTACATTGATAATCGAGGAACTGAGGGATCCCATGCAAAACTCAAACTTTATGAACGTCTATATAAAGTGATTACTCAACATATAAACTGATACTACTCTTAACTCGAGTCAAGAAATTAAAAAAGAATTGTTGAGAAAATAAATATGAAGTGATTTAAATATTGTGATTAAGTAATAAAATTATTTTTCAGGCTTTTTGGTTTGAACTATATGCCCGCCTTTAATCGCTTTACGTAAGAATTTTCTTTAATTTTCTGGATAAAATCGCACATATTTTCAGTATAATTTTTTAGTAAAAAATTATCACAAAAATTTCGTTTTTATCCGAAAAGCAAGGCTGTACTTTAGTATATTTTATTAAAATTTTAGCCAAACAAAGCTTGATATTGCAAGTGGAAAAATACTTGTACTCGGTATTTGTACTTACTTACCGGCTAAGCCCAATGCATTAGATAGATTACAACTGGTCAAGCAAGGAATGAAGGAATATTATTCAGAGGATCCCATAACGATTGGTGTATGTATAAAATTATATGTCAAATTTTGAATAAATTTTTCTTTTAATTATAAATATTATTTGATTTAATATTATATGATTTAAATTTAATTAAATTTAAATAAAAACTTTTTAGATTTGTAATAGTTTTTTATTAAGTTGACAACAGGGTAGTTAAAAATATTCCTCCGGTTATTAGCTTTTGATTTATTATACATATTAACAATCCTTGAACTGTCGCTTACTTTCTTTTTCTTTTTCTTTTATCTTTCATAAATCTTTTCACACTTAGTAATTACTAACATTTTTCTATTATGTGGGAAAATATTTTTTTCTAAAAAGCCTTTTTAACTTCTTATGAAAATAAAATATTATAAATATTTTTTACTTATTAAAAAGACTTTTTTTAATAAAATTGTAAAATAATTTTTTAATATTTCGATCATTTAGGTAATCTTGTCTCATTCCTAAAAATTGAAATTTTTTTTAAAATATTTAAAATAAATGTAAGAATAATTTTATAGATCTATGTGCATTTAGCATTATTTCATACCCTATTCTCGCTTATTATTGAATTTGTGGCTAACTTTGTGTTTCAATTTTATTGGAACCCAAATTTTCTTTATTTTTCCTTCTTTTCTTAAATGGATTACAAATGATTAATACATATTAAGATTGGCAGAGTCGGATTTGATAAAAGACCGGATACCCAGAAAATTACGGGTTGGATATTGTATCTGAATATTCGAAGTCTGCCAATTTATTAAGATTGAACTTTGCTCCATATCTTTTTAATTTTGTATTTTATATTTTCTCTTTTTGATCAGATATAAAATTAAAATTAATTTACAAAAGAATTTTCACTTTTATTTTGTTTCCTCTTCTTCATTTATATTTTTGTTAATTGTTATCTTATTTTTTATAAAAATTTTATAAATTATACTTTATTTTAAAGTATTTTTTGTTAATTTTCTAATATTAATTTAATTATTTAATATAAATTTAAAGTTTTTTTTATTTAAAATCATATTAGATTATTTTTTATTATTTTTATTTATTTTATTATTTATTATTATTTATTTATTATTTATTATTATTTTTATTTATTATTATTATTATTATTATTATTATTATTATATTTATTATTATTATTTATTATTATTATTTTATTTATTATTTATTAATTTATTTAATTTATTTAAATTTATTTAATTTAATTTAAAATTTAAATAATAAATAAAAATTTACATTGATAATCGAGGAACGGAGGGATCCCATGCAAAACTCAAACTATGAACGTCCATATAAAGTGATTACTCAACATATAAACTATGATACTACTCTTACCTCGAGTCAAGAAATTAAAAAAGAATTGTTGAGAAAATGAATATTTTGCTTTTTGGTTTGAACTATATGCCCGACTTTAATCGTTTTACCCGCACAGAGCTTGACATTGCAAGTGGAAAAATACTTGTACTCGGTGCTTGTATTTACTCACCGGCTGAGCCCCCACTGAAAGAAATTAGTCTTTCTAAGCTACAACAAATACCAGAAGATAAGTATTTGTTGCGAAACCAATTAACCTTCTAATTAATTCCCAATTTTAATACAAATTGAAAACAATTTCCAAAGATTTATTTAAAAATATATTAATTTTATAATTTTACAAAGAAGAATGAAGAACTTAAGAGAGAGCTTATAAGAACTGATATTGTTATAAGATAGGAGATTTTATACAAACATAAAAGGTGTATATTTTAAGAGAGAGAAGAGAGGAAATGCTCGGGAAAGAGCAAAGTAACTAATTGTGTAATGTTTGGGAAAAAATTATATTAAAAATTAATAAAAATATAAATAAATAAAATTAATAAAATAAATAAATTTTATTTATATATTTTCCCTCCTTTTCACGACATCCGAATATCCGTGTCCGCCAACCTTAGTGAGATATAGTAGGTGCATAGTATAGTTAGGGGAGGACAAACGTAAACACATAAATGAGACTAATACACAAATAAGGGTTTCTCGAACCAGGCTTTTTTTGACCCGAACCCAACCCGATATCTTCTTAACCCATGACAGTTATACATAAATGAGATCCGACTTAACAATTTAAACATTAACAAAACATGCTAGTAAATTAGATACAGCCTTTCTTATAGGTTTAGGGCATATTTTAGTTGTTAAACTTGGTTTGTTTTTTGGTTCTTCAAGTATACTTCTTATAGTTTTTTCTGGACTTTTTATGTTTTTGTCTGGACTTGAATTATTTCCGTTAAATAAATAATCAGAAAGTTTCTTTCTTTCTATCTGAAAATTAAAAATTTTTCAAAAGTTAAAATAGAGTCAGACCTCACTATAAATACCCCCTTAGGTCGGAAAATTTTTTGACTTATAATAGGGTGTATCTTAGATATGTGGTATCTCCCTAACTAGTCTTATGTGGCCCAATTAATTTAACAAGCACCTTTTCAGTTGTCGGTACAATATTTTTCCCTCTTCTACTTCGTTGTTTTAACGATATATCTTTAATGATCGATTCTTCCAATTTTTTATTCCACTCATCGTTAATTTGTTTAATTTCAATTTCCACACTTCCAAATTTTTTATATAAGGAATTAAAATTCCAATTTTTATCAGTTAATGTTTTAATTAATTTAATTTTGTTTTTGATAAATTCAACTTGCTCTTCAAACCAGATTTTCGTGTTTAGATCGTGTTCGTTTTCTTCGATTATTTTTAAAAATTCTTTATTTTTGCCTTAGAATTGAATTTAAATTTTTTTTAATTTTAAAGGAAGTTGAAGCTACCTAAGAGATACTCCCAATTTGGTATACCCCTCATTATAAGGTACGATATTTTCAGCTTCAAGGGTACCTATCTTATACTGACGTTTGAGTTTTCCCAAAAATAAATACGTTAAATAAGTAGCAAAACATGCGGACTGAACTTGCGGATTTATCTATCTTGCGGATAAAATTTGTGAATTTATTTATCTTGCGTACACAATTTGCGGATCTATTTATCTTGCATATAATATAACGTGCGGATTTATGTATATTGATTGATTTATGTATCTTGATTTTTGCGGACTTATTTTTTGCTGATACAACTTGCGGATTTTTTTTTTGCGGACACAACTTGCGGATTTATTTTTTTGCGGACAGAACTGTAGAAAAATTTGCGGATAAAACTTGCGGACTTTCTGGGGGCGTAAAATAAATTTATTCAAAAATACTTGTATATTCACTTGATAATTTTTCTGCTTCATTTTTCCACTTTTCCAAATAATTTTTACTTCTCTCCAAACCCTCCAAATATTTTTTATTTTCAATTTTTCTCAAAGGAGGATTACACAATTTATTTATTGTTTCCTTTGTTTCCCCCAAAATAATTTCATTTTTAAAAAATATATTTGTCCACAGAATTAAATAATATTTTTGGGTTGTCAATCCTTTTGGCTCAATTTCTTTGTAAAAATCTTCTTTGTTTTTAATATAGATTTTATCGTTTAACAAATAAATTAATGTTTTGTTGTTCGGAAATGGGGGATTTTTGTCATTTGATCTTTAAATTTAAGATTAATTTTGTTTTTTTTCGGACTTTTTTGGGGGCTTATTTTTGCGGACATTTCTTGCGGAATATTTTTGCGGACTTTTACTGTTATTTTTTGGGGGCTTATTTTTCGGGCTTATTTTTGTGGACTTTTCTTGTGGACATTTATTGCGGACATTTTTCTTGCGGACTTATTTTTGCGGACATATTTTGCGGATTATCTTTTGGATTTTTTGCGGATTTTCTTAATAGACTTATATTTGCGGACTTTCCTATTTAACTTTTTAAATTTTACAAAAATGCCGTAGTTGCTTTTCGCATCCATCCAAGCAGATTCCTTGGCTGAGTTTTTGGCAATTTAGCCAATTCATTAAATTTGTTTTGCCAATCATTATTATCCCCAAAACATTTATTTATAAATTTTATATTTTTAATTCTTTCCAAATTTAACGGAACAGTTAAATCTTGATGAAATTCTAAGTAAACTTCCTCAAAATATTTTATCAAATTTTCTATATTTTCTCCATAGTTAATGCTTCCAATCATTAATTTTGGTCGAATTGGAGTTTTTTCCAAAAAATCTAAAGGGAGAAAGAAACCTTAAAAAATAAAGTTTAATTCTGACATAACGCGAACGACGTTTGTGGAAGTCTGACCATTTTGAACCCAATAGAGGTTTTTAGTTGGTGTGTAATTGGGAAAGTGTTTTGTCTCGGCACGAGGCATTATAGTCTTGAACCGTAATTTTTATCCTAAAGATTGGGGTAAGAGTGGGATTGGGGTTTGAGTAAGTTTGGGGTTTGGGTCAGATGTGGGTTGGAGCAGCTTGGGGTCGCATACATCTAGTTTAAAAAGAGACATTACTTAAGATGGTTTTGGATAAATATAAAAGTCACTCTGGTTGGATCACAGCTGAGAAAGATATAGGCCATTCTGATGGCCTCAAATGTCTAATTCAAGCCCCGACTAATTAAGAAAATTTTTAATTTACTTTCATTTTCCTCATCAGGTAAATTCCCTTCCAAATAGTAAACAACGTCTAAGTACGCAAATAAATAATTTGCAGCTTTTTCCATTTCCTCACAGGATGAAATATAATAATCCTTATCAAGGTCTTTAAATCCCTTCAAATTTTTCTTCTTACTATTCCCACTATTATTCTCCTTTCTTCTCTTTTCTAACCTTTTCTTAGCTAAACCCCAATATTTTGTACATTCCCAATTTTTAAAAAATTCTTTAATAATATTATTTTTATAAAATATTTCAAATATTCTTGATTTTTTAACATCTTCATCTTCAATATTTTTATTGTATAGAGTCTCTTTTCACTCCCTCTCCTTTCTAAATTTAGGTAATATTTGAAAGTTTGCCTTTTTCATGTTTTATTCCTCTGACCATTTTAACCTTTTCCTTCCCTTTATCCATACTCAGGCAAATGTCAAAAGGATTACATCGTTCGGTAGCTCATTATGGATAATGAGGTCCTGTCCTTCAACTTCCCTCAACTCAACTATCACTCAACTATAACCATTCTCCCTCAACCCTACAGGGTTGAAAGTTTCGAGAAAGGGTTTGTTTGAGCTGTGCCTTCTGGGTTGGAGAGGGAGGAGGGGGCGGGGTTTGGCCTTTGGGTTCTGGATTAAATAGGTGCTTTATCCACCCCTACCCCCAACCATTAAAATCGACTTATAACGTTCCGCACCAAAATTCTATGATTTGTGAGGAAAATCTGTAAATAATAGTAGGAAATAAGCTCAAAATGGTCAGGAAATAGAAAAAAGGGGGCGACTTCCAAATATTACCTAAAATCATTTTACGAATTACATTAAATTTTTTATTTTCTTTTTCATAAAGAAAATCAATTGAAGATATTTTTAGCATTTTTCTAGACGCCTCTTTTAATTTTGAAGCAAACTCTGTGTAATAATAGGAAGGATGTTTTGTTTTATTTTTTGTATATTTTTGTGATTCTTTTTCCAATAAATCGCTTATTGTTTCCAATTTTTCTTTTTGTTCTTGTTGTCTTTTTATTTCGATTAGTCTTTTAGTTGCAGCTTTATTAAAAATATAATAAAAAAATAATTTTTAAATCAAACAGTTCTTTTGTGCGTCCAAAAAGCTCGCAGGCTTCACTTCCTTTCAATTTACGGTATTTATACCTTTGGGAAGACAATAGACACTGATAGGCATAACGGTTTATCTACAGTTTTTGATGTTCTTTCGAATGAGCGAATTACAGATTTGAAGCTTATCATCTAATAGAATGTTCTTTTGGAAAGAATGGCCATCCATTTTATAAGGGATAATGTCGTATATACTTTTTGAATTCGTTGCGTTCACATGCTCCAGCTTCTTTATGACAAAAATACATACCCCTTATTAATCAAATTACAGTGTAGAGCTTATCTTTCGATTATTGTAACTTGTGGAAAACGTCTAGAAAAAACTCGGGTCAATCGGTACACGTTAGAGGTCCATTATTTAAGGACAAGACTTTCGAGCTTTTTGCTACACAAATAAAAAGAACCCTAAAAAAGCTTTTACTACCATCTAAAGCCTCTCTGTTAATTTCTCTATCTTTCTTTTTTAAATCTCTCTCCTTTTCTAAAACATGTTGATAATTAGACTTCCAAACAATCCTTTCTTCCCATTCAATCAAAACTTTTTTAAATTCCGTCCAGTCTTTTTTAAACTTAAAAAATTTTGTTTAAAATCTTTTTTTACCTAACCTGAAATTTTGCCTTTTCTCTTTTTTCTAAATAATCTGGACTTTGTGGAGTGTTATGCAGTTCAATGATAGGAGATACTCTGATTTCTTCTGAGAATTTGGTTGATGGACTTAGATTGTCTACCTCGTCGTCATCTACCACTTCAATCTCTGTTACTCTTCGAAATGGCAAAAATCTTCCGTTATATTCCTCTTCCTTTTCAATTTCTGTAACTCTTCCTCCTCCTCTTCTATATCTTCCTCTTCTTCTTAACCCTTCTTCCTCCTCTTCTATATCATCCTCTTCTTCGATCTCTGAAAATCCTCTTCCATCATGTTCTTCCCTTACTTCCTTTATTTCTTCCTCTATTTCGGAAACTCTTCCTCTTCCACTATTTTCATCACCCACTTCTTCAATTTCGGAAACTCCTCCTCTGCTATATCCATTCTTCACTTCTTCAATTTCAGTGTAGCTTTCCCTTCCATCATGTTCTTCCCTTACTTCCTCCATTTCCTCTATTTCAGAAACTCTTCCTCTTCCACCATTTTCATCACCCACTTCTTCAATTTCGGAAACTCCTCCTCTGTTATATCCATCCTTCACTCCTTCAATTTCAGTGTAGCTTTCCCTTCCATCATTTTCATTTCTTACTTCAATCTCTTCAATCTCTGAAGGCCCGTCTTTCCTATCTTTTTTATCCTTCATCTCTTCAATTTCACTTGTTGCTCCAAATATTTTCTTTATTCTATCTTCCTCCTCTTTCACAATTCTCTTCCCTTTCCTCTCAATTTCACTCTTCTCTTTCTTTTCTCTTTCATCATCAAAATTTAATTTTAATCGTTTCCGTCTGTTTTCCTCCTCTTCTTCCAATTTTATCATTTTTTGAGAACCTTCTTCAGCATTAAAACTTTTCCTCTTTAACATTTCTTTTCTTTGAGGGCTCTCTCTTAACGATCCATCACTTAAACTTTTAACCAGAGATTTTCTAGAATATTTATTTGCCGATCCTTCTTCTTTGTCGCTTTCACTTTCTTCACCAAACACTCCTTTAAGTGAGGCAGAATCAATTTGGACTGATTCGGCATTGGACACACTTCCTTCCAAGGTTTCTGAAACTCCTTGTTTTTCGTCAACACTCAAAATTGGGTGGAAATAAATTAGAAAAATATAAAATAAGGGCAAAAATAATTCTTTTAGTTTCATAATCTAAAAAAATAAAATTTTGGCGTTCTGTATAAAAGGAGTTTCTGGGCACTTTTTTTAGTATAAAAGCGCTCACTTTATCTATTCTTCTCATTTATTTTACAATAACCAATGTTTGGAAGTGGTACAAAAGTCGTGCTCGCATTCTTACCTATCACAAGGAAAAGCTTGGAAAGGTCAGTGTAAATTTTAAATTTCCGAGCACTGACATCATCGAGCTTTTTTTGTTTTTAGGCACTAAAAACGGTTGTCTAACTTAACTGAAGGATTGACAGTAACTTAGAGATCTTGGAATGATTAATAAAAGAAAACAATGTGATTGTGGTAATTGGAGTAAGAACAAATGGACGGTGATTTCGACATAAGAGCCATTACCGAATTGAATAGACTTATTAAATACTAAATAATACGAATTTAATTTAAATAATAATAAACAGAATTTATTGTATAAATTAAAATTTATTGACTAAATGGCAATTAGCCACTATCCACTTAATCACTCTTGTTTTTCTCTCTTGCTTTTAATCACTTGCTATTTTTTTAATTTTCTCTAGACTTCTTTCATAATATTAAGAAATATGTCCACGTGTATTGCCCCAATAAGTCTGTCGAAATCCCTTTTTTAAATATGAAATCAGGGGTTTGACAAAAAACATGTTGACAAAGGGGTTGAGTTTAAACATGTTGAGGGTATCGCCTGATTTTGGTGTTTTGGAATGAGCCACTCTGAGACTGACACTCATCCTTCACCAGTAGAATCCGTTCTTCACACCCCTCGTATCATCCTTCACTAGTATTTGACAACGCATTAAGGTATTGTTGACCATATAAAGCTTGGTTAATGTTGGCATTTCTTCTTCTGTTGGCATTTCCGAGTGGTTCTGCGACATCTGCGCTTTTCTTTTGCGCCACAACTTTTCCGCTGTCGACCTTTGCGTCGGCGCACCTTCCGAACTGGTATTCACTTTTGCAACACTTTTTGTTAGTTTGTGATTGACTCTTAATTCCGTTTAGTCATCTCAACTTCCTCAAAATAAATTTTAAAACACAAAAAACTGCCCTTATGCTTATAATCAAGCTTCTCATTAATTTCCCCCTTTTATTTTCCCTTTCAATTAATTTTTATTTTCCCAGAAAAGTCAATTAATTTTGTTTCCTCCCCCAACTTTTTTTGTTTGCACTTGGCCAATTTAACGGAAGAGGGAATAAGGGGGTTGGAAAGAAGTTAACAACAAACCTAAAAATATTTTCTTCCAACAGGTTTATTTTCTTTTCAAACTTGCCTTCGCGCACGCTCTTTTATACAAATATTTTCTTTAATTTTTTTATTCTCCTTTCGTTCGTTTGGGCCAAATAAACTTTTCTTTATTTTGTCTTTATTAAATTAAATTATTTTTTTTATTAAATGGTAGAATGTATAATACATATCAATATTCAATGTCACTCCAAAATTTGCCCCGATACCTCTGTGGGTATGAAATACAAAACAATACTTGCCGATAATCGACTTGATTCAACAGAGAACCTCTTGAAATGTCCTTATATCAGATTTTGAACAAAATTCATTTTTCTTTTCTCTTATAATGAGGTTTTCATTAAATCGAGGGTATCACCTAGATAGCTTGAAACCAAATTTTAAAACGGGTCCTAAATGGAGATGTATTGAGGGTATTATACAATGAAGCTTCCAAAATTCTACTAAGTAAGAAAGCTTCCTAAACGATATCTTCTAATTAACATACATCTCATTATAAGAGTAAATTAATTTTGTAGTCGATTAATTACCCTTGGGGCTTATAATTCTCTCTTATAATGTGGCGTCCTTAAATAGAGGTTATCGCCTAGGCAGCTTTCTACACTCAATAGCCAATCTAATTTTAAAAATCGTCTCTGAAATAGAGGTGTATCCATTATAGGGTGTATTTTATAATTAGGGCAGATATCTTAGGACAATATAACTTTATTCCTATTGTCATTCTGTTTATTTTTCTATTGTCATTTCCAGTAAAACCTTATTAGCACAACAAACACGCTTTTTCCCCTTCTTTCCCTTTTTTAATATTATGCCAACTTGACTACCATTTTTCCATGATAAATAATTCAATTTTCATCTGTCAATAATAAGAGGCATTTTTGAGGGAATAATTTAAAAAATAAATATTTATTTTACTGCTAGAAAGCTATTTTTTCGACGTAAATTTTCAGGCCTCGTTATAAGATACCCCAATATATATATTGGGGTACTCATTTTTAAGTACACCTAATCCCGATATGCATTTTCAGCCCAAGGATGTATTTACAATTTTTATGCATGATTTCCTCAGATAAAGACATTATTTGCTAATGGAGTAAAATTTATGAAAATTTAGAAATGCTTCATTTGTTCCTGCTCCCCAAAACTTTTGTACTTATGTACATACTTTCATTTTTTATTTTTCAAGGCTATTTATTTTTATTCTATAAATGGACTAAAAATAATTTACAGCTTTTTGTTACATTTATCAGGATAGTTGATTCCCTTTTTATTTAACTCGACAATTGGACAGAAGACCATTGAACAATTATTATTTATTATCGAGATTCCTATTTTGCTAATCCCCATCATGGGTGGGCGCATTGCGTTTTGCGTTGATTTTTGGCCTTGCGTTGCGTTTTTCACGATTGCCTCTTGCGCCCACTCCTGATCCCCATTCGCTGTTCAACTGTCCTCTCTCCAAATGTCGTAGTGTCCTATTGTCTGTCATAACTATGGCTCAATGTCTTATTGCCTTATTGTCTGTCTTAGCACCATTTTGCAATATTTTTCCTTTCCAATTTTGAGACAAAAATTAATTTAAAAAATTCTTTTCATTTTTAATATTTTATCCAAACAAATTTATTACTTTGGAGCAAATAAATTTGTCAGAATTCTTTGGCTTTTCCTTTCAAAAAATTTTTTCCTTCGTCTTTTCATTTCTTTCCCCCTTTCTCTTTTCTTCAATTGGGCAAGGAATTTCATTTAGACTGCCCGCGGCTTTTTTTGTTTTGGCCATTCAATATGTGTTTTTACTAGATTGTTCTGCTTTCCCCTTAAAATTTGAAGGGAAAAGTAAGGGGTTTTTGTCCCAAAAACTAATTCCACCCGAAAGGGGTTTTTTCTCTCCGTCTAGAGACAGTCATTTATTTCTGGGAAAGAAAGCCATAATTTGAACTTGGGTAGCACCCCGACCCCCGACGAATTTTTAGGCAGAAACCCCACCTGAACACCTAAGACACTACCCCGACAAACCCCGATCCCCGACGCCCACCCCCGTACGGCCAAACCCCGACCCTCCAAACCTTGCTATTTTTTGGCAGAAACCCGACACGAGCCCCCAAAAATTTAGTTTACAAAATTTCGAATACGAAATTTCGTTTCGAAATTTCGATTACGTTTTGTTTTCGCTTTCTTCATTTCATAAATATTTTCGTTCACAACTTTTCTCTAATGCAATAATTAATGCACTTTTTAATATACTCCCCGATTCGTAATGCGTTAAAATGTTGCCTTAGGGTTCAAAAACATTATGAAAAAGAATGAATGTTTCTTTTTTACAAAAAAATAAGGGAAGGGTTTTTATTAATAAATATTTGCCGACATTTGCTAACGGCGACATTTGCGCACATAACTAAAACCTATCGCCATTTTTTCAAATTTTTAAATTACGCCAAAAGCAAAACGCCAAAAATGAACGCCAAACGTCATGACGCACAGCGCTGGTTTAAAAGCCCTCCTATTAGGGTTGTCGATCCCGCAAAATTTTTAAAATAACGGAAACCGAAGAATCGTCGATTCTTCTTGAATTTTGAGAACCTTTACTTCCCACGATTTTTAAAATTTTTTTTAAAAATATTCCCACAAGTCACAAATTCTTTTAAATACATATTTAAGAAAAGAATAAGAAGTTTTTTGTCTTCAACAAAGAAATTTTACTCCCTTTTGAAATTGAAGGAAGTTTTTTTTAAAAAATTATTTTTCCCACACAGAAAAGTGATTCTTTTTTGTGAACAAGTTATTTAGTTACTCAACTAAAAATGTGGTTGCTGACAACCGCGACATTTGCGAACCGCGACACTTGCACACCACGACACTTGCGGACAAAACTAACATCTATTGAAATTGGGACAAACAGCCTAAGGGTCTAACGTGACCCAGCACCATTCTTATCTTGTTGGTTCATTCGACCTCGTTTTTAGAAACACCCAATATTAGAACGCCTTGTACACCCCAATATTAGATACACCTCTATTTAAGATACTTTTCTAGAATCTTATTGTCTACTGGATTTAAGTTGCTGTCTAAGCGATATCTTCAATTTAAGATACTCTCATTATAAGAGACAATCATTATAAGATACACTCAATACTCGTTACCACTAAGTTTAGGATACGGGATTTTAAATTTTGTTGGTTTTTGGGGGTGGAGGGAGTTGCGTAATCCACACCTTCTATTTAAAATGCACCTCATTATAAGAGACTATTTTTTAAATACCAAGAGGGCATCTTATAGCGAAGTCTTACTGTACATTATTCCCCTCAACTCTAGCTAAATTGAAAGCTTACTGGTTTTCCGCAATTGTCGCCGTCCTCAAATGTCGTCTTTCAAGTTTAGCTTTCATTCCCTTGAACAACAACAAGAATAAGTGGTTGGTGGGGCTGTTCATTCACTCCCAGCCGGTAAAAAAAATTTTTTTTTGTTTGCGTTCTGGCCTAGGAGAGAGTATTTATTTTCTTTTATTTTGTATTTTCTTATAGACTTTTTACCCACACTTTTTTCCCGTTGCCCAGCCATTGACTGAACGAAGAAAAATATTTTTGTCAATATTTCCGCACAAATTATTTTTAATTTTTTTTTTCTTTTTAATTTTATTAAAACTCGAACGTCGGTCCGACTCGAAACTCCAACCATAATTACCATGGTTTCCTATAACGGGTGTAACTTAAATAGAAGGTATCAAAAATTGGTCAGTCCCGTTCCAGTACCCCTAAGTCAGGGCGACAATTTTGCAACTTTTTCTTAATAATTTAATAAATTTAATTATTTATTTTATTTTTTACAAAAATAGAAACATTTTTTATCTTAAAGAAATTATTATTACATTTTTTATTATTTATTTTATTTTTATTACTTTAAATAAATTTTTTTATTGATCACATAAAAAATTATTGGATAATAATAATTCTTCATTTTTTAATTAAAAAAGATTGCTCGATTTATCATTATTTATACACGGAATCCGATCCGAAGAAAAATTTGAAACCCCGAACCACTATTATCGCTGACCCTTTCGAACCCTGGGGGTATTCAAAAAACGAGTTACGGCTTAACCAATCCTCAGCTACGGGTAACTTAATTAAGGAATTTTATTCAAAAGCGAGGGTAAGGATAACCCCGAGCTCTGGTTCGTTATTCGGATAATATATACCCGCAACTGCGGGTATAATTCTTACCAGGGGTGCAGCTCGTCTTGTGAATCTCTTGTCTCGTTTGGCACGAGCTGCACTCCTGGTTCTTACTCTTATTCAAAAATGAGGATTTTTTGAATACCGCCCCTGATGTAAATTAGACACAAGTTTATATCACGTATAAGCTAGCTTAATGGTTTTCTTATAGCTCTTCTTTATTTTATTTTTCTTTCTTTAAATATTTTCTAAAACAAAAAATTTATTTTAGAAAATTAAAATATTAAAAAATAAATCTTTTCTACAAAAAATGAATCTTGAATTTTATAAAAACAACAATGCCCTGCGTGAACAATATTCACTAAACATTGCGATTTTTAAGGTTTTAAACGTGAAAGTGTTTTTTTTACGCTGCTATCAACCTTTAATAATTCCGCTCATCCTGATTTTTAAGCTTGGTGTGAATTTTTGAAATTTTTTTTATTTAATGTCTTTGCCTTTTTAATTCTTTTTAAACTAAAAAAATTATAATTAGGCCGATGTCGCCTAGTAAAAGTTTGATCTGGGTGTGCGCAATGCGTTTTGCGGTCATTTTTGGGATTGCGTTTGCGATTTTTGCGCACACCTTTGGGTTGGGCTGACTTCAGTGATGTCTCGGGTTGCCCTAACACCCTAGTGATGCTCGGGTATCCCGACTCCCGACTCGGGAAAATTTCCCGAGCTTTTGGCCTCCCGACTCCCGAGGTCATTTCCAGACCCGACTCCCGTTTCCCGGGTTTTTTCTTCTCCCGAGCATCACTATAACACCCATATACGAAACCCGGTCTTCTTTCTATCTGGTACCCGATCCAAAGAAAATTTTGAAAACCAGACTCGAAACCGACCCGAACCATTTCTCAACCCAAGACATCCCTGTCTGACACGTATCAGAATCCTAATAAATATATTACTGTTGAACCTTGTTGTATGTATTATACACTCATTAATATATACATTCAATTTAATGTATCTGATTGGAGGGGAGCTTAACTTAATTTTATTTTACATATACATATCCACATTTTTCAATCAATTTATTTTTCACAATGGACAGGAAGTTCAACATATTTTTTTTCCACATTTTCTTTTATAGCGAAGATTTGTGAGATAAAATATAGGGGTTTAAGGATAGGCAATTTAATGTTTTTTATTGCCATCTGTAAAGATTTTATTTTTGAACATTTATTTTTTTCTTTTTTATAATTCAAGAAATGTTATTTTTGGTATACAGTTGGATCTCATTTTTATACAGAGGTGAATCAGAATTTTGATTTCCGACTTCCGAGTTCCGACGTTTTTTTCCTTCCAAGTTCCGAAATTTTGGAAAAACTTCCGAGTTCCGATAATTTAACATATTTCCGACTATAGGTTTCCGACTTCCGAGTTCCGTCTTTTGAGCCATTTCCGGTTTCCGACAGTTCCAATTTCCGGCACCTTCATAAGTTCCGATTTACCTCTGATTATATGACATCTAACGTCCTCAGAAAAATATTTTGAAGTCAATGGAGGGTCGCAAACGAGGTGATATTCGACTATATTTAATTATGTATCTTTGCAAGATCTGGAACCTATCCTTGTAGAATTCGTGCATGTTTATGAAATCCTAACTTAATTTTATTTTTTTAAACTAACAAGCTTTTAATCACCAACAAAAGCATATGCCGTGTTTTTCTTTTTTTTTAATTATTTTTATTTTTAAATCGTTTGTTTTTTACTATTTGTTGATTGCCGAGAGAATTTTATTTAATTAAATTAATTTTTATTTTAAATTAATTAAATAGGGGATCAGTGAATATAAAAAAGCCTACAAAATTGCTGGGAACAGTTTAAAAATTCTTGATTCTATCTGAATTTGACGACCCTCTATAGAGGTAATTTTTAAATGTTTTTTCTTAGAGATCCACAAAATCTTTGGTTAAACAAAAAATTTATTCAATTGATTTGTGGGCCCTTATGCTAATGCCCTTGATGTTAAAAATCGTTAACTGAAATAAGAATCAAAATTAGGGCCAAAAACCTAGAATTAGGACCTAGTCGAGGAATCGAGAGCTAAAAGACCGAGAAATTTCTTAACCCGAGACCGAGACTCTCGAGCAGTATTACTGATTTGAGTGCTCACAGATACTGATTTTAGTATCCGTATCCAGATATTTACGGCAGATACAGGCGGATATCCGCAGGCATCCTGATATTATCTGTATTCATATCCGTGTCCACGAGGAAGTCTGGTTGGAGTATATTTATGGTATACCAGACTCTGACACTGTGTGCTTCTGTGCCAACCAAAAATTTAACAGGTGTACGCTCAAGAGTGCACAATAGATGGGGTTCACATAAATTAGGTCCGATTGGAGTTACCCCACTTATACAACGCCAAAATCTCACCTTAACGTCAAACTTCTTTTTGCAAGAAGTCCTACTGATTTCCTTTTGAAGAAGCTTTACCTTGGTCACCTACTGTGTCCTTAACTATTCATTCAACCCTTTCTAAACCTTTTTTCAACCTTTTTGTCAATTTCTTCAAAAAATATTTTCCTTCAAAGCTTTTTGTTAATCCTCTAAACAAACCCTTTTCTCAACTAAATGTTTATTATTCTCGAGAATTTTTAGTTTAAAGCTAAAGGAATAGATAAACCTTTATTTCTTTAGCTAAAGGGATCAGAAAAAGTAAAATAACAGTTGCTTTCTTTTATTAGAGTTTATGTCGAAACCAATGGATATATTAACCAGAAATCGAGAAAAAAATATATTTTTGCTTATTTTAAATTTCATAAGAATAATATTACATTGAAGCTCTTTATAAGATGCCCCCGAAGTTAGAAAAATCGTAACTTATAATGTAGGTATCTTAAATGGAGGGTATTGCCTAGATAGCTCCCCAAATAAGTCTCCAGTCAAATTTAAAAAAAACGTCTGTTAATTAGAGGTTCTCAGTAATGTATGTTCACTATAGAGAAGGTCAACTAGATTTATAATAGAGTTTCAACCCCCAATACTAGTTACACCTCTATTTAGGATAAGCTCTATAAAAACCTTTTTTGTCATTGGCTGGGAGAGGTGGCTAATCGAACTTTCTATTAAGATACCCTCATCATAAGAACAGCGAACCCTCTATTTAGGATACCGTCATTATAAGAACCTCGACATTATTTTAGATACATTTTCAAGCTTTGGTTTTCACTTGAGTGGGAGAACGATACTTTTATGTCCTTATTATAAGGTACGAGATCTTTTCAGCCCAAAAGGGCGTCTCTTATAGAAATGTTTAACCGATCGAAACTGTTCAAAACCTTTTAAAAAATTTTAATATTAAGTAAAAATACAGTAATTCTCAACTACTTACCGTCCAAAAATGCAACCAGCCTCCCTCTACAACCAACAACTCAATGCAGCAACTCTATCAGACCAAGCAATCCTTCAGGCAACGTTAGCAGCCCAACAAGCAACGGCTATTACAAACTCTGCATACTCTTCTTCAAACGGGGATAGTTCATCCCCACCTACTGGAAGTAGGGATACAAGATTTACAAAAATATTTGTTGGTGGACTTCCTTACCATACAACAGACGAATCGTTGAATAATTATTTTAGCCAATTTGGGGAGATTGAAGAAGTTTGTGTTAAATTAATTAATTGGTCATTTGTAGGAAAAGATAGGATACTTTTTGATGCCAAATTTTTGCAGACAGATTTTTGCGGACAAAATTTATATTCAGACAAATTTTGCGGACAAAATTTTGCGGACAATTTTTGCGGACAGATTTTTGCGGACAAATTTTGCGGACAATTTTTGCGGACATTTTTTGTGAGCAAAATTTTTGCGGACAGATTTTTGCGGACAAATTTTGCGGACAAAATTTTTGCCCACAAAATTTTTGCGGAAATTTTTTGCGGACACAAATTCCTCTCCCTCGATCCCTCGTCACTTTCCTTCAACGTCACCTCAATTAGGCCCAGAAGGGTGTCATTATTTCAAGCATATAATAAATACATAAATTAAGGCTGTGGTAATAACTGACAGGCAAACACAAAAAAGTCGTGGTTATGGCTTTGTTACAATGAAGGAAAGGGCTCAAGCTGAAAAAGCTTGCCGGTATTTTCTTTGTTAAATTTAAATCTTAGTTTGAAATGTAATCTTAAAGTGATCCAAACCCGATAATTGATGGCCGAAAAACAAATGTTAATTTAGCCTATTTGGGTGCCAAGCCTAGAAACAATTCACACTTAGCTGTTCTTTCACAAACGCTTGGACAACTTCCACAATTACAGGCAAAAGATACTTTTATTATATTTTTCTATAATTTACGGCAAAAGTTGCGGAAAAAATTTGCGGACCTTTAAAACTTGCGGACAAAAGTTGCGGACTTTTGAAAACGCGGACAGAAGTTGCGGACTTTTGAAAACGCGGACAAAAGTTGCGGACTTTTGGGGTTACGGACTTTCGATAATTTGCAGGCAACTTTTGGGGATTTTTGAACTTAAATTTGTTTTTTATGTAGGCAGTTCAATTGCAAGCAGCTCTCCAATTACAACAGCAACAACAACGGTATGCGGATTATTTATTTTTCCCTAGTAAACTTAAGGGTAATTCAAAATAAATTTTAAAATTTAAAATTCAGTGCATGAAGAGAATATTTCAAAAAATTAAATAAATGTGAGTCCCCAATTTTTGAGGTTGAAGTGTTTTCGGAATTCACAATAAATATACCACCGTATTACCTCTAATATAACCCCTACCCTCTCTCTTCCCCATCCTCCCCCCTCCCTCTCCCCCTCCTCTCTCCTCTTCCACATACCTCCCAACACGACCCTCTCATAACACTCCTCCCTCTCTCTCTTCCTCTCATTCTCCCTCCCTCTTCCTTAATTACCCTAATATAACCCCTCCCTCTCTCTCTCTTCCTCTTCCTCTCCCCTCTCCCTCTACCTCCCAACATACCCCTTTAGATGGTGATTTAAAAAGTGAATGCCCGGGCGTTCAATTAGAGGTAATACGGTATCTAATTTGTTTTTTTGCTTTGTTTTTGTGAACCAACCAATTTTAGGGTTTTTTTATGCTTTTTATGGTGATGGTTATTTTATTTTTAATTATTTTTGGGGTGTTTTTTAACTTGTTTAAATCTAAATTTTGGTGTATTATGAAGTGAAATAATTATTTTTGGCACTTAAAAAATCAAAAAATTTCCAAAAAAATATTTTTAAGCCTGGCAGCCAGCGTTTTATCAGCTGCAGCAGCTTCTCCAACTAGTCAACTTTTACTTTCACAAAATCCAACGACTGCTGCAGCTATTGCTGCTGCTCAACAACAAGCGGCGCAGCAACAACTGGCTGCTATTAACCCCTTGGCTGCTATTCAGTTTTCTCAAAATATTTCCCAACAACCACAGAATACTGCGGCGTTGGTTGCTTTGGCGGCACAGCAAGGTAAAGTTTGATAGGCTGTCGCTCGGAGACGTCCCGAACGGAAGGGAAGAGGTTAACACGAAATTTACCCCGTCCCTAGATGTTTCACATGAGGGATGGCCGATTGTTGATGCGGTGTTCCACACTATCCTTTTAGCATCTCACTACCGCAAGCAACGGATCGGTAACCTCGTTCAGGTGCCTGTTCACCTCATTCCTTTCTCTCAGCCTGCGTTTATATATGGGAGAATCTAATGGGAGAATCTTTTTCTCAAGCTCCAGTTTAAGCGTTTTAATACTAATTGTTGGAAAGTCCATATGGGAGAAGCTAAGGAAGGTGAGAGAAAAAACCCGCAGAAACCCCCCCCCCCATCCCGATATTTACTTGTCCGCAAAAATATATTTATAGCAGCACTACTTCAACAACAACAACAAGCAAACGTTGCTGTTACCAGTGGGGCAAATACTGCTAATTCTGCCTATTTTGATTATAACCAACTACTATTGGCAGCAGCAGCCCAGCAACAACAAAGCGGGAATCAACAGACATCCTTAGCTGCAGTAGCTGCTGCTTATGGGATGCCTGTAGGCAGTGGAACTCCACAGTTTGATTATTCTAATTCTGCTTCTTTGGCAGCTGCATATCCTTGTATGTATCTAAATAGGGCCTCATTATTTGATACTCGCTTAGAGCTCTAAAATTGTCTCCTATAGCGAGGTGTGCCTTGAATTGGGATATCACATAGAAGGCTAACCAATTTAATATCCTACCGACTTTTAAAAAACGTCCATTAGATAGAGGTCTATCTAGTATTAGGAGTCCCTTATAGGGAGGTCTGACTATTCAATATATCATTATAACCCCCAATGTTAAGTACACCTCAATTTAAGAGACGTTTTAAAATTGGATAGATACTGGGTTGGGAAGCTGGGAAGCTGCCTAAGCGATACCCTCTATTTAATATACACCTCATTATAAGGGAATATTTTCTTACTTGAAGAGCATTTTAATGAGATTCAACTTCTATTTAAGACACATCTCATTAAAAGAGACAAGTTTTCCCTCCAAGCGGATACCTTATAATGGGGACTGACCTCTAGTTAATTTACACCTCATTATAAAAATTTTTTTAAAGTTCTCCAACAAGTAAATACTCTTTCCGCAACAGCCCCAACATCAGTAACCAACTCCCAAAGTTATGTTGCCCAGTTGGCAGCACAAGCCCAATTAGCTGCTGCTGTCAGTAATGGAGGAGTTGCTGGGACAGGTGTTTGTAAGACTTAAAAAATCAAGAAAAAATTTTTTAAGGATCAACAACGACAACAAATAATTTGAAACGTTCTTCAAAAAATTTGGATCAACGTCGAAGCGAATAAAATTTTTAAAAGTGGAGGAAATACTCAAAAAAAATTAAATAAAAAATATTTTTGTAGTCATTTTATACATTTTTTCTCTTTTATTTTTTAAAATTTTTTAAATTAAATATTAGGATTTTTAATAAAAATTAGCTAAATAATCCTTAAATATACACGCAACTTAAAATTAGCTAGACAGAGGTAGATTAGGATATTTACACGGATTTTGCTGTCCGTATCCGGATATATCCGTGAGGTTGATATCCGTGTAGCTCTTGATCCATATTCATCCGTATTCCAAATGAATATTTGTTAAAAGCCTCCTCCGAAGCAGGGGACGGTCCCATGTACAAAACGGCACATAGACACTCCAAAATTTTGTCTCATTGTCACCAAGTGCACTGCCACCAGACAAGCACTATTGATCGCACAGCCACCGAAGCGAACTGGGATATAGTGTAGTGTACCGGTGGTAAAAGTTCGGGACGTGACATATGTCATTCGATTCGTCTCGACGAGCTGAGTCGAACGGTACCACTCCCTACTTTAGGAAATAATTCTGGACCGAGTTATAGGTCCCGAAAAATCGAAAAACCAAAGGGGGGACCAAGCACTTTTTTGGGGTGAAAAATTCGAAAATGCAAATTATAACTCATTCGAAAGAGCTCGTCGAGCTGAGTCGAATGACACCAAAATCAGCTTGATTGAACAAGTTTGAGTCGAGATATAGGGCGCGAAATGGTCAAAAACCATAGGGGGGATTTTAGGGTTAAAAATTAGATTCTACAATTGTTAGCTCATTCGAAAGAGCTCGACGAGCTGAGTCGAATGACATCAAAATCACCGTGATTGGACAAGATTAGACAAAGTTACGACACAAAAAACAAAAATACCTAAACCTATGGAGCGTCGGCGAGGCGCTTGTGCAAAACCCCGCGCTTCGCGCGGGGTTTTGCGGCACGCGCCTCGCGGGGAGTCTACGGCGCTGGGTCTGGGCTCGTAACATAAACCTATTCCTATCTCCCTTGCTCTGGACGTATTTGGGGCCTCCATAGCAGCAAAAATCTCCACAGATGCCATAGGTAAGGAGCTAAAACAAACGGTCATAACTTTGTCAAATCAAGTCGGATTTAGTTGATTTAGGTGTCATTCGACTCAGCTCGACGAGCTCTTTCGAATGAGGTATAATTTGCATTTTTGAATTTTTCACCCCAAAAAAGTGCTTGGTCCCCCCTTTGGTTTTTCGATTTTTCGGGACCTATAATTCGGTCCAGAATTATTTCCTAAAGTAGGGAGTGGTACCGTTCGACTCAGCTCGTCGAGACGAATCGAATGACATATGTCACGTCCCGAACTTTTACCACCGGTACACTACACTACAGCCAGCGAACTGCTACCAACAGTGTCTGTCTGAACGCACAGCCACCGAGGTAGTTTTCACGTTTTCGGGTTCCAAAAATCATATCTCTTAATATTAAGGTTAATTTATCTCGTAAACTCTCCCTATGTTTATTAAACGAGGTTCCTTAATTTATTCCTAAATTTACTTTTTTAAGTTTGTCCCTTTCTTAAATTATTTTCTCAAAACTATTTATCCCCTTTTTGCCTTTTTTGAGTACTAACTTGGCCATTTTTTATTCAATTTGTCTAAGGGTATTTATTTTAATGGAAAACATTTAAAGGAAGAAGATATCGTCTTTTAATGTTATAAAAAAATTTTTCTAATGTTTAAAATTTAGGATTGTCGGTTTCACCACATTCTTAAGTTAAGAAACCGAACTAAAATGTGTCATTAGGGGTATAGGGATTAGGGAAGTATGAAAGAATTTGGGATATAAGGGGATTGATATTGGACGACAAGAGAAGTGTTGATAGGATTAGGGAGATTAAGGGTGATTAAGGAGTATAAAGGATTTGGGAGGATAAGGAGGATTGAGAATATTAAGGGATTTGGAATTAAGGGGGATTTGAGGGTGATAAGGAGGGATTTGGGCGATAAAGAATGTTCGAAGATGGAGATTTGGGACTAAAGTGATTAAGGAGGGATAAAGAGGATTTGGGAGGATTATGAGTGATTAGGGAAGGATAAAGAGATTTGGGAGGATAAAGAGGGATTAAGGATATAAGAGGATTTGAGGGAGATAAGGAGGGATTTGGGCGATAAAGAAGGTTCGAACACAGTGATTTTGGATTAAGAGTGATTAAGGAGGGATAAAGTGAGTTGGGAGAACAAAGAGGGATTGAGGATATAAGGGGATTTGAGGGATGAGGGGGATAAGGAGGGATTTGGGCGAGATAAGGAGAGACTTGGGGGATAGGGAAGAATTGAGGATAAGGGAATTTAAGGAATTGATAGAGATTAAGAGAGCTTAACTATGAGAGATTAAGAGATAATATCCATTAACCCTATAACTATTGAATATAGACCGAAAAGCAAATATAGATCCTTAATTACTTAACATGTTTCTATAGACTTAAGATTATTTTATTTTCTTTTTCCAAATATTTTAGCCTTAAAATAAAGTCCAAACTTAATTTATTATGTTTATTATTTCCCTAAAAAGTGTGGGAAAATATATTTAAATTGAAAGAAAACAGAGAAAAACAGCAAGAGTGACTTTATCTCCCCCAAAAAAGCCTTACAAAGCTAACGGCTATAAGGCAGCAAATTTTATGCCTTATAGCCGTCGTTTAGCTAGCATCTTTATTTTCACAAAAACTTTCTCCAAGTAAGAAAAAACATCCATTTCCGTATTTATTTGTTCTTCTTTTTTTTGAAAAAAAGTTTTTCCCTAAAAATATTGTTTCCTTCCCTTTACGTGCCTAGGCGTTTTATTCTTTTTATGTCTTTTTTTTCTCAAACAATCCCCTGTCTACATCAAAATCCTTCGAAAAGTCAAAGTGTTTGAATGATAAATATAGAGATTGAACGTGAAGATTATTTATGTAGTTAGAATTTTTTTGAATTTTCAAAAAAGGATTGAAATTCACCGGGAAATGCCGTTCATAATAAAGGCCGTTTTTTAGACATGAGGTCATATTTTGGGCCATAACTTTTTTGGTTCTTAACCGATTTTAATACTTTTTATATCAATCGAAAGCTCTCGGTGTGAGGATTATTTTAGCTAGCAGGACTGTTTTGATCAGATCATCCTACCAAAAGTTGGACCTGGATAAGTGCAAGCAATCGTGTTTTTTGATATTTATTCGGCTGTAACTTTTTCTAAGATGATCTGATCAAATTAATCCCGTTAGCTAAAATAATCCTTAAATTAAGAGCTTTCAATTGATATAATAACAATTCAAATCGGTTATGAATCAAAAAAGTTATGTCCCAAAATAAGGCCTCGAGACGTCGATCAGAACGTAACCTTTGAAGAATATAGGTCGTTTGCACGGGATGCTTGGACGCGGATTCTTTCTTATTCCCTTAATTTCAGATTTATTCTTCCATTATTATTAAATTTTAATTAATTTAAAATGCCAGTCTTTGCTGTTAATCGTTCTCCAAAACCAATGAGAAATGCTTTGTCAATGCCTAGTGATCCACGTACTGATCCTAGGCCTAAGAAAATAGAGGGTTAGTTTTATTAGTCAAAATCTTGCTATAAAACCCCCTTGGGCTGAAAAAAGTATCTTATAATGAGGCGTATCTTAATTCACAAGGAAAACAAAAAACGACCACAAAAATGTCCGCAAAAATTTGCGGACATCCGCAAAATTTTTGCGGACATTTTTTGCGAACCTTGCCCAAGCGATACATACACTCTATTTTGCCTGTATCCGTTAAAAAATCCTTTTATTCCTCAGAGGATGTAAAACTACTTCGTTCAGAATTAAACAACTTGAGAAAACAAAATACAGCTTTAAACAAAGGAATAAAAAATTTAGAAGCAGAAATTGGTGAAAGTGCTTTTAAACGTTTAGTTGAACAAGTAAAAATAATTAGGAAAAAATTTCAATTATAATTATTTTAAAAAGGTAGCCTCACCGGAGTCTTCATTAGTGGAGGCAGAGGAATATTCTTCTTGTACTGAGGGTAAGTAGAATTCTAACTGGCAATGAGGGAATTCTTTGCGGACTTTTTTGGCGGATTTTTTGGGAGACTTTTTTGCAGACATTTATTGGAGGACTTTTCTGCGGACATTTATTGTGGACTTTTTTGTGGATTTTTTTGCGGACTTTTTTTGCGGACTTCTTTGGACACATTTTTTGCTGACATTTATTGCGGACATTTTTCGCTGACTTTTTTTGGGGGACTTTTTTGCGGACATTTTCTGCGGACATTTATTGCGGACTTTTTTGAGGGACTTTTTTGAATCCGCAAAATATGCCCACCTTTATCAGTCTACCCAATTGCCCCAAATAAATTTTTAAATAATTTTAGAATTAAAAAAACAACAAATAGAATCCATCAAAAATTCTCTCAATCCAAAACTTTTAAAATACATAAACAACAAAGATGAAGAAATATTATTTGCTTCAATAGATATTAGAGAGTGCCAACCAAAAATATTTTATGCTCAATGGAACAATCAAAATTTACTTTCAATTATTGGGCCTAACGATATACGTAAAAGGTGGGAATAATTTAAATACAGTCGAGAACCTCGTTATAAGGTGTTCGACTATGTTAAGTAGACCAAAAACGCCTCTCCCCTCGCGCGAAAACGTCCCTGTCCCTTGGGGTAGGGGGACAATGAGAGAGAGGTCTAGGCGATATCCTCTATTTAATATACACATCATTATAAGAGACAAATTTTTTAATCCCCGAGAGGGTATCTTATACTAGTGAAGAAAGGAAAAAATGAAAATCCGCAAAAATTTTTGCGGACAAAAAAATTTTTTGCGGACAAGAAAAATTTTTGCGGACAAAAAATTTTTTGCGGACAAAAAAAATTTTGCGGACAAAAACTTTTTTGCGGACAAAATAGTGCCGTTTCGACTATACATTGTTTGTTGCTATGTTTTTCTTTCCTCATTTCACCACCATAAAAACACATGTTCGACTCGTTCACCTCGTTCAGGCAATCTGACAGCCGGATTATAAGGGAGGGTTAACTTTGACCCTTTTTAACTCATTTCCTCATTTTTTATATTTTATTTACTTTTTCCAATTTTCCTTCCCGCCTTTTTCCGCCTCACACTAACCATTTTATTTATGGATGTGCCCACGTAGTAAAAAATGATATAACACACAAAATGCCGCTAACAGTGACAGAATGGATGAAGAGGTAAAAAGGGGGAATTTATATACTCCCTTTTCCTTCGTTTTTTGCATGCATTGACCCTTTAATAGTAGGCTATGTTTTGGCCATAACCCAAAAAATATTTTTTTATAAAAAATTAAATAGTTTTGTTAATTTAATTAAAAATTTATTTTTATTTTTATTTTTTAATCTTTTATTTTTAAATTTATTTAAATCCCCTTTATAAAATAAGCAAAATAAAATATTACATATTTAGTAAATATTTACAATAATTTCCTTTTTTTTATTAAAAATTGCTGCAGTGGTGGAATCTCGATAACACAACATCCGTATTATTAATAAACTCTCTATAATACGACCCCCTCTTGAAAGCCTATTAAAAATGGACTCTTGCTAATACTCTCTCTAAGCTCTATACTCTTACTCCCCGGGTGACCCGTATTATTTCTTGCTACATAAGGCAACGTTTATACCACCAATTTATACCACCAATTCGGCCCCGAGTTTGTTGGATTAGTATAGAGATTCTACCACATATTAAAAGACGAACTCATCCTAATTGATCCGAAAATATCTTTCCTAAGGCTGGGATCTTTGCCTGAGTCTATTTATGCTTACACTCACGGGCCGAAAGAAATCATAGGTAAGGCAGTTTTATCCAATCCACTGTCCAATCAGTTTGTCGTAAATGGTCGATAAACTTAAAATTAGAAATGGGATCGAGACAAGATCTCGAACACAAATCTTGATAGTCGAGATTTTTCGAGATATCTCGTACGATTTTTATATGACCCCCCCTCTCCCTCCCCTAGTCCCCACTCCTAGTCCGTTTTCAGTATGAAATACGCGTGAGATTCGACTTTATAAATATTTAAATGTTGCGAATTTTTAAATAAAAATATTTATTAAATTTTGAATTAACAGAGATAATCTTTGACAATAAAACAAATTTTTTTATATATGTATTTATCCATTTCCCTCCTTTTTACCCTCAAAATAGAAAGAAAAAGAAAATTGATTACATTCAAAAAACCTCTTTTACTGACGGCTAACGCCAATAATAGCCAAGTGCCGACAAGGGAGACTACTTTTTTGGGGACACTAGAAATGAAAAAAAATGAAGATAAACTGTAAAATAACGGGAAAAAAGTATATTTAACTCTGCGGGAAAATAAAAAAATTTTTCAATTGATTTTAACGGGCGTGGAAAATTTTTTGGCAAAAAAAAATCTTAAAATAATTACTAGTTTATCGAAGCATTTTTTGGTCGTTATTTTTTTTTATTTTTTGTGAAACCGGTCCGGATCCGGCCTGATTTTTCTGGGTTAATCCTGTCCGGAGATAATCTGAAACTCATGAAAAACAGGCTCTTTTGGGTCACCGACTTCGGAAAAGTCCAGCCGGGTCCGTCAGGCGCCGCTCACTATTATACAGCCTTTAAATAGTTTGTTGATCTCAGTTTACGCCACCCTTCGTGCAGAAATGTTCTGAGTTATTATAACTCGACTTAAGTCTGGAACTTAGGTCCAGCCCTAAATCCCACTCCCTTTCCGGTACGTGGTCCTCGCTATACAATGCCTTCCTTGTTGTTTTTTAAAGATTTTTAGGAGTCTTGAATATTTGGCCAGACCCGGGCGGATTTTTCTAGGTTAATCCGGTCTGGAGATAATCTAGAAATTTAGGTTCCGCCAAAATCCCAATTTTGAGGCGCGCGCCAAAACATTAAGGCGCCGAAACGCCTCCAACCTCTTCATTTTTCCTTTGTCCCAAAAAAACCGTACCTTGGCCCCTGACATCCCTTTCTGATCACTCTAGTGACCCCCAACCTTCCGCCACATCGTCAAAAATTTTTTCCACGGACCCACATTTAATTTCAAAAAATTTTAGGACTTTGGAGGTATTTTTAAAATTTATTTCCACTCTCTCTATCAGCTTCTTTAAAAAAGAATCATTTAAGCATTATTATATTTATGATGTCCCCGACAACAAACAAAAAAAAACAAAAAATAAAATAATAACCACCTGTAGCATTATTTTACTTTTTTAAATTCCTTCCATTTTTTCTGACTTTTCTTTCCTTTAAAATTTTTTTATTTTTTACTTTTCCCAGTTCCTCTTCATTTGGGACTGTGCCGTTCCGGCGCAGGGATATTTTGGCGCAAGCTTTCGGGAGAATCGGGAGCTTATAAATTAGTGAATTGTTCAAATAGAAAGATGAAATTTTACTTTAAAATAATCTTCGTATGTTGATCTAAGTAGTCCAAAAATTTCAGGATTTTTGAGCCATTATTTCAGAAATTAGGGTTAAAAATGTTTTGATTCTTCCCAAAATACCTCATTTTTCGAGGTTTATCGACTACAACTTAAAAAATATTTGATGAAAAATTCTGAAATTTCTGGAGAGGGTAGTCAATTATGTAAAAAAAATTTGAGAAAATTTTCAAAAAATTAGGATTCACCCAAGTCCCAATTTTGAGGCGCGCGCCAAAACTTACAGGCGCCAAAACACCCCCAACCTCTTCATTTTTTCTTTGTCCCAAAAAACCGCAGGCATTTTGCCTCTCATTTTATTTTTGCTAAAATAATTAACTGACATCTTCAGACTTTTTTAAACGTCAAAAAATTTTTGCGGCTGCTTCTCACTCATTTTAAAAATGTTCTCGAGATTTTTATTGCCTTTTTGTTAATGATGAATCAAAGCTTTTGCAAATTCTCTCTTAAAATTAATCAATTAATTTTCCTTTATATTTTAAATATTTTTTATAACAATTAAAAACCTCGTTATAAGACACTCTTATGGCTGAAATTATCGTAACTTAAAATGAGGTGTACCTTAAATAGAGTGTGTTTCCCTAACTCTATTGGGGGTACCTTATAATGAATGTACCTTATAATGAGGGTACCTTATAATGGGGTGTATCTTATATGAGGGTATATTATAATGAGGTGTTTCTTATATAGAGGTAATCGGGTAACATTGCCCATATCCCCATGAAAAATATTTGATGAAAAAAAATTTGGGGGTTCTTATAAGGAAATTGTTCACATTTTTCCATTGACATTTTGTTGTTTGGCAAGACCGACTTTCGAAATTTTCTGATCTTCGATTTTGGACACTTTCCGACGGTCCTCTATTTCAAAGTCTCGAGATGTATTTTAAAATAACCCCCTTCTCTTCTTTCTCGTAGAAAAAATCCAAGTCCGCAACTTTTGTCCGCAACCTTTTGTCCGCAACTTTTTGTCCGCAACTTTTTTTTGTCCGCAAATCACAATTAAAAAAAAAAATTTTTTTTTTAAATCCAAATTTTCTACCTTCAAAAAATTAATTTTCTAGAACATTTGGCTCAGTCCATATCGCCGATAGAATTCTTTCTATTGATACTTTGCTCATAGACAATTTATTTTCTGATAACAATCAAAAAGAAATTATTCTCGATACTTCTTTAAATTACAAAAAAGAAATAAAAGACAACAATAAAAAAATTTTAAATACAAAAAGAATTGGAGGAGGTAGTTTATTGACAATTTATTGATAAAAAAAATAAATTTGTGTATACTTTCAACTTTGCCGGCAATATCCGCAGCTTTTTATCCGCAACTTAGAATATAGTGATCGGAATTTCGTATCGGTCTGTACCGTACTTCCGATGCGGGATACCGATAAATACCGAAAAATAAGGCCGTAGTTGGTACGGTTCGATCACTCGTTAGAATATAGTGGACTCTCTATTAAATCACCCTTTGGCATAAATTTGTTAACGTAGTGCCGACCAGCTTGAAATCATTGACTTGCTGTTCAACGTTACGGGCTTTTTTTTTTTTAATTTTGTAGAGTTCTACAATTTAGCGGACGATTTAGTTTACGGCTTTTAATTTGCGGACTTTTTCTAAATTTGCGGACTCTTAATTGCGGACTTTTTTAATTTGTTGATTTTTTTGCGGACCTTTTTCCGTGCCGGCATAATTGAAATATACCTGAATATTCTAATGTCCCTATAAAAATTTTAAAATTTATTTCTCAAAAATTAAAAAAAGATGAGCCTAACAACGTCAAAGAACTTGCTCAATTAAATTCTTTTGCTCATTCAACAATTCTAAATGAAAATTTCCATCATTTCCCTCAAAGTCTAGATCAAGTTCGTGAATTTGTGGAGGAATATTTAAAGGTGTTTTTTTTCAATTTTTTCAAAAAAATAATATTTTATTAAGACAAAATTATCAAAAGAAGTTCCTTTCCTTGTACTTGGTTTGCTTAGACAATCGACAAAATTAATGGCGGTGGGTTGAGTTTTTATTCAAAAAAAAGTCCGCAAAAAATTTGCGGACAATCCGCAAAAAACTTGCGGACTTTTTCTGAAAGTCTGCAGAAAACTTGCGGACTTTTTCTGAGGATTCCTCTTATTTCTCTTGATTATTCCTGGAATTCCGGCCGCGTTTTTTGATTTTATCGTTTAATATTACCATTTATCATAGAAAAAAAGAGAGAGAAATAAGAGGAGAAGTTCGCAAATCTGTCACCTTCCCCCTTAAACAAGTGCCAATATTTTTTTTATTTACAATTAACTTCATATAAAAATAAATATTTATTTTGTAATTAAAATACCAACATCTTATTTTTCATCAAAATTATTTTTGTTTACAAAATTTATTTTTTTATTTTTTTTATTTCCTTCTTCATAATTCGAAAATAATTTTTTTTCCTTATTTTTATTTATTTTTTTCCTCAAAATTTAAAAATAAAAAAAAATATATTTTCTCTAATTTTTTTCTTTCCCAATGTATCTTTTAAAGCTTTATTTATTCTTTCATCAAAACTTTTCTCTTACCCATCTGCGCTCTTTAAATTCCCTAGAGATTTTATAACTCTTGTTGATGGATTCGTTAAATTTTTTAAAAAATATTTTGAGGGTGCTAGAGCTATCATCGAATTGGAATTTTTTTGCCATTATATTTTTTGAGGACCTCATAAGATGCTCCTAAGTACGCCTTAATTTAGGATACACCTCATTATAAAGTATGATTTTTCAGCTCAAGGGGGCTACCTTATAGTGAGGTCCGTAGTAATGGGGGTATCTATTGAGAGGTTCAACCCAGTACCACCCCAACTTTAAGAAGTTGGGGTGGTACTGGGTTGGGGCCTACCTAAGCAATTCAAGATAACCTTATTATAAGATAAGATTATTTAATTCCACGAGTGAAGGTTCTTATGGTGAGGTTTAACGTAATTTTTTGGCTATACAACTGATTCGTACCTGTACACCCTTGGTGCCTAAAAGTGCAGTCATATTTTAGTCATACATCCTAGTTAACCCCATCCACCCAAAACCTATATACTCGTGGTTTTTTTGGCATAATATATATTTTTGGGCATATTTTTTACCAAAAATGCGTTTACTCAATTGGATGGTCAACAACTTTACTGTAAATAATAAAAAGAAAAAATCCTCCCAAAATCAACAAATTTATGACAACAATACTTCAAACTTTCTCCATTCTTCCCTCTTCCTTATTGCTCAAAAACAACATGGGGTAATTAACGAACATCCTCCAACTAAGCAAAAACACCCTTGGGAGACTACAAAGCGTTTTATGCGATTTCCATTGAATTTAATGGCAAATAAAGGGCGTTTAAGGTAATAAATTAGGAAAAAAATTTATGAAGTATGGATTGGAAAATTTCAAAAAATTTATTTAGAAAATTGTCCGCATCTTCCTCCTCTTCCTCCTTTTCTGAAGAAGTTTGGCTTAGAATGCGAACAAATAATGACCAAAAAAACATTGAAAATACCCCACAAAAACAACGTTCAGTTGAAAATCGTCGCTTTACAGAATCCCCAAAAGCGTTGAGACGAAGTTTTCGTCGAGTTCGACAACGTGGAGGATCTGTACATTTTACTAAAATTAAATCTGAAGAAGAAGGAAAAAGAATTGTTAGGCCAAACAGTCTTAACTTAAAATTAAATGGAAATTGTGCGGAGGGAAGGAATTATTCAATTAAGAATGAACGAGAAAACATTGACGAAGAACAGAAAATAGAAAAAGGTAAACAGAAACTTGACCCAAAGTCAGAATTAACAACCTCCGCTATTCTGAAAAATTGTTACTTTGGTGTAGTGGGAAAATTTTTGGTTCTGTAACCAAAGGGTCAAAGGTTCGAATCCTCTTAGTGGAAAACAATTTTTATATTTTATAAATATTTAAATAAAAATTTTTTTAAAGGAATTGACATTAAAAAAATTAAAAATGATGAAGAAATTGTTGCCAATTTAAAAGAAAATGATTCAAAAGTTGAAGAAAATCAAAATTCATTTGGAGAAGAATCAAAAAATGTTACAGATTTTGCCTTTCAATTACAACAAAAAATGACAAAAGTTCTCAGACATCAGTATGGTAATGGTAGAAAACTTCACGTTTTATTTGTGGATAGTCCTGATATTTGTAATCTTCGAAAAGAAAACTTCGTCAACAACGAAAACCAAGGGAAATATCAAAGGAGAAAATGGTCTAGTGAACGTTTACCTTCTAAAAGTTTATTAAAAAATCGACGATTATTAAATTCTAAAGATGAAGAAAAAGAAGGAAATTTTTTAAAAAGAAAAAATGATTTAAAAACAAACAATTCTTTAATTAATCAAAAAAGATTTTTTGAAAGAAAATATTTTGATCTAACAAAAAGACATTCAAATGCAAGTACTGGAAGTGGAAATGGAATTATTTATGGCAATAATAGGTGATATCTAGCAGTTATGTTTGTAGGCTTTTATTAAAGATCTAATTTTAGACAAAAAGAGAAGGCACGAGCAACAAAAGGAGTAGAAAAAATTGAAAAAAATGAATTTACTGAAGCAAATGACGAAAAATTAAACATTAAAAGGCGTTTTTGGTCACTTAGAAATAAAAAGAGAAAATTTAGCAATAATTTTGGGTGTGAGATTATTAATTGTGGAAAGAAGGTAAGCTTGCTAAAATGATTGGGGAGGGGGGGGGTATCTTTAAAAATTATCATGTTTTATGGGAGAGAAACTCAGAGGAAAAAACCAAATATTAAATTTTTTAGTTAAGCAATAGCTGTGAAACTGTTGGAACTCGACTTGCTTTATTTGAACAAGGATGTGAACAAGATCGTGTTTGGATGTGTAAACGCGTTGTACGCAAGCAAAATGAAATTGAAAAAATTGTTAAGGCATGCTATGGCGTGGCGGCGCTTTTTAAAATTTTTTTAAATTTTTTTAAATATATTTTTCTCAATTTTTCTCTCCAAAATCCTTTTTATCTCTCTATTCTCTACTAAAATTCATAAAACCCCTCCAAAGTTTTTTTAAAATTGTCATTTAAATAATATTGGCACTTGTATAATATTTGAGGTATCTGCTTTTTGCGGATTACTTTTGAGGATCTTTTGGTATATATGTTATTTATTTTTTAGTTAACTGGTGAATGGGTTCAAGTCCAAATTTTACATCTACCAAACGAGCCGGAAGGATTGGGGTTTGGCATAGTTGGTGGACACAGTACTGGCGTTGTAATCAAGTCTATAGTTGCTGGAAGTGTGGCAGATAAAGTAAAATGTCAAATTTGAATAAAATTTTCTTGGTTAATTTTAGGATCAGAGGTTAAGGCCAGGTGATAGAATTCTTCAAATTGGTCATATTTCAACGCAAGGACTTAATAGGTGTTTAAAATAAAATATTATTTTTTGTTCGCAAATATTTTTTGCGGACATTCTTTTTCCTCAGTTTGTATTTTGACGTGTAACTAACTCAAAATTTTGCCTCAAATTTGAGCCATAAAACTGCAAACTTCAGAAATTCAGTCAAAACCTAAATAGAAAATACCCTAGGGTTTTAATTAAAATAAAAATTCAGTCAACAAATTGCTGCTCTACTTCGACAACAAGACGGCCCTTATGTCCAAATGACTGTTGCACATTCCATTCAATTGCAGGATACAGAAACAACAGATACCCCAAGTAATCAAAAAAATTTTTTTTTAAATTTTTCTACTAAAATGGAAGTGAAATTTTAATCAAAAAATTTTTTTAATTGCGTCAGTTGGCAAAAAAACCAGCGTGTGAATTTTCCCTTATATAGAAGAGAAAATTCAATAAATATTCACAGCTTTTAAGTTTTTATTTTTAGCTTATAAAATAATATTTATGTTCAAATGCTGTTGCGAGCTATCTAGTATAAGCGAAATTAATATATCTGAGTGGGAGAGCCATTTAAGCTATACTCCCTATTTAGCATACACTCATTATAAGGAACCCTCTATTTTTGATACACATCATTATGAGCGACAAATTTTTTATCTTTGAATATTAAGGCTTTGCCTGTAATTTTTAAATGTATTTATTTCATTAGTGTGTTGGACAATGGCAACAAGAGCGGCACTTTCAGCAACTACATTAGACGAGGAAGTTCAACGTCGTTTAGAGTTGATGGCTGTAATTTTTAAAAATATCTTTGAAAATGAAAAAAAATTTTAAAGTCAAAGCCTAGTACAAGTAGATGTAATGGAATTAATCATTCAAAAACAACTCCAGCAACTTTAAATGAAGGGACTGAATTTCCAGATCAATTAATTAATAGGCTTGGACCTGAAACTGTTTTGAAAGGTGTTTGGATTTTTTTGTTAACGGGGGTTGAGAGAATATTTTTGAAAAGTGACTAGTGTCGAGTGAGATGTTTTGCGGAGTTTTTTCAATTTTCCGGAATTTAGTAAAATATTTTACAAATTGTACAAACTTTTCCGGAATCTAATAAAATATTTTACAAATTGTAAAACCTTTTCCGGAATTAAAAAAAATAATTTACAAATTGTAAAACTTTTCCGGAATTTAATAAAATATTTTACAAATTGTAAAACCTTTTCCGGAATTTAATAAATCATTTTACAAATTGTAAAAACTTTTCCGGAATTAAAAAAAATATTTTACAAATTGTAAAAACTTTTCCGGAATTAAAAAAAATATTTTACAAATTGTAAGAACTTTTCCGGAATTGAAAAAATATTTTACAAATTGTACAAACTTTTCCGGAATTAAAAAAAATATTTTACAAATTGTAAAAACTTTTCCGAAATTTAATAAAATATTTTACAAATTGTAAAACCTTTTCCGGAATTTAATAAATCATTTTACAAATTGTAAAAACTTTTCCGGAATTAAAAAAAATATTTTACAAATTGTAAAAACTTTTCCGGAATTTAATAAAATATTTTACAAATTGTAAAACCTTTTCCGGAATTTAATAAATCATTTTACAAATTGTAAAAACTTTTCCGGAATTAAAAAAAATATTTTACAAATTGTAAAAACTTTTCCGGAATTAAAAAAAATATTTTACAAATTGTAAGAACTTTTCCGGAATTGAAAAAATATTTTACAAATTGTACAAACTTTTCCGGAATTAAAAAAAATATTTTACAAATTGTAAAAACTTTTCCGGAATTAAAAAAAATATTTTACAAATTGTAAAAACTTTTCCGGAATTAAAAAAAATATTTTACAAATTGTAAAAACTTTTCCGGAATTAAAAAAAATATTTTACAAATTGTAAGAACTTTTCCGGAATTGAAAAAATATTTTACAAATTGTACAAACTTTTCCGGAATTAAAAAAAATATTTTACAAATTGTAAGAACTTTTCCGGAATTGAAAAAAATATTTTACAAATTGTAAAAACTTTTCCGGAATTAAAAAAAATATTTTACAAATTGTAAAAACTTTTCCGGAATTAAAAAAAATATTTTACAAATTGTAAGAACTTTTCCGGAATTGAAAAAATATTTTACAAATTGTACAAACTTTTCCGGAATTAAAAAAAATATTTTACAAATTGTAAAAACTTTTCCGGAATTAAAAAAAATATTTTACAAATTGTAAAAACTTTTCCGGAATTAAAAAAAATATTTTACAAATTGTAAAAACTTTTCCGGAATTAAAAAAAATATTTTACAAATTGTAAAAACTTTTCCGGAATTAAAAAAAATATTTTACAAATTGTAAAAACTTTTCCGGAATTAAAAAAAATATTTTACAAATTGTAAGAACTTTTCCGGAATTGAAAAAATATTTTACAAATTGTACAAACTTTTCCGGAATTAAAAAAAATATTTTACAAATTGTAAAAACTTTTCCGGAATTAAAAAAAATATTTTACAAATTGTAAAAACTTTTCCGGAATTAAAAAAAATATTTTACAAATTGTAAAAACTTTTCCGGAATTAAAAAAAATATTTTACAAATTGTAAGAACTTTTCCGGAATTGAAAAAATATTTTACAAATTGTACAAACTTTTCCGGAATTAAAAAAAATATTTTACAAATTGTAAGAACTTTTCCGGAATTGAAAAAAATATTTTACAAATTGTAAAAACTTTTCCGGAATTAAAAAAAATATTTTACAAATTGTAAAAACTTTTCCGGAATTAAAAAAAATATTTTACAAATTGTAAGAACTTTTCCGGAATTGAAAAAATATTTTACAAATTGTACAAACTTTTCCGGAATTAAAAAAAATATTTTACAAATTGTAAAAACTTTTCCGGAATTAAAAAAAATATTTTACAAATTGTAAAAACTTTTCCGGAATTAAAAAAAATATTTTACAAATTGTAAAAACTTTTCCGGAATTAAAAAAAATATTTTACAAATTGTAAAAACTTTTCCGGAATTAAAAAAAATATTTTACAAATTGTAAAACCTTTTCCGGAATTTAATAAATCATTTTACAAATTGTAAAAACTTTTCCGGAATTAAAAAAAATATTTTACAAATTGTAAAAACTTTTCCGGAATTAAAAAAAATATTTTACAAATTGTAAGAACTTTTCCGGAATTGAAAAAATATTTTACAAATTGTACAAACTTTTCCGGAATTAAAAAAAATATTTTACAAATTGTAAAAACTTTTCCGAAATTTAATAAAATATTTTACAAATTGTAAAACCTTTTCCGGAATTTAATAAATCATTTTACAAATTGTAAAAACTTTTCCGGAATTAAAAAAAATATTTTACAAATTGTAAAAACTTTTCCGGAATTTAATAAAATATTTTACAAATTGTAAAACCTTTTCCGGAATTTAATAAATCATTTTACAAATTGTAAAAACTTTTCCGGAATTAAAAAAAATATTTTACAAATTGTAAAAACTTTTCCGGAATTAAAAAAAATATTTTACAAATTGTAAGAACTTTTCCGGAATTGAAAAAATATTTTACAAATTGTACAAACTTTTCCGGAATTAAAAAAAATATTTTACAAATTGTAAAAACTTTTCCGGAATTAAAAAAAATATTTTACAAATTGTAAAAACTTTTCCGGAATTAAAAAAAATATTTTACAAATTGTAAAAACTTTTCCGGAATTAAAAAAAATATTTTACAAATTGTAAAAACTTTTCCGGAATTAAAAAAAATATTTTACAAATTGTAAAAACTTTTCCGGAATTAAAAAAAATATTTTACAAATTGTAAAAACTTTTCCGGAATTAAAAAAAATATTTTACAAATTGTAAGAACTTTTCCGGAATTGAAAAAATATTTTACAAATTGTACAAACTTTTCCGGAATTAAAAAAAATATTTTACAAATTGTAAAAACTTTTCCGAAATTTAATAAATCATTTTACAAATTGTAAAAACTTTTCCGGAATTAAAAAAAATATTTTACAAATTGTAAAAACTTTTCCGGAATTATGTAAAAAAAATATTTTACAAATTGTAAGAACTTTTCCGGAATTGAAAAAATATTTTACAAATTGTACAAACTTTTCCGGAATTAAAAATAATACTTTACAAATTGTAAAAACTTTTCCGGAATTGAAAATATTTTACAAATTTTAACAACTTCCGGAATTTAATAAAATATTTACAACTTGTATAATATTTTATTTAATTCCGAAATGGGTGCTTAAAAATGTGGCATATAACACAAGAGTACCTTTAAAAATTTCTAAATTTTTAGATTTAAATAAACAAAGTACTTCTTCAATTGATATTGTAGCTGAAGGTGGTAGTACAAGTGTAGATTCTTCATCCAAAACAAAGAGGACAGCAGCAGAAAAACTTTTATTAGACTCTGAAAGGAAAAATGGAAAAAGGAAAAAATTTCGTTCCAGTCGGGTTTGGTGTTTAATATATTTTATTTACTTAGGGATGGACACTCCTTTGTGGTAGAAAAGTTCAGATTCGGTGTTCTTTGCATTGACTTTTGGAGTTTTTTGGTTAAGCTAATCCATGTAACAAAATTCAATTGCCATATAGGTCCCGAAATTCTTAAATATCGTGCAAGAATAGGAAAAATCATATGACTTGCGCACATAATTTGCGGACTTTTTTTCTTGCGGACGAAATTTGCGAACTTTTAAGAATTTTTTGAACTTTTTGTCTAGCTCCGAAAATTTTTTTTCAATTTTAGGGTCAATCAAACGACAATCCATCATGTTCGTCTTCTTCCGAAAGGCGTTCACTAAGACAACTACAAGAAATGGTACTAAAAAAATTTTTTTTGAAAGTTTATTTGAATTTTTCCCTTGTAGGCATTAACATCATTTTGTCGTGATAAATGGATTAATGGAAAATATAAAATAATTAATGTAGAATTAAATAGGGATTCAAAAATTGGACTTGGAATAACTGTGGCTGGTTATGTTTATAAAAAAGGTGAATTATAATTAAAAACTTATTTAATTTAACTACACACTCCAATATTCGCAAGCTCAAAATGGTCAAAGTAAACCTATTCAAGCCGGCTTTCGCTTTTCAAAATTAATTTCGTGTTTCGCTTTATTTTTGCTTTCGTCTTTGACTAAAAATCTTTAAATATGCTAAACTCTTTTATATTTTTTAGTAAAACAATTTTTTGGCACATCATTTTTATTTTCTTCCTCTGTCTTTTAAATAACATTTACTACAACTTTTTTTTGCAAAAAAAAACAATTTTCTTCTTTGTTAATTTTATATATTCTTTTGCTTTTCTATTTTTTCTAGTTTCTTCTTTTTATTTTTTTTTATTTTTTACACCAAACACTATAAACTATGCCATAACAAGCTTCTTCTTTTTCCTAAATATTGGCTGAAAGGAAAAATTATTATTTTTTAGGAATTTTATAAAAATCATTTCCTTTTACAGCAATCAAAATTTTCTGTTTTTTAAAAGTTATGTATAAAATGCCCAATAAAATTTTATTAATAAATACAAAAAATAAAATAGTTAATACTTCTCAGAGGTGTGCCAATTTTACTTTCGTCTTTCGCGAATTTTGTTTTTTATGCTTCGTCTTTTGTCTTTTAAATTAGTTTCGCATTTTTGTATTTCGCATTTCGTCTTTCGCTTTTTAAATTTGTTTGGCACGTCCCTGGATTAATACTGTGGAAATCTCCCCCTGGGTATCACTAAAAAATTTTTTATTTTCAGAAGAAATAAGCGGCGTTTTCATCAAATCATTAGTACCTCAATCATCAGCCCATCTTTCAAAACAAATTCAATTGCATGATCTTATAGTTGAAGTTAATGGAAGAAGCTTGGAAGGATTGAGTCATGTAAAATTTTCAAAAATTTTTTTGAAAGAATTTTTAACTTAAAGAATGATTCAGTTAGAGCATTAATTAACAGTGGAAATAATGTTGTAATGAAACTTGTACGGTTTGATGCAGAAACGCCCCAAGCAAAGTGCCTAAAAATGCTTCATGAACAGGTGGACGCTTTTTGAGTGACTAAAGATTTTTTATAATTTTTTGAAGAAATTTAAAAGAATTGTAAAAAATTTTTGCGGATGTTTTTTGCGGACGTTTAAAAAGTGGCATTTTTGCTTATTTAATTTAAGTTTAATATAACTATTCCTTTAACTAAAAATAAAATACTAAGATTGACCAATGTGAAGAGGGAAAAACTTCAAAAAGGTCCGCAAAAATTTGTCCGCATAAAAAGACTTATTTGCGGATTTTTTGAATTTTCTCTAAAAATCCGGAAAAAAGTCCGCAAAAAAGCCTAATTAAATATGTCCGCAAAACTTTTTTGAATGACTTTTAAATTTATTTGTTAAAGGAATTAGCTGTCGCCGCTTCAGTACATTCCGAATCAGCCGCTTCTTCAAGTACTGCAACTGGACGTGCTGGAAGAACTGCTTCACCCCTTCCAGAAGCACTTTGTGAACATCACAAAAAACATTCTCTTGTTGATTATAAAGTAAAGGAAGAATTTTTTTAATATTTGGATTCTTTTCTTTTTTAATCCCTGAAAGTCCAAAATTCTAATAAAAATTGTTGCTGTGGACTTTTAAGAGCATTAAGGATAAAAAACCAAAAATTAATTTAAAAAATTTTTCCAGAGTTTTTGGTCAAATAAATTTGGTTCAGAATATGATATTATTGTGGTTGATTTAAAACCGGATGATAAAATTGAAATAGATGGGGGAATTGGTATTGAATGGCAAGGGACTGTTGATGTTTGCAATGGTAGGGGTTTATGAAATTTATTTGGGCCCTGTTAGAGTTTATCAGCCCATTATAGGACTCATAAAGTCGGCTGAAAATATTATGAATCCAATGGATGTCTAAGATCTTTAGATCCAAAAAGGAGATTAAGCCGTGCTTTAAAGTAAAGGAATCAGAAGTATTCTCTATGCGTAGTTCAACAGATTTGGAAAGATTTGGGGGGATTTGAAGTGATTATCTGTGGATATAAAGGGATTTACAGAGATGAAGGGATTAGTACGGATTTTGGGGATGTTAACAGATTTGGAGGGATTTTGGGTGATATAATGGTGGTGGGATATCGCGGGATTCATTGCACTCAAGCTAGAAGATAGATTCAGTTTAAAATAAAAAATTTAAAATATCAAGGAAATCAGTTATGTTCTCATCATTTTATTTCAAGTCTTCGTAGAAATGGTCCAGCAGAGAAAACGGGCATTTTAAAGGCTGGGGATGAGCTTTTACAAGTAAAGAAATTTTTTTTATTTATTTAAAAAAATTAAAAAAAAATAGGTCAACGACATATCACTTTATGGGGAATCTTTTGTAAAAATGCGTAAAGTATTAAATCGTGAAAGGCGTGAAAATTCTCCTTTTATTCGGCTAATATTTTGTAGAAAAACTGAATTAGGTAAATAAATATTTTAAATTTAATAAATTGTTTACAGTATAAGTTCAGATTTAAATACAGGGGAAACTCTATATGGCGACAATCCTTGAGTTAAATTTTACAGACTTAGAAAGAGATTTTTACTGACGTAAGAAATAGGGCTAAAAATATCCCCTTCAGGGTCAAATTGGGTTGACGTATGTATGTACGCAAGGGACGTATGAGAGAGCGTCGTTATAAAGACCTCCAAAAGTAGATAACCTCGATTAAAGAGATACTTTGTAAATTTGGTTGTCCATAGGCTTATGGCCCTAGCGATATTTTTAAGATCAATCATTTTAAGATAAAATCTTTTCTTCCCTAAAAGTGATATTAAAATTGTAACTTTTACAATAAATAATTTTTTTCTAGACTTTATTAATTTTGTGATACCATCACCAGAACAGTGCCTTCCTATAGCTTACCCTTTATTAGCCTCAATGATGGCTGGTGAAGAACATTTTATTAAAGTGGGTATTTTGTGGGGTTTTTCTACTGAATTGTGTCTATTTTAGGCAAAATCAGAAATTGGCCTTTGTCATCTTAATGGAAAATTAAATGGAAAATTCACTTCAACCCCACGTAGATCCTCGGTAAAATTAAAAATTTTTTTTAAAATTTTTCCAAAAAATATTATCATTTAATTAGGCATTTATTCGCCGTCCTCAATTTAAATCACGTTCACTTGAAAATTTGTCTGGTTTAGCTGTCTGGAATTGTGTTCCTTTAGTTGTTCCTTTACTTAAGGATGTTAAAGGACTTGGATTTTCTATTGCTGATTATCAGGCATTTAAAAAATAATTTTTAACCAACCTGAAGATTTCTAAATTTTAAAGGACCCATTACACCCTGGAGAAAGAGTTGTTTTAATTATTAGAAGTTTAGTTCCTGGAGGGGCAGCACAAGTGCGTTTATAAACTTATTAGTTACTTTTCAGTAATTTTTAATTTTTTCTAGGCCGATGGACGAATTGTCCCTGGGGATAGACTTCTCTTTGTTAATGACAAAGACCTTTCGAACAGTTCCTTGGAGAATGCTGTTGAAGTGTTGAAGGTAAAAAATTATTAGTTAAAATTTAATTAGCAAGTCAGACCTATATTAAGCTCTATCTCATTGGTTTTAAAAAATTGCCGCTTATAATGTGGGAGAGTTATCTAGAGATAGGACTGGGAGTGTGTACGAGAATTGAGATTTCGATAGAGATCTTGATAACCGAGATTTTCGATCGAGATCTCCTCTCGGTCCGCTATAGAGTTATCTCAAATTGAGGGAGTATCAATAAGGCAGGCTCTCACAAAGGATGGGCCGGATTGCCCAAAATCAAATACCCTGACCTTTTTCGACCTGAAATCCTATCCTTCCTCCCTCATACCTTTCCTCACGCAACGTCTCTTAAACAGAGGCTAATTTAATAATTGGGTATATCTTATAATGAGCTCTAGTACCTTTAAATTTATTTTTAATCAAAAAAAATATTTTTTAGACAGCTCCTGTTGGCCAAATTGTTCGTCTTGGCATTGCAAAGCCTGTTCCTATTGAAAAGGTGGGGATTTTATTTTTTATATATATTTTTTTAATTAAAAAAATTTTTTAATCTAAAATTTACTCATTATGCACTTTTTTTTTAATTTTTTAATTTTCAAAATATTTGTTTTTGTCTAGTATTTTCTAAACTTTTTTTTAACTAACGTCTATATCTCTGAGAAAAATAATTATTATTAATCCCTTTTTTATATCAGACCTATTCCCATTTTTTTAATTTTCCTAAAAGTAAACAGACAAAAAACATGTGAATATTAACGCTAATTTTTGTATTTTTTAATATCATGTCAAGCATTTTTTAAATAATTTTAATTAATATTAGTAGGGTTTAAGGTCCCCTTTTTTAAATTTTATCAATTTCCAGTTTATTTATTATCAGAGTCTTAATAGCGCTGTTTAATGTCTCACACTTTTTCAATTTGAAAAAGGTGGGCCTATTAACATTAGCTGAAGGTTTGGGCTGCGTTTTAGACTAGGAATGGGCTGGCTTTCTTTTCCGTCATCCGTCCACAGAATTCATCTTTTTTTTTGCCCTTATGCTTCAGAGTTTCGTCTGCTTTTTTTTAGTTCGGCAGGACAGATTCCTGGGCTGAACCTGGTAAATCATCCCTGGGCTTTCACATTCAAAAATTAATCTCTTCTAAATCTTTTTTTTTGTACTTCTCTTTAAAAAACCGGTTATTATTCAAAACTTTTTTCAAAACCGCGTGAAAACTTTCGTTTATTATACTTTTAATCTTTTTTTATTCAAAAATAATAATCCTATTTTTTCCTTTTTTAACAAAAATTTTTTTTTTCATTAATCTGTTTAGATGTCAAAAATATTTATTTTAAAATATATTCGGGTTGTTTAAATTTTATAGATATTATAGTTGAGGATCTTATTTTTAAATACATACATATACTAGAAATTCGGAATCCGAAATTTTATTTAGCCCGATCTGAATATCCGTCCCAGACTTAATTCTCAACCCTGACCCTTCCCTGCTAGATACACCTTTTATTTAGATACATCTTTTTTATTTAGAGTTTTTTTTTATTTTGGCAGATTACAAACTGTGGTATTGCTTAAGCATTACCCCCTCAATTAATATACCTAAACACAATATTGACCTCATTCTACTATATGACCTCCAATACTAGACACACCCAGTGATGCGGGAGTTCCAGTTCCGGAACTGGAACTGTGGAACCGCTAAAATATTGGAACTTCCGCATCACTGGATACACCTCCATTTAAGATATATTTCTTAAACTTGAGTTGCCTTGTAGTGTAGAAAGCCTCACGGAAACAATACCCCCAATTTAAGATGGGTACACTTCATTATAGGATTCAAAAATTTTTAAATTCAAAGGTATATTTAAAAATGAGGGTCAGACTTTATATTTAAATTTATATTCAACAATTAATCTTTTTTTATTTTTGCAAAAATCTTTTTTCTTCGAAAATATTTATTTCCTATTTTAGTAAAATATAATTTATAATTAATTACTTTTTTTATTTCCCCTGTAAAATGACTTATTACTTTTTCAAAAAAAATTTTTTTGGGGGGCTATTTTAATTCTTATTCTTAAGCCCTTTCTTTTAGTTCTTAACCTCTTTAATACACAATCGAATTTCAATAGCTCGTCTTCTCTTTAGCACCTCTTATTCTTGTTTTTGGCTCAATTTGGTACCAATGGTATCATCGGGATTCGAATGAAATTTCCAAAATAAATATTTTTTTCTAATCCTTTTTTGGTTATTTGTTATCTTTTCTTTCTTGATACCACATATTATTCTGAAGAAAAAAATTTCATTTTGGTTCATATTTTAAAATTTTTTTTATTTAAAAATGTATCTTAATCATTCATAAACACCCACACCTCATTTTTAAAATTATTTTCGACCTCCAAATAATTTTGTTGTGATTAATTTTAAATATAATTTTTAAATGCAAATATTTTTAAAATAAAAGCGTAATATAAATTACAAGCAAAGATCACTTTAAGATACCCCCTTGAGGGTAAAATAGTCTCTTATAATAAGATATATCAAAATAATAGGGATTTTTGAGGTGTATCTTATAGCAAGATTTTACTGGTTGAAAAAAAGCGAAATACGAAATTAAATAAAAAAACAAAACGCGAAAAAAACATTTTACAGGGCGATAAGAACCCTGATACCAGGGCTAGACAAGATTTAGAAAAAATCGGGTAGGGTTTTTTTTTATAAAAATTTCTTCGGATCGAAGGAAATTTTCTTTGGGGTTCGTGTAACCCGTAACATCCCCCACTTGATCTATAGATATCAGGGCTGGAAAATTTTGAATTTTAAAAAGCGGAAGGCGGGAGCGAAAGAAACCGGAATAAAATAAAAAAGGTGTAGACGAAAGGCGGAAGCGGAAGAGCCAAAAAAAGGAGAATTCTGTGGAAGGCTGCAAGCGGAAGAAAATTCAGCCCTTCTTGATACATATGCTTTAATCTCATTTTTTCATGTTCCTTTTTTTAATTAAAAACAATTGTGTGTATATCCACTTTGTTTTTAGGTAGCTTTAAAAAAAGAAAAGCAGAGAGTTTTTCCTAAATCTCTTTATTTTTATTTATTTTTATTACCAACCGACTCTCTTACTGCATTGTAAAAAATATATACCTTTATTTTACACTAAAACTACTAAATGCTTCACTGGCTTATTTTTTTTCTTGCTCTTTCCCTTCTCTTTTGTTTTCCTTATTTTTTTATCGTCTGGTTTGTATTTTTATATTGATCCTCACACTTTAATTCACGTCCATTCTCGCTTTTTTTTCCTAAAAAACCAACGTCCAGATTTAATTTAATATCAACAATGTCCGGCACTTAATTTCATAGATTAATGCATATCAGTGAAGCCGACAAAAAAAACAAAATTCCCGATTTGTGAGATCGGGCCGTAAAACCCGAACCCAGAAAACGTCGGGAAATGGCGATTTTCGGGAATCGGGACACCCGTTCCATGATGCATATCTTCTGGCAATTTACCAATCTCGACATTTCTTAACTAAAGCCTGTTTTCAATTACCTTATAAAAAGAGGCTTTAATTTGTAAATTTCATTGTGTTTTGGTATAACTTCAGCATTTTCGTTAAAATAAATTTGTGAACAATAGTACCGTAAATTCAATGAGTGATTAAGAGGTGCTAGGAAAATACCTATTTTGTATGGTAAAGTATCGAGTAACTGTAGATTTCTTCTGCTAAATTAAAAAAAATTTTGTTTTTGCTAAAAATTTATTTTTAGAAAAATATTTTTTATGAAAAAATTCATCATTTAAAATCCCATTAAATTTACTAAAAAAATTTTTCTTTCAATTCCCATCCCTACTATTTATTATTTTTATTTCTACCACCTACCCATCACTTAACCCCTGGCATATTTTTTTTATTTTTTTTATTGGCCCAGATTTTGGGTTCTATTTTTGAAAGAAAATAGAGAGAGAAACGGCTGGTTTTCATTGATTCACTTTTTAAATTCCATTCCCAAACTTTTTTTTTTATTTTATTGAACGATTAAATAAAAATTGAATGGAGAAAGTTAAGAATTGGGGAGAATTTAAAAAAAAATTTTTTTTTAATATTTTTATTAATTTTTACAGTCGGACTTTTATCTTTAAGTACAACCGTTGATAATTAATTATTTTTTGCTAAAATTTTTTTATAATTTCTTGTCCTATTTTTAGTGCCGATTAAGTACATCTCCGCTTATTTCTGAAAGTGAACGTTTCCAGGCAAAATCGCATTCACCGCGAGGGAGGAGGCGTAGGCGTCGAGAAAGCAGCAGCCTTCAATTGCTCAACACTGCTGACCAGGTACTTGAAAAAGTGTAGCTGATGTAGCTGACTAGTAGTGTTTCACCGGGACCGGAATTTTAACCGGATCCGGGTCCAGTTTGAGTCCCGGAATCCCGGAACCTGAACCAAAAAAAACGCCGGAACTCTATGGAACCGGAACTTCCGGTGAAACTCTACTGACTAGGCATTACCTTCTATTTAATGTACCCCTCATTATAAGAGACTTCAACCCAACCCCTTATAGCGAGGGTTGGCTATATTTTTTGCAAAGATAATTCCAAAAAGCACTACTATAATGTCACTTCCACTTAAAAATAAATTCATTTAAATTTAAAGAAAAAGGCAAAAATAAAGTAAAAGCCCTAGCCACTACACCACTAAATATTAAGGAATTTTTAGACGGCTAATTCTCTTTTTTTTATTTTTTTTTGTTTGGCCACCACTTTTTTTTATTTGGGCGGTTGACAAATTTATATTTATTTATTTTTCTTCTTTTTTAACATTTAAATATATTTTTGGCTTTTACTTTTTTCCCCTCTTTTTTTGCATTGGAATAAAAATATAAATTTTTATTTTTTGCCGTTGCAACGACAAAAAAATTTTTTTTCCTTTAGAAATTGAAGAGAAAAAAGAAATTTTTTAAAAATCCCCAACGGATTTTTAAAGAAAATTAACTAATAAAATTAAATTAATTCATGTCGGGGTCACCTAAAAATTGTTCGGGGTCGGAGTTGTTTAAGTTATTGGGAGAATTATTAGGAGAGTTATTGGGAGAAACCCAAGCTCGAGTAATGCTGAGTATTAGGATCCCGAATTCTGAGCCCGAGTAATGATGAAAAACGCGAGCGATCGAGTCGAGTAACTCGTACTCGCTCAACTCGGACGTACAATAGTTGAGACTTTTGGGGTTTGGGGTTTAGCCAAAAAAGAGAAGGGCTATAAGGGGTCGGAGATCCAACCCTAAGTAAAAACAAAATTTTTTAAATCAATTTTCCCCACAGTGCTTTCTTTCGACCGGATCCAGTCAAGAAGAGATTTGGATAGGTCAACAACAACACAATTCTCTTTATAATTCCCAACGGTGCTTAAATCCACAGGTATTTTTAAAAAGTTGAGACACTAATTTGGGTGTTTAACCATCAATTCATTAAAGTGACGCATAATGGAGCGTCGTTATTGAGAGACTTTTTTTCAAAAAGGCGGCACAAGCATGTGGAAGCTTAAGGGTCCTTAAGGATCAAAAAAGGCCCAAGTAGGCGAAGCGGGAGGCGAAGTCTTCCCTGCTACACATATATCAGGGATCCATCTCAATTCTTGAAAATTGGGAAGTGAAAAAATTTTTTTGGGAATCTTAAAATATTTTTTGACGTAAGGTCCCTGTGTATTAAAAAAAAATTTAAATTTAATTTTAATTTATTTTTCCAGTTATATTTCCCTTCTCCAAGTAGTTTGGCATCTACTCCAAAAGTGAGTATACTTTTTCTTCTAAATTTAAATTTTTGGGAATTTACATATTTTTATTTAAATAAAATTCCTAACAAAAAAAATCACTTTTTTTAATTAATTAATTTTTGCTTTAATATCAATTTATTTTTTTCTATTCCTTATTTGTTTTTATCATTCATTCTCTCCTTTATTTTTTGTGGGGAGATAAAAAAAAATTTTTTTTAATATTTTTTTTCTAAAAATTTTTTGCTGATTGTGAATAATTTAAAAATAAAAAAAATTATGATATTCAGCTGAATTTATAAAAAAAATTTTTGGTCATTCTTCAACCAAATTTCATCAAGAATTCATTAAAAATTAATATTTTCTAGAGTCCTACCCATTCTCCTATGCAAACAGCCACAGTTTCTGCCTGGACCCCATGCTCAAGTCGTTCACTTTCTCCTTGTGCCTCACCTGCTGCCTCGTTGAGAGGTTCTTGGTCTTATGGTAAAATTAATTGATAGAACCTCACTATAAGGGATAACCCGTTGACAATTATACCGAAGTGTGTTTTATAATGAGAGGTTCTTAAATTGGGAGTATCTCGCTTTGACAGCTTTCCTTCACCAATAGGTCAAACAACCTTAAAAAACGTATCTTAAAAGGCTTATCTAATATGCCGTGCATGGTTAAGCCCCACGTTTAGAGTTTTAAGAGGTCTAATCTTGAAATTTTTCACCCCAAAACAACTTGCTCCCCTCTATGGTTTTTGACCATTTCGAGCCTTGTATCTCGGGTCATGGTTGTTTCCTCGGAATAATTTTTGTGTCATTCGACTAAGCTTTCTAATGACATATAATTCGAATATTTCAGTTTGGTAGGCATATTCGACAGCTTTTCCATACACCTCTATTTAATAGACGTTTTTAGACTTTGTTTGCCACTTGGTAAAGGAAGCCGCCGAGGCGACACCCCCAAAAGTTAAGATACCCTCTCGTTATAAGTTCGATTTTCTATTTTCTAAAGGGTTTCTTATAGTGGGGTTTTCGTCTATATTTAAACAAAATACGAAAAATTAATTTAAAATTTAAAGATATTGTATTTCTGCCTTCACACCTTGAAAGGCACATAAAAATCCTAAAAAGTTCGTTACCCTTGGGCGTTGTATTGGACGCTGATGCTGATAAAGCAATTAATGGTTGTGTTGCAAAAAATATTTGTAGTAAAAAGGCTTTGGCAAAAGATGGAAGAATACAGGTGTGGGGAAGGAAAAAATTTTGAAAAAAAATTTTTTTTATTTAGCCTGGCGATTTTATTGTTAAAATAAATGGTGAAAATTTGAGAAATGTTACTAATGCGCAGGCTAGGGCTATTTTGAAAAGGGCTAATTTGATTGGAGCTCAGTGCAAGTAAAATTTTGCAGATTATTTTTTTTCTTTTAAAATATTTACCCTTATGAGACCTTTGGGGTGATTTGGCCTTATAATGAAGCGTCTCTTATAAAGAGGAATACCAAATAATCCTCCTTATTCCAGATACATTTTAATTTGGCTGACACAAGACAGCTTGAGCTGCTTAAGCGATACCTCCAATATGTATTTACCTAAGCTACACATCATTATAAGTAGAGTTATGGCCCTGTCCGGTCCGAAAGATCGAGTCGGGCATCGAATTTTGGCACGAAAAGGACTCGGTCTGTCCGGTCCGACCAAAATGAGGCCCAAAAAAATGACTCGAAGACGGCAACCCTAATTATATGTGACAATTTTTTCTCCCTCAAGGGTGTCTCGTATCATTAGGTATCTTATCATTCTTCTCCCTCAAGGGTGTTTTAATCATCTTTAATAATTTCAAAAATTTTCAAGTATTTCATATATAACTGCTTCTGATGCTAGATTGTGGAAAGATCGTTTCCATAGATTAGACAGTGTTTCAATGTTTCCTACAGATGATAGTATACAACAAATACGTTCAGTACAACAGAATGTTTTTGAAAGTTCCAGGCTATCGCCAAAGTGAATTATTTTTTAATTTAATTTTATTTACGTCATTTTGGAATACGATTCTTTGCGTTCACACTTGTGGACCGAGGTTTAGAAACGAGCTTGGACGGGTTAAATTTAAATTGAAGACCGAAAAGTGAAGGCTAAAGTCAGATCTTTTAATCGGCTCGAACCCTATCGATGGAAACAGCATAACCCGAACCTATACTTTTTATGAGTTAGGCAGGAAGCTAGAAATCCTCCATTTTCCTACAAATCTAACTGAAGGACCGTACCGACTCAAAATTCTTTTAAAAAAATAAATTTCAGAGTTTATCCAAAATTCTACAAAAGTCCACTATTCAATGAAGATGAACAACAACAAATATTAACAACAACAACAAATGCCTTAGATTACAGCATTCCAAGTAGTGAATTACACTCTCCTAATAATGATGAACAACAATATTTACTTCCATCAACTTCACAAATATTTGAAGAAAATGTGGAAAAATCGAGAAAAGAGGAATTGACCCAAATGAGTCAATTAAATTTTGAAAGATTTGTTGATAATCTTCAAAAGGTGACTTTTTAGGAAAAATAGTCTTGTTTAACTTTAATAATATTACTACTACATAGTAGTATCGTTTGGGAACCCTCCAAAGAATTGAGAAAAATCTACATTAGACGACCCTACAGTCGAATCTCTCTAACTTCTCTCTAAGGACCGAGGTTATCCAACGTGAAAGAGGATCTAACAAGATTGACGGATCCTGGAAAATCTTCAGGAATTCTTATCTGAACCGATATTCGAACCGCAAATTTTGGATTCCAGTCTTTCGCTCCGATATCCGGATTTGGCAATTTTATCTATGTAGACTGCAGCCAACTAGCAGATAGAGTTTTAGATGACGTAAGAAGGAATATGACATAAGAGGGGACCAGGGATGGGCTGAGTAGAGATAAATTCATATGGGATTTCGGATAGCGTATCCGAAAAAATTATTGAATTTCTCTGGTATTGGATTTCTCAAGCATTGGAGTATCGGATTTCTTTGACCAATTTCGGACGGCTCTAGAGATTCGACTCTATTACCTCTAAAAAAATTTTTTTTCAAAGGCAATAATAGCTGATGCAATTTTTGATCTTTACATTCTTTGGAGTCGAGATAAACAAAGTATTTTACATTCCAATATTGCGGCAACAGCACCTTCACTTCCATCCCCATCAACTATTTCTTCGCCAAAACCAATAAAATCACCTCCTCGTGCTTTAAGAGCTGCTTCAATTGCTGTTACTCAACCACCTCCTAAACCCCAAAAAGGAATTCTTAGAAGAGCGGCATCTTCGTTTAGAAAGGTGAATAACACTTTTGAATCTAGGGAAGAGAAACTTGAGGATAAAAAGTTGCGGATTGGAAATTTGGGCGTAACTCTTTATAAGATATCCCCATTATAATATACCTTCATTATTAGATACCCCCAATACTAGATATATTTAAGATAGGTTTTAATTGGGTCGACTAATGATTAAGCGAATGCAACCATTAATTTACAAATATGTACACTTTTTAGAGGATCAGCCTTTAGTTGGTGAGAGGTCCCTCACTTTGTGTGGGTGAGAGGTCCCTCACTTTAGTGTGGGTGAGAGGTCCCTCACTTTAGTGTGGGTGAGAGGTCCCTCACTTTAGTGTGGGGTGAGAGGTCCCTCACTTTAGTGTGGGTGAGAGGTCCCTCACTTTTACCCCTAACCTTAGTTTAGCGTTCGATACCCCCAATGGGCGTATTTTATAACGAAATTAGACTCTATTTAAGATACACCTCATTTTTTAGTCATTATGTATGAAGGTATCTTATAGTCTGACTGTCAATAGCAAGATAATCGACTGGTAATAAAAACAAGAAAATTAATTTTATAGCCAAAGTCTCCAGAGCTTAAAAATTAATAGGAATTAAAGGGGGAATATTTAATGTTAAAAAATTTGTAAGTCTCTCCCAAGGGTGTTAAAAGAGAAGGAAATAAACGGAAGTGGCCGCCTTCTTATAAAAATAAAATAAAGTGGGGAAGGAGAGAATGGCATATATAATTGATTTTCTAGTTTTTTTTCTGGATGAAAGGATATACTTAAATAAAAACAAAAAAAAGTGTTGGTACTTTCTTCATTTATAGATAAGGGACAAGAGAGACACATTGCAAAAATGAGATAAAAAATAAATTTTTTGTGTTCGTGGGAAAGGGAAGAATTCCTCTTTTCTCAAAAAATTTTTTTTTCTAATTTTAATTCTCAAGTAAAAAAGGAATATTTTTTGTCTCAGTTACACTTTAAGTGACCAACCTAGTATTTGAATAAACTCTGGAGCTCTTCGGATATCCGGATCCCCGTGTTTTGTCTGTTCCTCGTTTTGCCCCTCAAATCCTTCAGTATCCCACCGTCTTTCCCCTTACTTAATTTACGCTCTAATTCCTTATTGAAGGATTGAATGCCATAAGAAAAAAGAATAAAATAGAGAAATGAAGTTTTACCATTATGACTCCTTTTAGAGGAAAAAGGGCCTCAAAATTCTTTTGGACTCTTATTCCTTTGATTTTAGTCATAAAATTCGATATTAATTTTTTTTTAAAGAAGCGTTCCAAACCCCCAGAAGAACAACAACAAAATTTGGAATATATGACAACAACACCAGCAACAACGTCAAATATAGAGATGAATAGAAGTAGCAGTATATCTAGATCGGATACTCTGGATAATATTCCAACAACTTCAAATAGTCTTCCAACAAGTCCAAGATTAGATGAATCCAATAATAGAGAATCTGCAAGTAGAGAGCCTAGTAGAGAACCTGTTAATTTTTGGAGTGAGCCGAGAAGTGTTGTTTTACAGAGGCATCCAAATGAGACATTTGGTAATAATTTGTGCTTTAAAAATTATTCTCTTGGGAAAATAATAAATCGACTCGCGGACTAAAATTTGCGGACAAAATTTGCAGACAAAATTGCGGACAAAACTTGCGGACAAAAATTTGCGGACTAAAATTTGCTGACAAATACTTGCTGACAAAAATTTGCGGATGAAACTTGCGCACAAAACTTGCGACAAACATTGCGGACAAAATTTGCGGACAAAAACTTGCGGACAAATGTTGCGGATGAAAATTGCAGACAGCATATTGCGGCTTTAGTAAACTACTCAAAGGACCCGGATTTTTTTATCGAAGGATATGTACACTAAAAAATTTTTTCAAGGTATTAGCATTGTTGGAGGCCGTGTAGAAGTTAGTCAAAAAGGAATTGAAATGGCTACAACATCAACTCTCGGTTCTTCTTCTTCCCCAGCATTGTCTAGTACCGTTTCTGGCATCTTCATCAAATCAGTTATTGCCGATTCCCCGGCTGGACGGTGTGGAAAACTTTTTATGGGGGATAGACTACTTAAAGTAAATGAAATAGATTTGTTAAATACAACACATGAAAATGCTGTCCAAGCAATTAAAAATGCTTCAAATCCTGTCTGTTTTGTTGTGCAGTCTTTACAATCTTTGCAAACATTTGTTGCTAGAGAGAAGGAGGTAGGGAGGGGATTTATTAAAAGAATATTTTCAAAATATGGTTTGACCCAGTAGGATTCAAAAATCATATTGTATACATAACAATCTGCAAAATAAAAAAAATCTGCAAAAATTGTCCGCAAAATTTTTGCGGACAAAAAAATTTTTTGCGGACAAAAAAATTTTTTGCGGACTCAAAAAATTTTTTGCGGACAAAAATTTTTTTGCGGACAAATATTTTTTTTCTTCTTCAGAATTCAAAGAAAGCTTCACTAACTTCAATAATCAGTGAAGGCCAAACATCACTATCCATTCCCCCATCTCCCGCTATTGTTGAAATAGATTCAGCAAGTGCCGCAGCCTTAGAAAAGGATGGAGAGGATGAGGAAGTAGAGGATATATTTCATTATACTAAAAGTATAGTGTTTTGAATAGATTAAAAAAGTTTATTTTTTAAAGGAAAGGTGCTAAAGAAGTATTCTGATTTGCCGGGAAAACCTGTACTAATACGTATGCCAAATATTCCCCCTGGGGGTCTTGGACTTATCCTTTCTACAAGGCGAGATGAGGTAGCTGGAATTTTTTTGTTTGTGTTAAACATTGGGACCTCATTATAAGATACACCTTGCGATCTTACTTTATAATAAAGTGTATCTTAAATGGAGGTCGATCCTCATGAAACCCTTGAGCTGAAAAATAATTTTTTATAATGGGGTATCTCTTAGCTTCAGTCGGCCTGGACTGTGAGTCACTCTTTTATCCAGTTGAAGAACATTCCAACTGTGCTTCTATATTATTGATTACGGTCAGCTATATGCTAGATCAAGCGGTATACCGAAACCATTAACCCTACTTAGCTCTTAACACCTCTGGGATTCTAATATCTTCCACCATCAATTCCTCATTCTTAAATAGGCGGGCCCCTATTTAAATGGGGTTCACCCAGGGGCCAACCAAATTTAACCATAGATAAATAAGTAAATCTAAACGATACCTTCTATTTAAACTACATCTAATTATAAGAGACTAAAATTTTCTGCCCCCAAAGGGTCTTATAATGTGGTCTGATCGGTATTTTTTAAGTTTATTTAATTTTCCAGGGTGCCAATCGTCCCCCAGTTATCGTTGTTGGTGTCAAATCAGATTCTCCTCTTTCACTAAAAGTTGGTGACGAATTACTTGAGGTACTTCTTGTGTTTTTTTAAGTTTTTTAATTCAAAATAAGATTAATGGACTTGTTCTTTTTGGCCTAAGCCATTTAGAAGCAACAGAAAAAATTAGAAAATGTTGTCAACATAGCAGTTTATCATTACTAGTTTTGAGAAAAGAGGAAGAAGCAACAAAAGAAGTTCAACAACAATCAACAGAAAAAGAATCAACCTCTACTACAACAATAGAGACTGTTGTGAATACAAATCTAGATAACGTAAGAGGGAAAAGTATTGCCTGATCCGGATCAAGGATACTCGAAATTTCGTTTCATTTCGTCGATTCGATTTTCTTGATTCATTTAAAAAATTTTATTTCAAGCATTCGTATCCGAAAGAGTCCGAATAAAAAAGAGGAGGATTTCTTAGGATCCTACAGCCTTATAAGGAGAGAAAGGAGGGGGAATTTTTAGAAATTTTTTTTAATTTCCCTAGCCTTTGTTTAAATAATTTTTTATTTCTTCCCTTTATTCTTCCTATCTCTTCCTTGGTCCACATTATTGCTTAAAAACTTCATTTTAATCTTTGCCATTTTAGGCCCCAATATCCCCAGAAAAGGAATATACAAGTGAAAGCGAATGCGAATTAGGTGCTAGAACAATAGTCTCAGAAATTCTTGCAAGGCAACAACAACAAATACCTGAAGTGAAAATTGAATCGGTGGGTTATCTTACTATGATTTATGAAAAAAAAATTTTTGTACGAAAAAATCTGTCCGCAAAATAATTGTCCACTTAAATTATCCACAAAAAATTCGCCAAAAATATCCGAAAGAATTTTTTGTCCACAAAATATTTGAAAAAATCCGCAAGAGATCAGCAGAAAATGTCCGTCCGCAAAAATCATCAAAAAAATTATCCGCAAAAAATAGTCCGCAATTATTTTTACAAAGTATCCATTTATTTTTATAAAACCTTTTCTATTAAATTTTCAACATTTCTCAGTCCAAAAGAATATTATTGCAAAATACGAGTTTCGTACAAACCAAAATCCTTTGGGACACTTAATAGTGAAAAAAAGATTTTTTTAAAAAATTTTGGAAATTTTTTTTATTTAATTATTAAAAAAAGAATTTAGAAAAAAATTTTAATGACGACATTTTATTTTTGTAAAAATAAAAAAAGCTAAATAAACTTACTTTATTTTCTCCCACAACTCTCCCTCTACGCTCCTCTCTTCGTCCCCTCAACTCCTTTCTTCTAACCCTCTCTCTTTTTTTTATTTCCTCCAAAAACTTTTATATTTTAAAAAAGGATAAGCCTTTTTTTAAATTTAATTTTCAATACGCCCCCACATAAAAATAAAATTTTTTGTTGCAGTTGCTTTTTCTCTTTTTTTCTATTCTTCATTTAAAAAAAAATAATCCCCATAGATGCTTCTCAAATTTTGAAGAATTTTTTTTATATTTAAAAACTCCTTCAAATTAAAAATTTTTTTAAAATTAATTCTAACTTAACAATAAGAAAAAAAATTTTTTTTATTGTTAAATATTTATTTTGAGAATATACATACATATTTTTATAAATACTCTATACTAAATTTGCATTTATTATTATTACTATTTATTTTAAAATTTACATATTATGTAATTTCTCCCCCAAGTTTATTTATTTTTGTTTCAAGTTTATTTTACTACTTCACCAAGTTTATTTTCTTTATCACCCAAGTTTTTCTGCAAGTTTTCATTGCGTCGCAACAATTGCGAAGCCACGACATTTGCGCACTAAAGCAAAAACAAAAAAATTTTTTAAATATTATTTAATTTTAAATGATTCGAAAAATTAGCAATATTGTTGTTGGGCGTTTTGGAAATTCGGTGTTTTCTTTAATTATTAATATCTAATCTAAAGATACATGGAATCTCTCTCTTTTGCGTCACCTCTCGAGGCGGAGTAGACGTAAGAGGGGAAGGGACTTGGGATCTCTCTCTTTTGCGTGTTGTTCCGGAATTGAGATCAAGACTAACCCTCCTCTAAAGGCAATATTTACTCTATTCAAGAATAATTTTAGAAACCCTCAAGAAAATTAATAGAAAAGCTGTTTAAAATTTAATAAATAAAAATTATTTTATTTTTATAGCCAGAAGATGGTTGTTCACAATCTGCAAAAGACGGACTTTTGCTTGGAACAACAACGCAAAATGATTCTGGCAATTCAAACAATGAGCCTATTTGTAAGTCGTTTTTTTGTTTTAAAGTACAGTATTTCCTATAAATAAAGCCCCACGGGGCTTCTCAACTATCCTCCAAAGTGGGGTTCTATTTTAGGGTGGGTCTCTAAAGCATGGGGCTTTATTTGTCAACTACCGTATTCTTTTTTAAATTTTCCAATTTCCGCGGTAAAAAATATCCGCAAAAATTCCAGCGCACACAGAGCACTTCAATATCTACAAATTCGGATATCCGAGGATTTCCCAGGATCCGCCAGCCTTACTTTACTTATCTTTAAGCTTTCTTTAGCTAGTTATTTTCTTATTTTCTTGTCACTTTATTTTTTATTAACCCCTCTGGCTTATTTTCAACTCTACTAACTAAATTCAATTTTCTGCGCCACTCCTTTTTTTCTTTCCATTTTCTTTTTTTTCCCTCAATTACGTTGCTTGCCTTATTTTGACAAAATATAAAAAAACTTTTCTATTAGCTTTAGCTTTTCCCTCAGCTTTGAAAGAGAAAAAATTTCGCGACTACACATTTTGCCAATTCCACATTTTGCCAATACGGGTAAAAATTCACATTTTGTCACTAAGCTTATTGGCAAAACGTGTATTTTTGGCCTTATTGGCGAAATGTGGAATTGGCAAAATATGTAACAGCCTAAAAATTTTTCAGAAAAAATCGATAAAAATTATATTTTCTGTAAATGCCAGTTGGGTAAACGCTGCTTTTTTATTTTAAAAAAGCATTCCTTCAAGGCATTTTATATATACGGCTGAATGAAGCAATTGTGTGTGTATATATTATTGGCATTTCCGTTAACCCCTAAGGGGAAATAAATAAAAATGGGGTTGTTTATTTGCTAGGAAATAAGTAAGGATATCTATGAGTATATTGAATATTTAAATAACCCTTTGAGCGTATCTTATGATGAGCTTATAAGGAGCTGTATGTTGAACAGGGGGTAATCGTTTAGTTAACTCCTTCATCCTATGGCCTATCAAAATTTTAAAGGGATATCTGAAGACCTCGGTAAGACCTCATATATTAAGACCTTAAGCTACCCACATGTTGCTTGGTATCTTATACATAATGAGGTTTGGATTAGAGATCGGACCGAGACGAGATCTCGATGGAATATCTCGATTATCGAGAATTTTTCGAATCTCGCTTTTAGTACGACACTCCCAGTCCGGTCTCTAGTTTTGTTAGTATGTTCTAATGTATGTACCTATCTATTTTGGGATTTTTCAAGGCTTATCCTCTATCAGATTAAGAACTTTTTAGGCAAGCATATTCCGCAATTTAATTTGCAATTAGCAATTGTGGTTAGCGCTTCCTCTTCATTTGCTTATTTTTAGTATTTTTTGCAACACATATTTTGCCAAAAATGCAATTACAATTAATTACGTTAATTTCCTTTATTTTTTTTTTAATTCTCTAGTTGCTTCTTTTTTTAATTTTTCTAAATTAAAAAATATTTGAAAAAAATTTTTTTGAAAATTTTTTTCAAATTTTTTTTGTTCTTTATTCTTTTTTTTCTTTAAACAAAAGGCTTCTTAATTATTTTACTAATTTTTTAATAAATCCCTCCATTGAATTTTTAAAATTTTTTTTATTAATTTATAATCCATTTTATTATTCTTTCTATTTTTATATCTTCTTTTTTTTCTTAGAGCTCATCAATCTTCGTTTTGTTAAACTTTTAAACAAAGGGTTTCTTTATTAATTCATCATCTTTTTTGAATTTTTTAAAGTTTCTTTTTTAAAAATGCTTTAATTAGAAGCTTTGACTGTGCAATTGAAAAAAATACGAAATCATGTCCCGAAACGAGTTTTATTTATGACGAAAGACAAACGAATTTCGATTAATTCGGAACGAAATTAAATTTAAAAACGAAATACGAAATTGTGAGAAAAACGAAATAAATTTAAAAAATCGAAAGGCGAAATAGCGAAACACGAAATCAAATTTAAAACTAAATGCGAAATGACGAACCCCTCATTGAGTCTAATATAGCAAAAGACGAAAGACAAAACGAAATTTAATTAAATAGACGAAAGTCGAAAGGGGAAGAACTAAAAAAGGCGAAACTTGCCGAAGACGAAACACGAAAGGCGAAACTGGCACACTCCTGTTTTTCTATATATTTTTCACTCTCGCAGCTCTTTCCTATATTTTTATATCACTTTTCAGCAGTAAATGGCGTAAATAAAAAAAGAAAAAGCTTTTTTTTTATGTGTGAAAGCGCTTTTACAGCCGAGACAAATTGAAAATAAAATTATAAAAATATAGCTAAAAGCCCTCTCTTTAATATTTTCTCTCTATAAATTTTATGTAAAGCTTATATTTATTTTTAACTGACAAAACTCTCTAAATATTATTCTGTGAATGCTCATTGCGCTGTCACCCCACAATAAACGTGTGTTTGTCCTTTCGGCACATATTCTCTCTCGTTTCCTGGCATTTTTACCCTCTTTTTCTAATCCTCAATTGAAATTACTAATAGAAATAATATTTTTTCTCATTTTACTTAATATATATTTTTCTGTTTTTCCCTAAAAAGTGTAGGTAAAATATATCGAATCCTTTCGAGAGAGTTGTCTATTGCCTTAAAAGTTTGAAAAAATGGTTGTAATGCGATCCTTTCATTCCTTATCCATTTTAATAAAATTTAAGTTTGTTTAAAGCCCTTACAAACAACGAAGCGCATTCTTTCATTATCCTTCAGGGGTCTTGCCGACATTTAAATAAATTCCCGATTTTAAGAATCAGACAACATGATTCTTTTTCTATTCTATGATTTTTTAGTTTCGTTTCGCTTTACTACAATTAAAGAAAATTTTGTTTCGCTTTCGTTTCGCTTTTGTTTCGCTTTCGTTTCGTCTTTAGTGTTTTACAGTTTCGAATGTGTCTCTTCCTTCTCTCTCACTCTCTCTCATTTAAAAAAATTTTATTTTGTCCTCAATCAACGAAATCTGATATACCTAGATAGGTCCTTTCTTTATGTTTTTAGTTTCTTTTTCCCGATCCCGTTCTTCCTTTTCACTTAAAATCTTTTAGTTTTTTGCTTATTTCCTCCAAACCCCCCCCCCCCCCCACAATAATAAACATCCCCCCAACAGCTTTAGCCACTTCTTAAAAAACATTTTTAGTCGCCTAAAGCATCCCTCACAAAAAATATTTTTTTTCTTCCTTTTTTCCTCTATTTTTTCTTCCTTCTTTCCTCCCTTTCTCCACTCAATTCTCGACTCAATTTTTTAAAGATTTTTTATGCTTTTCCTTTTTTCTCTCATGGGAATTTTGTGTTATTTCCCCCCAACTTTTTCCTTCCTACTTTTCTTTAAAGCTCATCAAAACTGTTCTTTCTCATAATTTTTAGTGAGTGGCAGCTTTTTGTGAATGAAGTATTACCTCTATAATAGTGCTTTTTCTCGCTTTTTTTGATGAGTTTCTGCTTTAAAGCTTCTTTTCTTTAATAATATAACCACATTTATTTTGTTATTCTGAGATTTTGTCTTTCTATTTTTTGGCGTTTGGTTGGCGTTCTGTTTTTTATGCCGAAAATTAATTATTATTAAGAGTTTTGCCAACTTAAGGTTTTCCAACTCCTATAAAGTCTGGGAATTGAGACCTGTCTTAGTCCCCTGCCTCTTCCCCTCCCTCCGCGTCGTAGAGAGCACCCCTGCTCACCTTATTTAGGTGGTGCCTTTGCCTACGGAGCTACAAGAGGCGATGACTCCGTATATTCTCAGACCTATAAAACTCCTCTCTCTTGTCTAATCGTTTCCTTACTGTACACTTGAATCCCACTAATACGACACACTTCAGACCGAATCAGGTGTCGTATACATGAAGGAGTTGAGTGTTATATCAGAATTTTCGATCCTCAGGGATCGAATTGGCCTACGGTTGGATTAAAGTTATGAGTTATTTGAGAGTTGTATAAGCTTATTCCACTATAATTGCTCCATTAAAATTTCCATTATATCCATACCTTCTCAATAATTTACCTCTAAAATAAAAAAATTTTAGCCAGAAAAAGAAGCTGGCAAATGGAACAACAACAATCCCAATTTCTCCAAAAATGCCCTATTCAAATTGGGCAAGAGACATTAATTGAAATTGACAAGGATGGTAAAGGGCTGGGTTTAAGTATTGTTGGTGGATCGGATACTGTACTGGGTACTGTAATAATTCATGAAGTTTATCCTGATGGAGCCGCTGCAATCGACGGCCGTCTGAAGCCTGGCGATCAAGTCTTTGAGGTAGTATAGTGAAAATTGGATATAGAGGGCTTAAAGGGGAGGTCCTCACATAAGATCCCCCTCAGGGCACACCCTTGATACACCTATTGTTACTGAAGAATTGTCTCTTATAATGAAGTGCACCTTAAATGAAGGGTATCGCTTTGGCAGTTTCTCCGCCCAAGAGACAACCATAATTTTAGAAAAACGTCTCTTAAATAGAGGTTATTTAGTATGGAGGTGTATCTTATATCGGGCGTATCTTATTGAGAGGTTTACCTATTTGTAGTCTATCTACTTAATTTCCTTCCCAGTTGTAAAATAAAATGAATTCTGTAGGTAAACAACACTTCTCTTCGGAACAGTACACATGAACAAGCTATACTTTTGTTAAGGAGGACCCCAGCAAAAGTACGTCTACTCGTTTATAGAGGTGATTATATTCTTTTTTAAATTAGCTAAATTCCGCTAAATTACGGTAATTAACGTTAAAGTCCGTTTAATTTTATAGTGCATATTTTGGGTCGTAACTTTTTATTCTCAACTGATTTACACACTTTTTTATATCAATCGAGAGCTCTCGATATAAGGATTATTTTATCTAACAGGACTTATTTGATCAGATCATCCTACTAAGAGTTATGTCTGAATGAAGATCAAAAATCACGATTACGCGCACTTATCAAAATGTAACCTTCTATGGGTTGATCTGATCAAATCACTCCTGCTAAATAAAATAATCCTCACATCCAGAGCTTTCGATTGGTATATAAATTATTTAAATCGGTTAAGTATCGAAAAAGTTATGGCCCAAAATATGGCTTTGAGTCGGAAACAGCGATACTGAGTCGGCTCCTTATTGAATGGACGATACTGTGTAGTGACAGTTCAGTACAGACCTTCGCTGCTAGTAAAATACTCCTTACATCCAGAGCTTTTGATTGATATATAATTTATTTAAATCGGTTCAGAATCAAAAAAGTTATGCCAAAAATATGGCCTCAAGACTAGAACATCAGCGATACTCAAAATCCTCTACACCAAATTAATGCCTTTAAATTTAAACAAAAAACATTTAAAATACATATTCAGTTTTTACAGACCAGAATTTACAAATGAGCTTACTCGATCCAACACAAATTTACAACATTATCGACATCGAAATTCTAAAAAAGGCTGGGAAAGGATTGGGTATTTCTATTGTTGGACGCAAAAATGAGCCTGGAGTTTATGTTTCCGAAATTGTTAAAGGAGGTGTTGCTGACACAGATGGGCGTTTAATGCAAGGGGATCAAATTTTGGCTGTTAACAATCACGATGTTGCCAATTGGATGCAGGAAGATGTTGCTACTGTTTTAAAAGTGAATTTTAAAGATCTCATAAAATACCCTTAGGGCTAGAAAATTGTCTCTTATAATGAGGTGTATCTTAAATAGAGGGTATCGTTTGTACAGTCTTCTATGCTAGGAAGGTGGCGAATTTTAAAAAGCGAAATCGAAAACGAAATAGAAAATGCGAAACTCAATTTAGAAATCAAATTGCGAAAGACGAAACGCGAAATTCACATCTCTATTCTATACCGGTGGCCAACAAATTTAAAAAACGTTTTCTAAAAAGAGGTTGAGGGTATCATATGGGCAAACCTATAAGATACCCCTAATATTAGAGACACCTCTATTTAAGGTATGTTTTTAAACGCTGGGTGGTCACTGGGTGGAGGAACTGTCTGAACAATACCCTCTGTTTAACATACACCCCATTATAAGAGACTAATTTCTCAGCTTCCGGGGTGTATCTTATAAAGAGGTTTTACTTTATTTCTAGACATGTATTGGAAAAGTTTCCCTCAAAATTGGTCGCTGGAAATTAACAGAAACAGCTCAACGTGTTCGCTCTGCTCAGCCTCCTTCAAACAATACAGAAAATAACAACAACAATTCTGTCGAAGAAACAACAACACAAATGCCTTTACAACAACAACAAAATATAAATGAATCTAATAATAATTCACAAGATTTGTTAAAACAACAAAATGGAAGTAATAGGTAAAGTTTACGTATTTTTGCCTCATTTCCCCCTCAGAAACATTTTAATAATTACATAAATTAGTTGAACAAGGATAATTAATACTCGTTTTCTAGGCAGGCGTAGTTGGGTTAAATTTTAAATTTTCCAAAAACGCCAAAATTTGCATAGGTTTTGGCGTTGTGTTTTGTATAATTTTGAAATAAGCTCTTGCGCCCATTCTTGATTCTATGCAGGTTCCGGTACACTAGCCGCGACTCCTCATTGCGGAACTTATTTTGGACATTTTTACAACTTGGACCATCAGCCATAATTTATAGTAGAGATCGGACCGAGACGTGATCTCGATTAAAAATCTCGGTTATCGAGAGATATCGATCTCGATTCTCGTACGACACTTTAACTCTGTCTCTAATTTATAGCTTATCTATACGATTAACTATTCAACAAATATTTTTTAAAGAGATCCCCCACCGCCAGCACCTATTCCTGCTGGAGCCAAATTACCTCCACCAACACTACAAATAACTTTACATGACGAGAACAATCAACAACAAAATTTAACAGGGCGAACAGATTTATCACCTGTTAGTGAAGAGGATCTGGTCGGTATTTTGCTTGAAAGAAATCAAAAATTTTCAAAAAATTTTCAAAAAATTTTCAAAAAATTTTCAAAAAATTTTCAAAAAATTTTCAAAAAATTTTTCAAAAAAATAAAAAAAAATTTTCAAAAAAAATTTCAAAAAATTTTCAAAAAAATTTTTTCAAAAATTTTTCAAAAAATTTTCAAAAATTTTTCTCTTTATGTAGGCTATGATCCAAATTTCAAAAATTTTTCAAAAAATTTTCAAAAAAATTTTTTCAAAAAATTTTCAAAAAAAATTTTTTTTCAAAGAAATCCATAGCGGAGACCGTAGCCTCAGAAGAGACTATCTCCGGAATCACCACAACCTCTTCCTCCCAAAGACGCCCAATTAGTCAATTACCAAATAGCGGTTCAGCTTCAACTTCCTCTTCTACAAATATTCAACAACAACCTTCTGCTGCTTTTAGATCAGATTTAAAAGAGGCTGGGTGTGATAGTCTTTTAATTGCTCTTAAAAAGGATGAAGGGCAACAATGGGGGATGGGGATTGGAAAAAGGCCTAGAGGAATTCTTGTAGGTTTTTTTGGATTTTCTCTTTATGTAGGCTATGATCCTCAGTTTTGAAAAGCTTCGGATTCCTGCCTGGAATGTTACGTATTGGCAGAAACAGATACCCGAAGCCTGGACTTTCCTGACTAAAAACCTCGACCTAAAGTAAATTCTGAAAACCCGACCCGACTCTTTTCTCAACCTGCCCCAGCCTTTATAACTGACGATTCCAAGATCTTGATAGTTCCTCAGTTCAGTTTCATTGCTTTAAAAGGTGTTATTGAAACTTGATTTGATTTTTGAGCGGAATCTTCCCAGATATCCAGATAATTTCCTGTTTCTTTCAGATAACTTCTCTTCAGCCAGGCAGTTCTGCAGCTGAAAAATTAGCAATTGGTGATCGTATAATGGCTGTTAATGCACACGAAGTTACAACACAAGTAGTTATATTTATTAAATTTTGGAGGCTGTTTTTGCGGACAAATTTTGCGGATTTTTTTTGCGGACAAATTTTGCGGACAAGTTTTGCGGACTTTTTTTGCGGACTATTTTTTGCGGACAAATTTTTGCGGACATTTTTTTGCGAACTTTTTTGCTGACTATTTTTGCGGACATTTTTTGCGGACTTTTCTTGCGGACATTTTTTGCGGACAATTTTTGCGGACAATTTTTGCGGACAATTTTTGCGGACATTTTTTGCGGACATTTTTTGCGGACAAATTTTTGCGGATATTTTTTTGCGGACATTTTTTTGCGGATATTTTGTGCTGACTATTTTTGCGGACAATTTTTGCGGACATTTTTTGCGGACATTTTTTGCGGACAAATTTTTGCGGACATTTTTTTGCGGACATTTCTTGCGGACTATTTTTTGCATAAAAAATTATATTTTTCAGCATTCAGCAGTTACTTATATCCGTTCAAGTGGTAATTCTGTTACCTTACAAATTTCAAGACCAGCAAAGCTTAGTACAACAACAACATCGTCAAATAATTAAAAAATAAATATTGCCAAATTTCCAACAAATTAAAATGCCTATATTTTTAAATTAAAAAATGTCTTTTGAAAAATTTTTTCTTTTAAATATTTTTTGGGGCTTAAAAATAACTGAAATTTACTATAATTTTTGAAAATATTCATGTATACGGTCAAACCTCCATTATAAGAGACCTCTAGAATAAGATACTCTTAATATTGCACACACCTCCATTTAAGGTACGCTCTGCTAAAAATTGGCTGTCTATTAAACGGGGGTAGCTGTTTAAGTAATACCCTCCATTTAGTGTACATCTCACGATAGGGTACACCTCTACTTTCAAAATAAGATACCCTCAATATAAGGTATACTTCCATTTAAGATATGGGTTTCTAAAAATCTAGTTGGTAGCTATTTAAGCGAACCCCCTCTATTTAATATACACCTCCTTATTAGATAAGCTCATTATAAGGTACCCACAATACTCCAACCTTTCCTAAAAGTTGGCTGGCCTTTGGGTCTAAGGAGCTGCTTAAGTAATACCCTCAATTTAATATACACTCCATTATAAGATCCTATTTTGCCTCAGGGGTCTCTCTGAGGCAAATCTTATAATGAGGGTTGACTATTTTTAATTTTACCGAAATTTTCTTTTCCCGGTTTATTTTGTTTTAATTGTTTTTTGTGCATTTTTTCACTCAAATTAAATTTTATTTTTAAAATAAAAAAAAATTAAATATAAATATTTAAAATTTTAATTTTTTAAAAAATATAAAGCGTCTTACATTTTGCGGCAAAAAATAGCATTGGAAATGAAGAGACGCGATTTTGTCTCTACACCTTTTGAATACTATTTCCGCAAAACGCAAGACGCTTTTAAACACAGCTTTAGTGAGTAAGCAAAATTGAGAGTGTATAAATTTGTAATTATTTATCCACGTGCCATCATTTCATAATGCCTAAGAGGGGGGTCATGCAAAATTAAGGGCTCCATATTTCGCCAATTAGGCTAAAAACCCTCGATGTGCCAACAAATTTATTGGCAAGACGTGTATTTCTAGCCTAATTGGCAAAATATGGAATTGGCATAATATACACGGGCCTTCATCTTTCCCCTCCTCCTCCCTCCCTCCCTTCCTCTCCCCATTCTCTTCTCTCCTCCTCTCCCCTCCCTTACTCTCCCCATTCTTGGCCTAGGTGAGATATAGGAAAGACTCTCCCCCTCTCTTCTTCCCCATCCCTTCTTTCCTTTGGGAGACCCATCCCTCCCTCCTCTCCCCTTCTTTCCTCCCCTTCTTTCCTCCATTATTAAAGAATTCCTCCTTATCCCCCTTTAAATGTATTCCCTTATACATATTTTTTATAATTAAAAATTCATTTTTAAATTATTTTTTTCAATTTATTATGAGGAAAATTGTTTTTATATTAATTATTATTTTGTTGAAATTCTCGTCCCCTGTTAAATCTACAGGATCTACAGGGGAATCTAGTAAACATAAACATGTAGAAGATGAAGGAAAAGGTATATTGATGGTAGATGAGGAGGAATTAAATGAGGAGATATATAAAATGTTTCCAAGTAAGTCAAACCTCCATTTTAGATACCCTCATTATAAGAGGATTAGAACTCTCATTATAACCTCCTCTTTCCCCTCAGGTTCCAAGTAAGTCAAATTTCGAATTTTTCTCTCTCTTTCGAATCGGGGCGACGGTCGAGACATTTTTTCGGGCTTCTTTTTATCGGACTTGGCCGTACAAGGAGTCATTTTCGGGCCATATATCCTAGGCCCGACCTAATCCTTCGGTCCAAGTCGTTCCATTTTGAAAACCCTATCTTAAGCGATAACCCAAATTTAAGATACACTTCATTATACTTGGGTGGAGGATCCTAATATCATAATACTTAACCGACAGACTCGGTATAAACTGAGTCGAGGGTCAGGGTTTTCCCAATTACTCGGTGATTATTGTATTAATTAAAATATTTCAATTAAATTTTTTCAATTTTTAGAAGCTCTAGACACGTCTAATTTACATATAAACATAAAAATCGAGTCTGGGGTTAATCGTGAGAAATTTCTCCATTCAAACATGGGCGGTCAAGGATATAAAATAATCCTCTTTAATGTAAAATTGAACGAAAAAAATGAACCACATCAAGGGCAAGAAATTGGGACAAAATTTTCACAAAAATACGATACTGTAACATTTAAATTGAGCAAAGAATGGGTTGAATATATGGAAGTTTATGAAGAGGATACAGGGCACTTTAAGTATAAGAAAAATAACCAATTTTCTATTTATGTTTTTGGAAATAATGAGAATGTGTGGGGCTTCTTGGTAAGATATCTAAGAGTAGAGAACGGTCTCGATCAAAATCTCTAGAGAGTTTTTTGAAATTGACTCTTGCACCCGATCCAGAAACAAAATATCATATCTACCTGCATATAAGCTTTACAAAGGAAAAAGATTAGCCAGCCGGCTTATCAAACGGTGGTCTAGGCGAGGTTTAAGCTCTATTAAAAGATAAAGAGCATCAAGGTAGCTCAGTTGGTAGAGCATTTATTCCAGGGATATCACGACTACTGAACACTAGTGATGTTCGAGACTCTCGGTCTCGACTCTCGAGTCGAGAAATTTCATGGGTTTTCTGGGCTCTCGATCTCGACTCTCGGCTTTTTTTGACTCTCGAACATCACTACGGAACCCCGGACATTTTTTCCACCTACGTCTGAAACAGAATCCGAGAAATTTTCAGAGACCCGACCCACGCTTTTCTCAACACGTGATATCCCTGATTTTCACGTAGTGAAGCAAAGAGGCTCCTACCCGTAACTAAACGTTTACCTCCCTTTTATTCTTCTTATTTTCAAAATTATCATTTCTCCTTTTTTAGTTTTCACGTTATTTTTATTTGGATCATGTTTTTAACATTGTAAAATTAAATTTGAAGCGACACGATGTAAAAGTTATCCCTTTTCATCCATTTGAATTTGACTCCCCTCTACACTATTTTTTCTTTAATTTTGAAAAAACAGAGAATATAATTCCAACAATATTAAATTGTAATGAACAGCCAGGATGGTCATTTCATGTTCAAGGAAGTATTTTGTACGGAAACTTTAATGTTTGTAAAGGCGATAAATATGTTTTAAATTTTCACTATTTAAATAATGGAATGTGGTTTAATGGAGAGGTGCTTTTTTGTTTAATTAAATCAACCACAAAGGCTATTTATGCACTTAAATGTGGAGGGAGGAGGATTAGGGATTTATATACTCGTTGGATTGGTACGACCTTCCAAACACTGGTTACGAGTAGCCAAAGATCTGTCGGAATTCCGATTCCGGCACCTTCGTTATTTTAGATTCTAGTAGCTGGTAGTAGATGTCTAAGTCTCACCTAGTTGCCTCGGAATTACAGGTAAAGCTACAGGTCCTCTCTCCACTCTGGGTCTATCCTCTGTTTAAGTGGGACTTACTAAAGCAGACTTCCTCAACTGTAACCAGGCAATGTCAGAGTCTCCCGTTAAGTACCCGGGTTTGTAATTGAAAATTTCGGTCCGATTTTGAATTTTCTAAGTAGATTCGGTTCGTTGAATACGGAAGTTTAGTACATATATTTTAAAAAGTTAAAATTTCCGGCAAATTTCAAATTTGCCTGAAATTTGTTTTTTAGACGACGATAAAATGTGACGAGGCTTTATCTGTTGAAAATTTTAATTTGTATTATATTAATTTTGGAATTGACGCAAAAGGAAATATCAAAGCTTTTTGTAGCTTAGTTGGATTTAGTTCTCACCTAGACTTAAATAATGATTTTGAACATTTATTAAAGGTACTATAGATTTTGAGAATAAAAATTTTTTAAAATTAAATTACAGAAGAAAACACAAGGATTATTTAATGAACACCTTAAAAGAGGCTCTCCTTCAAACTCTTCTCATTTGGATATTCGAGATGCTAAAAGAATTAAAGAAGAATGAAAGCCATAGGGAGGGAACTGAAAGTATTGGTAGTTGGGGGCGATTGGGGGATCTCTTTAAAAGAGAGATGCCTCTGTATAGGGTTTCGATGGTTCTTTGGATCGGATTTTTTTTTTGGGAGGGGGGGGGGTTTAGTTTTTGGTGTGGGTTTTTTGTTGGGGTTTTTGATGGGTTTTTGGGTTTTTTATTTTTTGACGGAGTTTTAGGGGTTTTTTGTTTTGTTTTTAGGGGTTTTTTGTTTTTCAGTTTTTTATGTCTTTTTTCATTTTGATGGGGTTGGACGCCCTGGTTCTTTTTTCGGTTATGTTGCCCAAACTCTGCAAGTTCTGCAATTTATTAGGTAACCTTATTTTCCCTAAAGGACTATTTTTATTTAAGAAAAAATTGTTTTAAATCTGCCGGCGAATTTGAAATTTGTCTAAATCTCTAAATCACCTTTTTGCAGTAAAACTTTTGAAATTTGGGGCAACAAAAGGCAAAAGCTTTGGACCCAGTTCCAGACTTGTAGAAAAAACATGCGGACTCGGGCAACATAACCGAAAGAACTAACCCCCTTTATGCTTTTGATTAAAATTTTTTATTTTATTTAAAGTTGATTTAAAAAAAGAAAATTTAAATGTGAATCTATTTTATACTTTTAATTTAAATCACACGATTAGACAAATTTACAGATGTTGTTGATGATTTCTTCGAGGTTCCACTGACGCATTGTCCGGACAAGGGTCGAGGATAGGTTAGGAAGGAAGGATCAATGATAAGACGGATCAAGGGGATTAAGAGGGATATCGGAGGAATTAGAGGGATTAAAGGGGATATCGAGGGATCTGTGGGTGCTATCGAGGTATCAAGAAGGATTAAGGGGGATATGGTAGCTTTGGAGGGGTTAAGAGTCCTCCGATATCTCCAAATCCTCTGATATTCCCCCAAAGTCCTTCTTAATCTCATTAAATTATTAGAACTAAAATGTAGCACAGATTTCTGCGCAGACAGTGTTTTGTTTGTATCAAGCTTCGCCGTTCAAAGTTTGGCAAGACAGAGCTTTCCCCACACTGATAATTTACGTGTCAGTCAATAATTTTAATTTCGTAATCTTCCCTCTCGCCTTCCCTCCCTTCTTCGCTCTTCCCCATCTTTTTCACCTCCCTCCTTGCCATCTCCCTCTATATCCCCTTAATTTATAAGGGAATAAAGAGGGGAGATGGTAGAGACTCTCTAATATGGAGGGGGGACTCTTTCTTAATGTATTTTATTTTTTTTATTTTTCTCTAAAACTTTAAACCAAATTTTATAGACTTGCACTTGTAAAATTATTTTTTGTTTTGTGCCGCCTTAACATTAAAAACCCTTATAAATTTACTTTTATGTGGAGAATTATTTTAATTATTTTGTTAAAATTCTTGCCACTTGTTAAAGGCAAGGTAAATTAACCCGAAACGGAACAGCTTGGCGAGCCCTAATATGGATGTGACTTCACCCTAGATGTTTTTTTCTTCTCTACTAGCCAACTTTGCTGATCAAATTGCTCCGATTATTTAGACTAAGAATACAGGAGAGATGCCAGAAATTGTTTGTTTTCATGAAAACTTGAATGCACTTACCCTATCAAGGTTCCCCATCTCCAAACACCGTTGAGGATTAACTTTTTCGGTTAGCAGAGTTGTCGAGGAATCGATGTCGTATTTTGATAAAAAAATTTCACGTGGCCAATACATTTTTAAGCAATTTTCCCCTCCTCTCCTCACTTACATGCCCACCACCATTGAATCCAATCCCCCTCCATCCCCTCATCCCCTCATCCCATCCTTCACAACCTTCTCCTTCTCTCTCTTTCCCCTCCTCCCCATAACGAGCTCCTCTCCTCCATCTATCTTCCCCTACATCCATTTCAATTTATTCTTTTTATTTAATTTTTTAAATCGCTAAAATCTAACAAAAATTTTTATAGTTTTACATTAAAAAATTTTTTGACGCTCTAAAAATTAAAAAAAAATTTCTGGATTTATTATGAGGAAAATTATTTTAATTTTAATTATTATTTTGAAATTCTCGTCCCTTGTTAAATCTACAGGGGAATCTAGTAAACAGAAGCATGTAGATCATAAAGGAAAAGGTATAATGATGGTAAATGAGGAGGAGAATAAACAAATAAATGAATTGTTGCCAAGTAAGCTAAAGAAATACAGTCAGACCTCGATTTTGAATACCGTATCTTCTCTAATCGAGCGGCCGGCCGCTCTATAGTGGAGACGGCCGCTCTATAGTGGACCGCTCTATTAGAAAAAATACGGTACATCATTATAGAATACACCCTATACTAAAAAAGAGCCCCGGAAATTTGGGCTCTGGAAAATTAAGCTTCAAGGTCTTTCAGAACTTTGGACTCTAAGTGAAAAAATGGAAAATTTGGCTCTAAAACAGGCGCGGGGATTTGTGAGGATTTAGTAAAAAAATCCTTGTCCAATAATAAAAAATTACTTAGTCCAAATAAAGTAAACCTATTGGAGTAGCGAGACGCTTGTGCAAAACCCCAAGGTTCTGCGGCACTTCAAATTAAAGCAACCCCCCCCCTCCCAATTATAAGAAACGATTTTTCCAGTCAAGTATTTACCTTCAAGTTCCGACAATTTAAAAAATATTAATTTAATTTTTGTTTTTTAATTTAAGCTATACATAGCTTATATATAAACATAAAAATCGAGTCTGGAATTATTCCTGAGGAATTAATCAGAAATGGTGTCAAATTAGAGGAGCTTGTCAAGGATCAAAGATATAGAGTCATGCTTTATCATTTAAAATTGGACAAACATAATACTGTTCTACCAGGAGGGCGACTAATTGGGACAGAGATTACGCAAAAATACGATACCATAACTTTTGTATTGCCTAACGAATTGGCTGAATCTATGGAAGTTTATGTTGAACCAGATACAGGATTATACAAATATAAGAAAAATAATAAATTTTCAATTTATGTTTCTAAAAATATTATCAATTCTACGAGCAACTTCGAGGTTATTATTAAAAGTAGGGTGGCAGCCGGACCTCTTTGCCTCGACGATTTTTTGGCAAAAACTCTGACCCAAACTCCGAAGATTCTACATAGACCCGAACTCATAGACAAACCCCGATCTCCGACACTCCCAACCTCTCGGGGTCGGTTTGCTACCTTTATTTAAAAGTCTATTTACGGAAATTTACATAAAACAGAACTGATAAGTCGAAGGACCTACTTTGGTCAAAGGCCAAAATGGCACAGCCTTGAATCCGCCTAAAAGGGGTATCTCCCCACATTTTATTTTCTATTCATTATCCTGCCAAAGTATGTCATTGTCTTCAAATTTATATTGTCTTTTATGCTTATTAAATCCCTTGTGTCAAATCGGGGATAATAACGGTACTCTAAACAGACTCCGTTCAAAATGAGCTTACTACACCCTATGGTTTTTGACCATTTTGAGCCATGCATCTCGGCCCATAGTTCCGTCTCAATTAAAATTTTCATTTCATTCGACTCAGCTCGATAAGCCCTTTCAATTGGCATACCGTAAAATCTACCTACTTATGTCTTTTATTTCTACAATTTCTTTTTAGTTGAAAACTTTTTTTGAATTGGATCTTGTTACAAATATTGTAAAAATAAATTTGAAAAAACCCAAAGATTTAAAAGTTGTTCTCTACAATCCATTACAATTTGACTGTCCTCAACGCTATTTTTCCTTTAAATTTGAAAAAATGGAGCATATACTTCCAATAATGCTTAGCTGTACATATCCAGAATGGACTTTGCCAATTATGGATGGAGAGATTTTTTATAAAGAAGAGATTACTCATGTTTGTAGGGGAGATGAATATGTTTTGCATTTGCAATATTCATTTAATGAATATGTGTTTCCGGTTAGCTTAAATAATTCGAAATAAAAATATTTGGAACTTGTCCAGTTTAGCCGTCCAATCAACCTTTATACGTCCAATCACATTTTTTAAGTACAACCTATGGTGCGTGTGTATCATAACTAGTATTCGGTACTTTTCGGTAGTACTGGTATTGGTATTGAAAAAATCCATTTGCCGAACACTAATCATAACTCTAGGTGAGTAAATTCCCCTAGAAATGAGCATATACCTCCAATAATGCTCAGTTGTACATATCCAGAATGGGCTTTGCCAATTAAGGATGGAGAGATTTTTTATAGAGAAGAGATTACTCATGTTTGTAGGGGAGATAATATATTTTGCATCCTCTAGATTTTGCATCCCCTAGATTTTTTGGTAATATAGTGCAGAGACAAGTACTTAAAATATGCGATTGGACGTATAAACTGGACAAGAGCCAAATATTTTTGAAATTAAAAAAATTTTTTAAAGTTAATTATAAAATGTGACGAGGCTCTATTTGTTGAAAAAATTAATTTGTATTATATTAATTTTGAAAATGACGCAAATGGAATTGTCAAAGCTTTTTGTAGCTTAGTTGGATTTAATTCTAAAGGGCCATTCAATGCTGCATTTGTAAATTTATTAAAGGTATAAAGTCTGAAGAAAATTTTTTTAAATATAAGCCTTTAGACGATAACAAAACCAAAATTATCCCCAAAACACCTTGAAAGTGGCTCGGCTTCAAAATCTCCTGATTTGGATATTCCTGATGCTAAAAGAGTGAAAAAAGAACGAAAACCACGAAAACCGAAAGGGAACTGAGGGATCTGAAAGTAGTGAGAGTATACATGACTAGCTGACAGGGATCTAGCCGACCCAATCCCAGAAATAAATGATTTTTAGGCCGGAATCCCTAGTACCTCAAATCGGGGATTTATTTTTTATATCGGCTAGATTCCTGATACTGGGTTCGATATATGTATATCAGGGATGTCACGAGTTGAGGTAAATGTCGGGACGGGCTTCTTGTCGAATGAAATTTCGAGTTTTGGGTAACCCGTGACATCCCTGATATCAAGTCGGACCTTGCACGAAAACCTTATTTAAACAACAGCTTTCGGGCTGAAAGATGACGTACAAGTGAGGTCTGACATTTTATAGGGGTTTCGATATTAGAGGGTGTCTCTCTTGGTTTTTTATGTTTATATTCCCCAAAATCCGCAAGTTTATTATATTTTTTTCTCAAAAGAATTACCGTACATACTGTATTTGCTCAAATAATTCGTGGGTGTCTCTCCTGGTGTCTCTCTGGGGCGTCTCTCTCCCCAAGAGGGGTCTCTCTGGGCGCCCCGGGGTCTCTCTGGGGTGTCTCTCCCCAAGAATTATTCTTTGAATATCTCGCTGAAGTAGGTACTTAATAGGAAGGGGTATCTGAGAGTGCGTAATTATTCGAGTAAATACGGCATAAAAGCGATATACAGTTGGACCTCACTCAAATGACAGTTATTTTAGGACCATAAGGTGACATAAAAGTGAGGTCAGACTGTATAAGGGCTTTGGTTAGCGGCCGGACCAGTCGAACTCTCGAACTAAAATTCTTGGATATTGTTCCTTTTCGATGGTACTTGCAGTCTCTCAATATGAGACGAGCATCTTTTGTTTACGTCCTTCCGGTCCGGTCTCTATTTTTGATATTCGGGGGTGACACCAATGCTGGGTATGGCTCTAGCTCCTGAACGGCTAGCTAGAATTTAGTATTCCCGGAGCCAGAATCACAAAATGCACAATACCCAGCACTGGTTGTCACTGTAAATGCTTTATTATCAAAATCACCAAACAATTTATTTATCTTTTAATTTATTTAAATTTATTTTTAAAAAAAGATTTTGGGAATCAATTTTTTTCTATTATTTAAATCACTCGATTAGCAGGCGAATTTACAGAAGTTTGTTGTTGATGATTTCTTCGTGGGCTAATTTTAGGGAAATAAAATTAAAAAAATTTTTCACGAAATTACCGATATTGAAGAGGATTTGGGACCTCCTCTTCCTCCTCTTTGTTTTCGATTGAAGCGTCTTTTTGCAGTCTGGTTTGGTCTTGACTCTCGGAAATGCTTTAAATTTTAGTTAAAGTTAGTCTTTGATAGGGTACGTACTCTTTAATGCCATTTTTGATAACCAGCAATGAATATCAGGATCAAAAGGGAGGTTCTCAGTATCCAGAAAATTTCGGTTCGAATCCTAGTCACCTAACCTCTAATATTTCCTATTGAAAACCCCTTTGTTATCTGCGGCTTTAAAAAGACCAGGGACGGATATTGGGGTCAATTGGGATCTATTCAACATTTGAGAGGCTTTTGCAGATCTTTCTACTTCCCCTCAGTCTTAGATTATCAAGAAAGAGTTTGCAAAAGTTTAGCCACCGGGCAGGATTCGAACCTGCGACCACCTGCTAGTTGTTGCTAGGCTTTCGCTCACTATATGCAGGAGCTCTACCGTTGAGCTACCGGGGCATCGACTAATGCTTTCTCTTTTTCCTTTTTAGATCGTTTATCCCCCGCCTAAGCGTTTTAAATGCTGCTAGGTGAATCATCCTTACAATCATTTAAAAAATTTTACGGTTGTTCGTCATTAGACATTTGATCTTCTATTTTCTGCTGAGTCATTGAAGGGTGGGGAATTGATGGTTGTTGTTGTGATTGTTGACGTTCTGATTGGCAAACAATTCTATAAACCCAAACTCTAACCCCTCCTCTGGAAAAAATTTTTTCCAAATTAAAATTAATTTTCTAACTGTTCTGTTCTGGCATTCGCAACAAAATCGTATTCAATTCCTGTCGCTCCCATCATATCCTTTTCGGGGACAATACCTCCTGAAATGCGGGTTTTTATCAGCAAAACCAAAGACCCTACCAGTATAGTATGATCCAAGAGTTACCAAATCTGTTCCAATATATACTTTATTGCCTGCTTGTAAAGAACAGCAACGAAGTAAGAGGCTAAATCGGGGTTTGTAAATATTAAGGTATCCGCAAAAAAATTTTTTTGTCCGCAAAAATTGTCCGCAAAAATTGTCCGCAACTTTTTTGCGGACTTTCACTTTATTTCTAAAAGTTAGGTTAATTAATTGCCTTTGACCATTACGAGCCCATTTCATTCCAGAAAAAATATCCGATGCTGCTTTACACGAGCTTAAATCATCTGAACATGCCCCAGTAGAACCACATGGTAAGGGTCCACATTCAGCTTCGATGGCACCGTCTTCATAAACTGTTAATTTGTTCACTACCTAAACAATTAAACTCAATATTTGTTAATCAAATTAGTCAGACCCCTCATAGGATACCCCCTCGGGAAATTGAAAAATGGTCTCTTATAATGAGGTGTCTTTTATATAGAGGGTATCCATTAAATAGAGGGTATCCCTTAGAAAACTCCCTATACAATGGACAACCATGATTAAAGAGCGTCTCTTAAATAGAGAGTGTAGCTGATATTGAGAGTCTCTTATAAAGAGGTTTTCCTTTAACTTTCTAGGAAAAATTGCCTGATTCTGTGCACACTTTTTCCCCCTAACAGCATTCTTTAAAGCATAAATTGAAGTAAAATAAAATAAAAAAAGGATTAATAAAATATTATTTTGCTTCATTTTGAAAGGATAAATTTGGTAAAAATTGTTCTCTAAAAATTATTAAAAATGAAACGAAGCATATCTTTTACACAAACAAAAATGGGAATAAATGGGGAGATTTTGAGTAGATTTATTTTGAGAGAAGAGGATTTTGGATGAGGATATTGTTATTATTTTTGCTATTTTAATAGAAAATAATTTTAAAGTACAGTTGAATCTCGTTATAGAGTAAGCCCTAAGGGCTGAAAAAATCGTACACTAAAATGAGTTATATCCCACTATAAGATAACCAAAATAAGATAAGCCTCTATTTAAGAGACAAGCCCCTGGGTGTGGGAAGCTGCCTAATCATCTTCTATTTGGGATCAGTCCAGCATAACGCCGAGCTATAACTTCATTAGCAGGGATGTGCATCATGGCGTTTGGCGATTGGCGTGCTTTAAATTTTTGAAAAATATGCTGGAGTGTACCCCTCTATTTAAGACCTAAAGGGGTATCTCATATTTAGTCAGACTGAATTTTTATCAAATAAAAAATATTAATTAAATTATTTCATTAGCAACAATAAATGAACCATTCAATTATTCAATTTTAGCGCTATATTCTCTCAATATTTAATTGGTTTTTAGAAAAATATTTAGGTCAGCAAATGTTTAAAACGATTCGGAAGGAATTTAGAAGAAACAAGAGAGAATTACAAAATAAATTTATTATTAAAAAATTTTTAGGTCAAAATTCGATAATCTCTTACGCTCGATAAAACATGCAAAAATTTTAACTTTTACTGTTTCCTATTTTTTGTTAATTCATTTTTTGCCGTATCAATAACAAAAAAGACTTCCAGATGTAGCCGCAAACGTGGTGTGTTCAAAGGTCGAATACTCAAAGGTCGTGTACTCAAATATCCGGAAGTAAATGTTGTGTACTCTAATGTCAGGTACCCGTCTGTGAGACACTCAAATGTCAAGTACACAAATGTCGGGAATTCAATCGTCGTGTGCTTAAATGTCGGATACTCAAATGTCGTGTAAAAAATTTATTTTTCTGATTAAAAAATCAAATATGTACATGTAAAAATTTAAAAAAAATATTTATTTGAAATTAATTTATTGGTAACAAAATAATATGTTCTAAAAAAGGGAACAATTAATGTAGTAATAAAAGTTGGTATTAGAAATGGCGAGAAAATATATAAAATTTTAAAAAATTTTGGGATCTGATTTAAACATTGCATACTAAATTAAACAGGGAGCGACATTTGTGTCAATTATAAGGGTGACACTTTGCGGCGAATATGAGACAAAGAGGTAAGAAGGGGCAAACGCCGCTTGAAAGAGGGTGAAGGGTCCCATTAGCTGTAGGCAAAAAATTTTCTTTGCTTAATCGTATTAAAATAAAAATAGGGACGCAAATGTCGTATAAACGAAAAAAATGTATTTTCATTGAATATTAAGTACATAAAGGGAAATTCCACTTTTTTCCATTTACCAAACTTTACATTTCTGAATTGGATTCATTGGACTTCCCTTTAAAAATATTTTTTTTAATATTTTTATAAAATTAAAAAATACTTCAGGGCAATTATAAGCAGCAGCAAAATCAACAGAATTTGAAAGAGGACCTTTTACTCTAAAAACAAAATTTTAAATTGACAAAAGGGCAAGGCGACATTTGAGGACTGACATTTGCGGACACTTACTGAACTTTTTTCTTAGCTTATACATATTAGGACTTCCCTATAAGCTTTGAAACTTCACTGGAGAGACTTTACTATAAGATACCACATAGTTTCTGAAAAAATTGTCTCCTATAATGAGTGTATCATAAATAGAGGTGCCTACAGCAATTTTTTTACCCATTAACCACATAAACTTTAAAAAAACATACCTATCTTAAAATGAAGTGTATCTAGTTTTGAGGGTATATAGTCTTGTGTAGTTCCCCCCCCCCCTCTAAGTCACAAATACCGAGGGATCTTATAATGAAGTTTGGAGGTAGCAGGGGTCTCTATAGTGAGAGGGTATATTTTATAGAGGCTTAGGACTATCTTTGGAGTATCTAGGAGTATCTTTGGAGTATCTTATGTAAAGTTCGCCATGTCCGCAAATGTCGGACAATCAAAAAAAACATTTTCTACCTTATCGGACCAGGCGAATGTTCAGAAGTCCTCAATTTTCTAACCGCCTCCTTATCATTCATTATACCACACCAAATCTTTAAATTATTTAATTCCACTAAAGTTCCAAAATTTAAATTACTTGGGCATAATTGAGAAAGAATAATTGGTCATGTGTTAAATTAACTCCTGGCAATTGTTGGGGAAGAGATCGGTATCGTTCATATTTTTTATAAGCACGGTATGCCTGTTTAAGCCCCCCATTGTCTGCTATATTCTCTCCTTTTGTACTGCGCCCATTTATTTTCATTGAAATTTGATCGAGAACATAATTTGAATACTTGAAAATTTATGGGGAAATTTAATTATTTTTTAATTTGGTTATGCCTGATCTTCAATACATTTTGCCTTTTCTTCAAATTTAACAATTGTAGCATTATCCCTAAAAATTAATTTTTAGTTTAATACTGCAAGGATAGTATGACAATTGGACAGTAAGGAATTGGAGAGGACAATTGGACACTAAGGACAATTGAAAGTAAGACAAATGGACAGTCATGACAATTGGACTCTAGGTCAATTTGCCATTGGGAACAAATAGACGGTAGGGACAATTGGAAAGTAGGACATTTTGCCATGAAGACAATTGGACAAAAGGACATTTGGCTGGCAAGGACAATTGGACAGTAACGAAAGTAGGACAATCGGACAAAAAATTGGACTATAAGACATATTGACAGTGAGAACATTTGTTCGTTAGAACAATTGGACAACGCTGACAATTGGATTTCCTAAGATAACGTGATCTAATGACCCAATTTAGGCTTTTAATCCCTTTAAAATTTCAATTAACTGACCACCACTGCCTTATATTACCAAATTGGTCATAAAGCCTTCCTCTATCATCAAATCCTACAAAATAAATGTTTATAATATTATAATTTAATTTTAAATTACCGTGTGTTATTTCATGCCCAATAACTACACCAATTCCCCCAAAATTCATTGAACGGGGGAAATGTTTACTGTAAAAGACTGGCTGTAAAATGCCCGCTGGGAAGACTATAAAATTTTTTTTGATTTTTTAAATTTTTAATATTTTTTACTGATTTCGTTTGTATTTGGTGAATAGAAAGCATTAACTAAAGCTGCACCGGCTACCCATCTTTTTTAAAATTGAAAAAAAATTTTTTATTTAAAGACTTATTTGTAGTGAAGAACCACCCATATTTGATCGACCACAACTTTTTTGTCTCCGATCGGATTTGAATGGATCTTATATCAATCGAAAGCTCTTAATGAGGGGAATATTTTTTCTAACTGGACTGATCCGGTCTGATCACTAATTAAAAAGTTAGAACCCGTCAAATGCGAAAAACAGCGATTTCTTACACTTATCAAGTCATAACTTTTTAAGGAATGATCGTACACAATCTATCCTGTTGGAATAAATGTTCCTCTCTTCAAGAGCTTTCGAATGGTATGTTATTCATTCGATTATACTAAAGCTGGAGGAAGTTATGGTCGATCAAAGCTGGCTGGTACTCAGCTACACACTCTACTAAAATTTACCTATTTCTGTCAACAGGCATTCTAATTTTTTCCAAAATATCTTTTTGATACATTTCGTAAAATTGGAATTTTGTTTTGTAATAATCTGATTCATATACGATATAACTTTAATTAATTAAAAATTATTTTTAATTTTTAGAAATTAAAAAACACCGTTCATATTCCTTATTAACCGCCGTGTTGTTCTCCAAATAGTCAGGGTAGCCTATTTTTTGATGCATTGTTTTTATCTTTTGTTTTGCATAGGCTTTAGTTTCTCCAGTTAGCCATTCTTCCTCGTCCAATAACTCAACAAATGCTTCCATTATCTTTGAAAATAAAAAATTGTTTGATACAATTAAGTAAAGACCGGTTTGAGACGGACTCTCGAACAAATATCTCGGTTATTGAAATCAAACCTGGGCGAAAATTTCGTTTCGTGGACAAAATAAACGCCTGATTGAGATCGAACTTTTATAAGATATCTCGCACGATTCTCATCCGACCCACCCAGTCCAGTTTCTACACTCAAGCCTCATTTTTAGGTCCTTTGATACAGAAATACTCCTTATAATGAGGGAACGGGTGTTGATTAAATAGAGCAGGCCTGTAACCAGGATCTTCCCCCTCCACGCAGTGGTTACGGGCCTGAAATGAAACGATACCTTATCATAAGTGGTATTACATTTAATGGAGGGCCTCTTACTACAACAACCCAACTTTTAAAAAAGAGGTATCTTAAACTGTCGTGTAATTTTTGGGTATCCAAAAACTAGGTCCAACAGTAAAAAATAAAACACACCAAAGCAATCATTTCTTCAACTTGTGCTTTTGCTTCATTATCAAAATGATGTTTTACATAAATACTTGATGTTGCCATAGGCATTAGACTATTAACTCGAGTAACACATCCATGCCATCTTAGTTTTTGTACCATCATTACTTTAGAAATTTGAGGGAAAATTTTTTTTGAAATTTTCTGAATTCAGCTAAGTCCGCAAATTCTACCCGCAAGTCGTATTTTTTCAAGGCCGGACCTCACTTACGTGGGTACACCATCTAATTAGTATGATTACACTCTCACTTACTGTACGTTCTTTTAAATTTCATTAACAATTCTGTTGGCCCCCTAGGCTATACTCAATATTCATAGTACCCCTTATAGTATATGATATGGTTCAGCCCTAAGGGCAATACTTAAGGGCAATATAGGCCCGACTGTATATGAAAGTCCAGCGTATGCCGTTTCGCATTTCGTCTTTCGCTATTTTTAAAATCTGTTTTGGCATATCGCTGGTATTATACTGTCAACTAGGATCACATAAGTGAGGCTTTTCATAAAATATTTGCGGACAAAACTTGCGGACTTTTTCCAGATAAATTTAAAAAAGCCTTCTAACAATTAAGTGTTCTGTAGAATTTAAACATAGTTAAAGCAAAAGGATCAGGCAAATCTCTTAGCATTGCTTTAAAGAACCAACACCAAGTTAAGTAATTTTGAACAACTCTGAAACATATTTTAAAATTTTTCCTAATTTTGGTGTCCACCTAGGTTCGAATGTTGGTAATAATTTATCTAATCTCGCAACAAACTCAGCTCCATATATAACTATCGGTTCATCATGTTCAAATTGTATAGGATTTTTTCCCTTTTGTTCGTTAATATTCTCAAATATTGTATTGAAAAATAAGAGCCAATCAAAATTTGGGTATCTTTAGAAAAAAAAATTTTTTAAGAATATTTTTGTTTTTTCATGTCCGCAAATTTTTTGCGGACTTTTTTTTGCCGCAAAATTTTTTGCGGACTTTTTTTTGTCCGCAAATCTTTTGCGGACTTTTTTATGTCCGCAAAATTTTTTGCGGACTTTTTTTTGTCCGCAAATTTTTTTGCGGATTTTTTATGCCCACAGATTTTCCCAAAAAATATTAATTAACTCCACCTTTCTTTAATCTCTCCAATTGTATATTTTGTATAAAGTTCAGAAACATCATGTCTTTGATCCTCAGACACTGTTATCTTTAAAATAAAATTAAAAAATACAAATAATATTAACATTTTATTAAAACATTTGCGAGTTCGGTTTCAAATTGAAGAACTTCGAGAGAATCCCTTTCTGCTATCCGATGATCTGCTCCAAGTAGCACTAATACATCACGAATACTTTAAAGAAACGAAAAGTAGTTGAAAAACTAAAGTAGCTAGGGGTAAGATGTCCGCATAATATTTGCGGATTTGTCCGCAAATTTTTTGCGGACATTTTTATTTCTGCGGATTTTTTGATAAAAGATTCGATTCTTACAGAGTTCGGTAAGCTAGCCGTTCAACTTCCGTCTCAGTAAGCATATAAAAGTCACGAGCAAACAGATTAAGTGCTGGTTGGTCTATCTAATTAATCAAATTATTGTCGAACTTCACTAGAACCTTACCAGCAAAATATGTTTGTCAGAATTTTTGTCGTCTGGTTGAACTGTTGCTTTAAAAAGTGAATCTGCGCGAAACTTTGAAACCTCAAAAAAAATAAAATTCATTAAGAATTGGATCTAAAAATCCACCATAATTCCATAAAGTCGCTCAATTCTTATTCTAATATTAGGTTGAGATGAAGATTCTAAAGAAGGCCAGCCACCAAAAGTATGCAAAACTTGATCGAACACGTTTCTCCAAGAGGTCATTATTTCACCTAAATTGTGAATGCGTCTAAAGGTAGAAAGTCCGCAAATTATTTGCGGACTTTTATTTTGTCCGCAAATCTTTTGCGGATTAAAATTCCTACTTTCATTCAGGCACATTTGGTAAAAATATTTGGCTTTTTTGACTGCTTCTTCATTTGTTTCTTCCATATTGATAAGTGTGTCAGGTCCATCTTCCAATAAATCTTTTAATGCTAATTCCAAGTCTTGTCCAAGATTTTCAAAATTTGAAACAGAAGGAGCGTCATCTTAAATTTTTCAAATTAACTGAAGAATTACACCTTATAATGAGGTGTATATTAAATTGGGGGTGTCGCTAAAGCAGCTCCCCTACCCACTAGCCAACCGAATTGTATCTAATACTGAGTGTTCCTTACACAGAGGTATGGTTGTAGGAAGCTTAGTGGGTGTTCGCGAATGTCCCGTTCGCAATCGTCGTTTATAATTACCTGGAATTGGATGTTGTTTAATCCAATTACCACAAGCATATTCAAAAAAATCATCACAGGGATCAACAGTTGCATTCATGGAATTTAAAATTATTGCGGCTAAAAAATTTTAATAAAATTAATAATAGAATAGTCGGACCTCAACATATCGTACGCTCTCAAGGCTATAAAGATAGTATCTTATAATCGAGGTGTATCTTAAATAGGGGTTATTAGTTAGACAGCCCTTCGAGGGCGTATCTTAAATAGAGAGGTGTCCCTTGTACCGGGAGTACCTTTAATAGGGGGTGCCTTATAATGAGGTGTGGCTTATATAGAAGGGTGCCTTATATCGGGAGTATCTTTAATAGAGGTGTGCCTTATACCGAGATGTGCCTTAAGTAGAGGTATCCTATACTGGGCGTATCTTAAATAGAGGTCCGTCAATGATAAAAGAGCACTCACCTGTATGAACACAAATAGGTGTTAAACAAACAGCACTCTTCTCCTTATACAACAAAACAATCAAAGCAACAATTAGGGCAATAAGAAAAAATAAAATAATTAAAAAAGAGATTCCCAACAATAAACGTTTATAATTTCTTCTTCTGCTCTTTTTGGGTGGTTCAACTGCTGTACGTGTTGTTGTCATTGATGTAGGGGAGGATAGGGGGATTTTTTCCAGGCTATTTTTCTTGTTATTTATGGCTACTAGAGGTAAAACTGATGTTGTTGAATTTGCTTCTTCTGCAAGCATAGGGGAATGATTGGCTGTTGTTGCCTCTAATGTTGTTGATTCACCAGATTTTATTGAAGGGGCGGCAGGGCTGGTTTCTTTGGATTTTGAGACCTTTTTTGAGGAGGTTTTTTTTAAATGATAGGTATATTTGAATCATACTTATTAAGGAATTGTTTGTTTTCCTTTGCTCCTAGATGTCCGCAAATTTATTCCGCTTGCGAAAAATTTTTGATACGACTTGCGGACAAAATCTGCGGACATATTTTTAGTCAAAAACTTGCGGATAAATTTTGCGGACTAAAAACTTGAGGAGAAATTTTACGGACAAAAATTACGGACAAAATTTGCGGACAAAAATTTGCGGACTTTTAGGTAGGGTTGCGCGAGGTCGAGGTTTTTCGAAAAAACCGAGACCGAGGATCACCGAGACTGAAAAAGCGAGGTTCGAGGTCGAGGGTCAAATTTGAGGCGAGGTCCGAGATCGAGGTTCGAGGATTTCGAGGTTTTTAAAAAAATTTTGACCCTTTGAAAATTTAATTAAATTTGGTAAATTTTATCAGATATTTGCTAAATAATTTCAAATTAATTATTTCCATCATATTCAGATCCAGTAGAAAACCCAATACAATGGATCAGACAACTCATATCCTTAGCCAAATAATTTCTAAGCTTTGATCAAATTTTTTTTCTAAGCTTTGATCAAATAGCAAATACTTTGAAAATATTTGATCATCTGAAACAGCGGATTAAGACTTATATCGAAGAATCAATGGGGTAGCAAAAAGGAACCAAGGAGGATATAAGGGGGGTTGAACGCCTTAATTGGATTAAGGGGATTTGGGGATCAAGGAGTATATCAGATATATGGAAGGATATCGTGGGACTTGTAAGGATAAAGTGTATATAGCGGATGTAGTTGGATTAGAGGGAATTAATGGATATCGGTAAAAGGAAGATATTAGGGGATTTGGATGGTTAATTTTAATTCATTACTATTTTTTGTGCCATAAAGCGATTTGGTGGATAATGAAAGTACAGGAGATATCGTTTAATTTGTATATGTATAAGGAACAACAATGAGCATGCGAAAGGATTTTGGGAATCAACCAACGTGATTCGTTCCTTTTTCTGCGCCGCAGGCGAAAATTTTTAGAATTTTGGTAGGCCAGGAAGTCAGATTTCATCCTTTTTTGCGCCGCAGGCGAAAATTTTGAGATTTTTGGAAGGGCAATAAACAAAAATTCTTCTATTTCCTCCAAAAAAGTCCATTCTTAGGGGTGTATATTTAGCCTCGTTCCTCGGCGAGGTTTTTGGCGAGGACCGAGACCGAGGCTCCGAGACCGAGGACCGGTCGAACCGAGACCGAGATTGGAAAATGGGCGAGGACCTCGACCTCGGCCTCGGCGAGGCCTCGACCTTGCGCAACCCTACTTTTAGGGGCATGAACTAAAATACCCTATAATATTCCTAATTTTTCCCTCCCTTAAAAAATATTTTGTCAATCTCACAGAAGGTGTGGCACTGTCAACAAGCAATGCCCCAACAGCATTTTGTTGTTGTTCTGTTGTCGTCATAATCATTTAAAAAAGTGTGTGTCCTCTTGAATAATTCGAAAAGTAGGCAAAAAGGGCAAGGAAGGATGAGGCAAAGGATTTTTTGCCAAAAAAAATTTTTTTGTTTTTTAGCGCAAAAGCAATCCTCTTTGTATGGCACTTCTTTTTATTTGTTTATTGAAGATGAGAACGCATTTTTTGCTTAAATAAACTTGAGCCTTTATTTAAGGCTTTAAAATATTTTTTTGAAGAAAAGGGGAATTTAAATGGGGAATTTAAAGGGGGTTTTAAAAATATTTGGCAAGTGCCAGAATAAAACAAAAGGGAAAAAATGCTTCCAATAATTGAGGAAAAATAATTTATTGTCTTAAATGATGTTTGTTTTGGCAGTGTTGTTTTAATTAATTTTTTAAAATTTATTTATTGAGAGCCAATTAATTGAAGAACATACTAGGGTATTTTAAAAATTATTTTTATTAATTAGAAGCTAATTTAAATAAAATAAAGTTTAAAAATCGGGACATGAAAAGTTGAATATTTAAGCGATCAATGCATAGGGAAAAAACTTTGGAAAAATAAATATGCAAAAGTAATGGGTCTTTCAAATTTATAAACAATCAAACCTTATTTTTGGATACTTTTTAGGGATGAAAATTTGTCTCCTATAACGAGGTGTGTGTTAAAAAAAGGGTAATCTTCTGCTTCATTGGTCCCTAGAAAAAAATGAGGAAAAAGTGCTAGTTCGGCATTTTTGAGGTTTACCAGTAGGTAATCAAGTGTGCTGAGTCCGAATACGAGCTTAGAATTTGTTTATTTCGAACCCTGAACCCGAATTCGACCAAGTCGGATATGGGATAAAAATTCAAAATTTCAAATTTTTTGTTTAATCGGATTCGTCTCTTCGAGCTGAGTCGATTTGTATCAAAATTATTACGTTTCGACATCTTTAGACTAAGTTATGGTGGATGATTTATATACGGAAGTCTAACCAAGCATGTATTTAATTGATCATAACTCAGTCTAAGGTTGACAAAACACAATAATTTTGATATCAGTCGACTCAGCTTGCAGAGCGCGTCAGAATAGCGATAGCCTAATAGTTTCGAATTCTTACCCCGAATTCGACTTGGTCGAATTCGGGTCCGGGGTTCGAAATAAGCAAATTCTAAGCTCAGATTCGGACTCAGCACACTCGATTACCTACTGGCAGATTTCAAAAATATCGAAAAAGCATTTCTACCACATTTTTTCTAGGGACCAATGAAGCAGAAGATTACCAAAAAAAGGTATTGCTTATGAAGCTCATTAAAAAAGATAAAACTTATTTTAAGATAGGGGGAGCTTTTTAAGATAGCATCACTGGGTGGGGGTTGGACGAGCTACTCCACGACTGGGTTAGAGAGCTCTTGTACTACCTTTTGTATCTTAAAATGAGTTATGGCTAGTATTGGGGGTATCTTATAATGAATAGGTGACGTATAAGAGAGTATCTCTCCAACCCAGTCGTGGAGTAGCTCTTCTAACCCACACGAGTGATGCTGTTTTAAAAAGCTCCCCCTATCTTAAAATGAGGTTCATCTGTCTATGATAATAGAGATTAATTAAAAACATATCTTTGGAATAATCAAAAAGAAATGTTTTTTAAACGAAAAAATTTTTTTGTTTTTAATAAATACACTTTTCTTCTCTATAATAATAGAGAGGAGTATTACGTAAATCACCCTCCATCCTCTCTCTCTCTCCATTTTTTATTCAACAACACATATTCGATTTGGCCAAGGAATAAATAAAATATTGAATATAGCAAGGCATATGGCCGTAAAGTGAAGACAAATAAAAAAAATTTTTTCGAAGCCTTCAATCATTGCCTGTTTGGGGGTGATAAAAAGTGGGGAAAAATAAAAGAGACACCAAACAACACAAAACAATTTTTCATTTAGAGAGGGAGATGCCGATTAAAGAGGGGAAAAGGACAGTTAATTGAGAAGGGTGTTGATTGTTGCTAACACATTTTTTAGAAAAAAGAAATTAATTAAATTGCAATTTTGGAACAGACAGAGAAGAAGGCTGGCTTAGGAAATGGTGGAAATTGGAAATTAAAAGGATTTTTTCGGAAATAAAAAACAAAAAAAAACATGGAAATAAAGATTAGGACACTCTAACTGCCATTAAAGATTCGAATTTATTTTGGTGGATATTGAAATTCAATAAGACATTGAAATCTTCAAAATGCAATTTATGTGTCTATTATGTGTACGAACTTTTCCGAAAAAATTTTTATATAGTCAGACTCCATAAAAGTTATTTGTCATTTGAAAATGCTCATCGATCTGAGTTAAAGATCCGCAATATCCGCGGATTTGGAGCATCATATCCGTAACTATCCGATTTTTAAAAAACATCCATATACGCCCGTATCCGGATATTATCCGTATCCATGTCCAGCTCTGGTTAATACAATTAATGTTTGTATTTTCAGAATATTTCATTTTAATTTAGCCAAATTTTTTAATTAATTTAAAATGACGCGATTAAAAATAAAAATACACTTATTTTTCAATTAAAAGGCTGTTAACAAATAAATAAATTGTCCAATTAATTTTAAAAAATATATGAAAAGCTGATTCATTTCTTGTTTATTTTAAATAAAAATTACATTCATCGTTATTAAAAATAAAAATAAAAATGTGTAATTGAAAATATTGTTCATTTTTTGTAAATAATATGTACAATATAGGGGTGACACACGCTTATACGGCCCCTCACTTGGTAAAAATATTAAAAATATTTTATAATAAAATTAAAAAAAAATATTTTAAATAAATCATTAAATAAGCTTGGATTAAATTAATTAAATGTTTCAATAAAAATATTTTTTGGTTCAGACAACACATGATAATTAACTGTTCATTGATCGCTTGCAGAGGGGGAACAGCTGAGGGTGTTGGTATATTCAGACTGGGATTTGCCGGTTATAAAGCGAAAGTCAATTTTAAAAACGAAACAAAAAATGTGAAAATGCGAAAGTTAATTTAAATAACGAAGGGCGTAAGACGAAACACGAAACTGAAGAGAGAAAAGGCGAAACTGGCACACCGTTGATTAAAATCTCACCTGAGGTGCAGAGGTGGATTCAGCATCTCATTATAAGATGCTGAACAGTCAGAGGTGTCGGAAATCGGAAGAGCCGGAAATCGGAACTGGCTCAAAAGTCGGAACTCGGAAATCAAAATTTTTTCGAGAATTGGAATTCCAACCCACCTCTGCTAAGGTGTACACTCTTGGGGCTTAGAAAACTACAATATGATGCGAAACTAAATATATGCGGTTACACAAATGTGAGTATATCCTCATGTAAGCAGATCCCCACCAAGTGGTCAATCAAATTAAAAAAATGTACACCTAGGTGAGGTCCGATTATTAAAAAATTTCTAAAATCGATTTCACTCCTCCAGCCATTTATCTAGTTAAACTAAAAACTTGTCAGAAAATCTATCATAAATACTATAACTTGTGTTTTTTAAACATCCCCCCAAATCCCTCCTTAATTATCGATCAAGCTAAGAAGGTATAGGGGCCAACTTATGCTCTAAAATTCCCGAACAAAAAGCTCCTTCCTTTTGCTAATTGAAGCGTCCTATTTCTTCCTTGTTTGCACTATCCTAAGAGCCTCGAAAAACTCCCCGACATTCATCCATCTATTTATTAGCCCCTACTTAATAAGTGTCATCTTCCTCCAATGCTTAAAAGAAAGGCAAGTCTGACGATAATAAAGTTATCGGGGAGAGCGTCTTTATTAACGCTTTGTTTTGGCGTTAATGTTAAATGAGCTAACATTAAACGAAAGGAAAGGGTGGAGGGGATGGCTGGCATCTAGCCCGATGTGAGTGAATGGCTGCCTCTTCTTTGTTATCCTCTCCAATTGCCATCAAAAAAGTTGAGAGGAAAAAAGAGAACTTTTGTCTCAATTGAGAATATAAAATGGAAAAATGATTTAATAATAAATTTAAAGAAAAAAATTTTTTTGAATTAGATCAATAAGAAATATTTTTTGGTAGCTATAACACATAATAAAATCCGATATTAGCCTTAAACCACCGAGGCGTCATGCAAGTACCCTATAGACATGCACTTTAATAGCAATGCACTAAATGATTTGGCGCCAAATGGATCTCCGGGCCTTGAATGCCATCTGCGTAAACAGAGGGATTTCAGTTTCTCCCTGCCGAAGCAAGGAGATAAGAGTTTAGATTGTAACTACTATAACGATCATTGATGTTGATAATTAACATGTTTCTGTTGTTTAATTCGTTCTGCCTTTTCCTCGTTGACCATAACGTGAATTTCAAAAGTACATGGGGAATAGAAAGCCGAATAATCCAAAAAGTCTTATGGTAAGAAAAATAATCGTTATTAAAATTAAACAACCGAAACATTTTACCCCTTGTATAGACAGCAAGGATCAAAAATTAACCCTGATAAATATTTTTTTAAATTAAAAGCCCCCTCCGAAGCAAGGGGCAGGTCCAATGTACAAAACGGCACATGGACACACCAAAATTTGTGCCCCCTGCACAAGGCAGGGGACTTCCAAAATTTGTGCCCCCTGCACGAAGGCAGGGGGACTTGGGTTGCCCCCTGCACGAAGGCAGGGGGACTTGGGTTGCCCCCTGCACGAAGGCAGGGGGACTTGGGTTGCCCCCTGCACGAAGGCAGGGGGACTTGGGTTGCCCCCTGCACGAAGGCAGGGGGACTTGGGTTGCCCCCTGCACGAAGGCAGGGGGACTTGGGTTGCCCCCTGCACGAAGGCAGGGGGACTTGAGTTGCCCCCTGCACGAAGGCAGGGGGACTTGAGTTGCCCTCTGCACGAAGGCAGGGGGACTTGAGTTGCCCCCTGCACGAAGGCAGGTGGACTTGAGTTGCCCCCTGCACGAAGGCAGGGGGACTTGAGTTGCCCCCTGCACGAAGGCAGGGGGACTTGAGTTGCCCCCTGCACGAAGGCAGGGGGACTTGAGTTGCCCCCTGCACGAAGGCAGGGGGACTTGAGTTGCCCCCTGCACGAAGGTAGGGGGACTTGAGTTGCCCCCTGCACGAAGGCAGGGGGACTTGAGTTGCCCCCTGCACGAAGGCAGGGGGACTTGAGTTGCCCCCTGCACGAAGGCAGGGGGACTTGAGTTGCCCCCTGCACGAAGGCAGGGGGACTTGAGTTGCCCCCTGCACGAAGGCAGGGGGACTTGAGTTGCCCCCTGCACGAAGGCAGGGGGACTTGATTGCCTCCCGCCGAGGCAGGAGGACTTTATGGGGCGCCCAAAATTTGACGAAAAAATTTAAACACTTACATTTGAAGATTTATAATTTTTGGACGGTATGCAAACGATAAATATAGAACAATAATTATTTAGTCCTTCTTTGATTAATTTCCATTTCTCTGCCTATTTCACTCTTCTTCACTTTTTTTCTCACTTCGTTACTATTTCACTCTCCTTTTTCACTCTTCTTTTATTGCTAAAATGACTACAGGAGAAAATACACTAAATGCATATTTTTCAAAATGGTCAGAAGGGGAAATTTTTTCAAATTGTCGAAGTGCTCCTATTCATCCCTCCTTAATTATTCCTTTGAAACTTTTTTAAAATTTTGAAAAATATTTATACATCATACAAGTCGAACAAATAAATTTAGAGTATTAAATGAACACTTTTTTCACTAAAATCATCCTCAACTTCATTATCCAATCTATTATTTAGAAAGGAAAAAGAATTTAATTTATTACTTTCTTCCTCCATATTTCTTCTCTCTTGGGGATATCCATTATATAAATAGACAGAAACTGCAACCATTAAAGTTCCAAACAAAAATAAATTATTAGGCGAAAAATCGAATAAAAGCCAGGAACCGAAAGCTGCTCCAACAATTGCGGCTGCTTGAGCATAAGCTTTCTGAAATTGATTTTGGTATAGGGCATGAATCCTATGGGAATGTGTCCTAGTTTGGGTCCCAAAAGGGACGCAGGTGTTATTTTTGCATCCCATACATTTTCAGGGACCCCTGGGCTTTCGTAAGACACATGGGATTCATGTCCTAAACCAGAGGCCTTATATTTTGAAAACAACTAGAGTCAAATCTTATAAGATGCCCCCTGTGGCCTATGTACCTTATAAAGGTTTATCCTACATTCGAGGTATCCTCGTCTTTTGGCTAACCAGATTAAAAACGTATCTTAAATGGAGGTGTATCTTATGTGGAGTGTCAATTTGGAGTATAACGTCTAAGCATCTCCCCCATCCAGTGGCTAATCAAATTTTAAAAAATCGTGTCTTATTTAGAAAGAGTATCTAGTATTGAGAGTGTCTTATAAAGAGGTCAGTGTGGCTAAAACGTGCCTTATATGGGTCTATCTTAAATAGGGGCTATTTTGCTTCAAAAGCTCGCCCCTCCAACACCGTATCTAGTCTAGTATTGAGAGTATCTTACAAAGAGGTTGCTAGGGCTAAAATCGTGCCTTATAACGAGGTCTACTTAAACAAGGCTATTTTGCTTCAGAAGCTCGCCCATCCAACACCGTATCTAATCTCGGACGTATCTAGTATTGAGAGTATCTTATAAAGAGGGCAGACTGTAATCATTCCCAATTGCTTACCAATATATTATCCGCATATTTAATCACAACTGGAAATTAAAAAAATTTTCAATCTCTTCTACTTAAACTACCCGCAATCAAAAGCCCTCCCAATGAATTTGTTGCAGTCATTACCCAAACCAAAACATCAAAACCAACAAATAACCCTTCTATAATACAAATAAATTTTTATAAATTAGCTTTAAGAACCTTCAGAAATTCTTCTCGTATCTTTTACTAAAATAAGAATTGCCCCAATAAACAAACCAAAAATTGCTAGCCTTATATTTTGCATCCAAATGTTCACAGAACTTTCTTTTAATACCATTTCCAGATAGACACCTTTTTTTAATTAGTTTTTAATGTTCCTTTAGGCTTCGAAAATCCGCAAGTTTTATCCGCAAGTTTCCAAAAGTCCGCAAATTTTGTCCGCAAATTTTCGAGAGTCCGCAAGTTTTGTCTGCAAGTTTCCAGTCAACCTTGCTAAAAATACCCCCAATACAGGGTGAGGGAGCTACTTTAGCAATACTACCTATCTAATCTACGCCCCATTATAAGAGACTAACTCTCAATCCCAAAGAGGTATCTAAAGTGAGGTTCGCCTGCAAGACATGTCTTTATAAAAGGGGAAAAGGCAATTGCACTTGCGGACTTTCTAAGCATAATTTTTCTACTAAATTTACCTGCAAATGCAGATGAAATACACATAGTAAGAACGGATAGCATTCCAACAAAGAAGCTTTGTTCTTTACTGGATTGGCTTGCTGGAGGCTCATATTGACTTTGGACTATAGCAACTCCTAATACCTTTTTAAATCTTTTTTTAAATGCAAGTCAGACCTCACTATTAAATACACCCCTTGGGCAGAATCATACTTTATAACGAGTTTTTAGGGGTACTGTTTTTTGTCTGGACGGGGTTTTGTCCGTTGTATATTACAACATATATATATTATTTTTTGTCCGTTGTATATAACAACCGCAAAAATATTACAACATACAGATGCGATACCTTTATTTAAGCTACCCCTCGTTATAAGAGACTATTTTTAATCTCACAAGGGTGTGTCTAATAATGGAGGTTTACTAACAAGAATTAAAAGAGCAATCCATTGTATTCTAGAAATTAGTTTCCCAAGCAATATTCTCAACATAATCGCTGTTGTTAAAATTTTCAATTGATAAATAACCTTCAAAATATTTTTTTAAATTAATTTAATTAATTAAAAATCAAACACAAAATGTCGTGGATTCCAAATTGGATAAAGCAACGTAATACAAATTATTTTGTAGATTATATATTAAAGAGGGGGCACAAACCTTTAAGAGGCGTATTTTTATTGAATTATTTTTTAATGAAAAAACTTTGGCAGTTTCAATTGGATCTCCAAATATTGCATTTTTACAATCATTTAAGAATCTTTAAAAAATCTGCATTTTTAAGAAAAAAAGTTGTCCGCAAGTATTTTTGCGGAAGTCCGAAGTATCCTGCGGGAAGTCCGCAAGTTGTTTGCGGATATCCGCAAGTTTTTGCGGATATCCGCAAATTTTTTGCGGATTTTTTCCCAGAGGTGTATCTTAAATAGGAAGTTAGGAATCAGCTCCGACAGTGAAATATTTTACATGAAAGATCCGCAAAAATTATCCACAAATTTTTCTGTTACCTGAAAATACTTTTTGCTTTAAAACAAAGCAATATGGAACAAGCAGATAATTTAATCAAATCCATAAAAAATACATTCCTAAAAATTAAGTTTTGTGTTTTAGTTTAGACGCCCAAGCTAAAATACACTGTCGTTATGAATGCATTATCTCTATCTCTTGAAGCTCTAACCATTAAAGGCATGCTACAAAAATTTTTTAAGAAATTTTTTTAATTTTTTTAATGCCTTGATTGCTGCAAAGTCAATAATAAAATTCCCAATTGTTTGTAGAAAATAGGATTTGAATTCATTTTTTGAGATTAATTTTTAATTTAAAAACTGGACCCAAAATCTGTAAGCTTTATCCACAAGTCATACTTCATAATTAATTTTAGATACACTCATGGGGGTGAAAAAATAGTCTCCTATAATGAGAGGTAGCTTAAATAGAGGACAAATCTCATTATACGATACACTCTTGGATGTATCCTAAATAGAGGATGAACCTCATTATAAGATACTTTTTAAGGTTGAAAAGCAGTCTCTTATAATGAGAGGTATCTTAAATAGAGGGTAATATAGCTTAGACAGCTCCTTTTGCCAAGTTTCCCACAAAATTAAAAAACGTATCTTAAATCGAAGCCAATCCTGGGGTGATCAAAAATTCTAGTCAATCCTGGGGTGTTTAAAAATGAGTTTTGACTGTACAACTTGCGGATAAAACTTGCGGATTTTCTCGAGCATAAAAGGAAAGGAACCAATAATTTTTAATTTTATCGAAACATTTTTAATTTTAAAAAAGAGGCGTTTCATCAATCGAAAAATATTCTAGGTCAATATTTTGAAGATTAGACAGATTTAATTTATTAGATTTCAAAGGGAGATTAAAAAAAAAGAGAAATTGATTTAAAATTAATTTTATAATTTATTGAACACATTTTGATTATTAAATGTTGAAAATGAACTAGGTAGTTATGAAGGCGGACCTACCTATAAAATAATCCCCCCCCAATACTAGGTACACCACTAAGAATCTCCAAAATTTGGTTTACCCTGGGTGTAGGAAGCTGTCTAAACAATGCATTTTAGGTACACTCTCTAATTAAGATACAGCCCATTTAAGGTCCGATTTTTCAGGCTTGAGGGGGTATCTTATATTAAGGTCCGGCTATATTAATTTTGTTAAGTTGAGCAAAAAAAATTCTTGAAATTGAAGTTTCTAATTTGCAGATTTTTCCTACATTAAGGGGAAAATAAGGGGAAAATCTCTGCAAGATTGGTCACCTCAATTTTTAAAAATTCAAAGAAAAATATTTTTTCTTGAGATTATTATTTTTTAATTAAAATTTTTAATAAATTCTGCTTTCTAACGTGTCAATATTTAAATGATTTGGAGGGTTTTGATTATTAATATTATTTGCATCTTCAATTTCTTGCCTTTGTTTTTTGTCCTTTCCACGATTTATTAGCCAAACAATTAGCCAAACTATTAGAGAAATTAAAACGAGAAGACAAAATAGAGCTAAGAGGCCAATAACAAGTGTATATTTTGATCTCCTAAAATAAAATTATTAATTCTAAAAAAATTTTGGAAATGGAAAATACAAGCAACCCGCGAGATACTCCCTCGGGACTGAGAAATCGGTGCTTATAACGAGATTTGACTTAGAGAGTACCTTATATTCAAGGGTGTCTTAAATAGAGGGATACCTTACTATGAGGGGTACTATAAGTAGAGAATATTGCTTGGATAGATCCCCTCCCGGGCCAACCAAATTTTAAAACGGCTCTTAAAGAGGTGTTGGGTGTAGCTAATAGTGAAGAGTCTGTTTGTATTTTTCAAAAATTTTCCTACCAATTAGAATCACAACAAGTTTTTTCACAACAATCAACATCGATATGACACTCTTGAATAACCTTTAAAAAAGTTAAATTGAAGTTAAGACAAAAGTGATAAAGGAAGAGGCTACTAGTCTACTTCAAACCCCTCTATCGCAAAGGCTAGTTAGAAGCCCTTCGGCAGACTCCTCTTTAGGGATGTCACAGGTTAGGAAAAGAGTTAGGTTGGGCTTTGTGTAGGGTTTAAAAATTTTCTTCGGATCGTGATTTGGGTTGAAAAAAGTCCCGTTTAGGGATTAAAAGGGAAGGTTCGGGTCGAGCTTTCGGATACCCTGGCATTCCTAAACTGTAGTAATTCGTTGAGAAATCCTTCAATTGCTCTTATCTTTTAATTTTAATACTCAGATTTTTCAAGAATGCTACCTGTTGTACGCTGTCTGGAATTCCATAAATGCAATTATAAAATGATGGATCATGTTCTGAATTTCAAAAAACATTTTTCAAAATTTAGCTTTATTTTTAACCATTAATTTCTTTTGTTACTAAAGTTGCGTCTTTTATGGTTTCGAATGTTGCATCGTTTGGAGGGCCTGAAGCCGAGTTTGAATAGGATGGGTCAAATAGTTGTAATTCTCTTTCCTTATCTGTTAAATGGTCTGTTTGTTGAGCTGGGTCTGAAATTATCATTTTTTAACTCGCTATAAAATACACCCCCGAACTTCCCTATAAGATAAACTCGTTATAAGATACCCTCTTTATAAGATACCCCCAACCTCCCTATAAAATACCATCATTATAAAACCTTCAGCTGAGCCTCATTATAAGATACCCCCTTATAAGACACCTCCAAACCCCTCTCTATAAGTCACCCCCAAACCTCTCTATAAGACACGCTCATTATAAGAGCATAAGTCAACTTATTATAAGATGCGCATAATACTAGAACACCTCAGTTTAAGACACATTTTTGAATTTTGTTAGCCCTTAGGTGTGGGAGGCTCCTAATAAGCGATACCCTCTAGCTAAGATTCACCCCATTATAACGTTTGATTTTTTCAATCCCAAAGGTCTAGCGATGTCTTGTTTGTAGCATTTCGACACGGCTATAACTCACTAAAATATATTCGTAATAAAATACCTGAATAAGGAAGATCCCATCTCGACCAAGGAGTTTTGGGTTCCTGTGCCATTATTTCAAATTTACTTGCGGACAAAACTTGCGGACTTTAAAAATCATAAAGGGAACTGAACCGAAACTTTTTTCTAGAAGATTATATATATCTTTAAATAAACTATATAATATAGGCAAGTATTTGTGTGTAAAATATACTTATATTTTACACAAACACAGCAAAAAAACGTTAACTCGCAACGTCCTCCCTTTCAATACAAAAAATGATTGTTTACACAAAGGTCCCAAACTCTTCCCGTTTTTTTGTTTTTTCCCTCAAATTATTTTTTACTTTGTATCGACTCTTTGAAGGATTTTTTGGAAGAAAAAAAGTAAAAAAATTCTCTCAAGTTATTGGCCCTCTTGAGAATAATTGAAGGGAAAGGATCAACAATAACAGAAAACTAACCAGAACCAAATTACCCTTCTCTTTTTCTATTTTTGAAGACTAATACCTACTAATCTATTTTTAAATGTTAAAGAGATTGAAAAAAGAAATGTGTATTTTCTCTAAGAGAAATTTTTTGAAAAAATTTGTTAAGATTCGGAAATCTTGAAGCAAGTTATCACTTTGCGCCGTTATGGCCACGCGCCTACTTGGGCTGTACCATTTAAGTCTTCTTTAAAACTACGTCGAGTTACAAATAAGAGACGTGGGAATACTCCTGTTCTACTACTCTGGGCAGTGTTAAGAGAAGGCGATCACGTGCGAGGAAACAAGTCATTGGGAAACAAGTCAATCGATTTTGATGGTCCTGAAGATCCATACAATTTTGTTTTTAAATTTAATAAACATCCTACACCATTGGTCGACATTAGCTTGGAAGTTGGGAATTATTTGAAGGAATCTAGTAGACTAGTTGGATTTAAAAAGTTTAAATTTTTAAGTTTTAATTATTTTTCTAGCCAAAACTCTTACATGTCAAACTGGTTGGTCTTTCACCCGTTCCGTCATCTTCTATGGGACCAATTCAGCAAGCATTCCATTCAGGAATGTCTATGTTTGGTGGAGTAAACAGGTCTGGTCGTCTCATTTGGAGCCCGTACGGGTCATCAAATGTAGAAAACTCCGAGAAGTGCTAAGAGAAAACGATCACAGGCGAGGGAGTAATTCAATGGGTCAATAATTTTAGACGGCCAGAAAGCTCGCCAAAGTTGAGGAGCAGCAATTGTAAATGGAATGCGTTTTTTATAAAAATTTGGGCTTTTTTCCAAACAACAAGGCGTATCTAGGGGGTCGGTTTCGGGGGGAGGGGGATGAATACGCCCTTGCCGAACAAAACTAACAATGTTTACATATTTCCCGAAAAATTTATTATTTTCGACCGATAATCATAAAGCATTTTCAGACCCAAGAAATCATAGAACTCGAGAAGTTGAGCAAGACGTGAATTCTTCTGAAATTGCTGCTTTTAATTATGCTGATATGACTCTTTTTACTCAATCAGGTTTTCAATTAAGATTTTAATATTTCTAAATTATAGTACATTTATTTGTGATAGGTCTTATGCGAAATACAACAATTCCACAACATCTTATTCTCTTCCAAATGCTTCCAGATTTCAAGTATGATTGCGTAAAGTCTGTTATTGAACTTCAAAGAAATAGCCAAAGTTGAGGAGCAGCAATTGAAATGGAATGCGTGAAGAAGAAACTGCCTGAAGAAATAGTGAATTGTGGTTTAATTACCCAAATACAGACAATATTTTTGTGAAAGTGCTAGGTTTGGTTTTAATATTTTTTGTTTAATTATTCTTTTTTTAAAGAATACTCACACCGGATGAAATTGTTGAGTAAGTTTTTCAATATTTTTTCTTTACAAATTCAAATCTGTCTGGTCGTCTTGTCTGGTCGTCTCATTTGGAGCCCGTACGGGTCATCAAATGTAGAAAACTCCGAGAAGTGTTAAGAGAAGGCGATCACCTGATGATAGTGATGATAGTGACATTGAAGTTGTTTTTACTTGCAACAATTTGCGTACTAATAACCTCATGGAAAAGGTTTTTTTCTTTATAAAAATATTGGGCTTTTTTCAAAACAACAAGGGCGTATTCAGGGGGTCGGTTTCGGGGGGAGGGGCATGGATACACTCTTGCCGAACAAAACTAACAAAGTTGACATATTTCCCGAAAAATCTATTATTTTTTAACGATAATTACAAAACATTTTTTGACCCAAGATATCAATGAACTCGTGAAGGAAGATGGCGAAAAATTTAACAAATGGTTTGCTCAATATTTGTCTATGAAGATTGTAACTGTTGAGCAAAACTTCAATTCTCCTGAAATTCCTGCTTTATTTTTACTCAGTCAGGCTTTCAATTAAGATTTTAATATTTTTAAATTATAATACATTTATTATTGATAGGTCTTATGCAAAATGAAGAAAGCTTTTTAAAAGATAGCCAAAGTTCTGTTCTGATTATCTGATTACCTTTTCAAATTTATATAACTAAAGCATACGAGTATTGACAAGGATTATTAGCTTAATTGAAGGATTTCTCGCGTGATTGACTTCACTTTTCTCTCTCTCCACATATTTGGTTTGCTGTCACAACGAACGTTTAACTACCAACTTCATTCTTTTTTAGCTTATTTTAATCCTTGTTCTCTTTGTAATTTATATCTTTCCACACTCTTTATTTATCTCGTAAGGCTCATTTTGTCACTGCTTTTTATCCTTTTCCTTTAACTATTGAATTTTTTCATTCTTTTGCAGAAAATTTTACAAGTTAAATTGTAGACTAATTGTGAAGAGTGGAAATCCTCTTTTATAGATACTCTTGGAGCTGAAAAATTGTACCTTATAATGGGTTGTGTGTAGAAACCGAAGAGGTGTATCACGTCTTTACCAAGGGTATGCCAGTTTTGGGGTGTGCCAGTTTCGTCTTTCGCCCATTTTTCGTCTTTTTTAGTGCTTCAAATCTCGTCTTTCGCTTTTTAAATTACCTTTCGTCACCTCCCTGATAAGGTTGCCTAATCCGGATATCCGAAGATTTCTAACTATTCGACAACCTTACTCCCTGACATCTATGCAAATACAATTTTAATTTTGTAAAAATTAATATGGGATCGATTCTTATACATAATTCCAGTCCAAGTAGGTATTTTTACTTTTTCATAAAATAGACGCCCGCGTCTTTCTAGTAAAGACAAAAAATCTAAAATGCAAAATTAAACAAAATCTAAAGTTTCTATAATTAAATTCCCTCCACATTCAAAGTTTTTTAATTTTGTTTAAAAATCAATTTTTAATTTCATTTCAACATTTTTGTTTAAATATTTTTATTTTTCCCCTCCTTTCCACATGAAAATTTGTGTTGTTGTATTTGGTATTTTCTCACAAAGCAATCACATTTTCTCTTATTTTTACAACATTCCCCCTCCATTTTTCTATTTATGGAAGGGTAATATTTTGAATATAAGCAAGCCTTTTCTACATTTTTAGTCAATCACACAAAGAATTTTACAAGATTACAAATCAGTTTTATAAATTTATTACTTGTTTTTGGGTAATAAAATGAAGATTTTTTACTTTAAAAATTTTTTATTACTTTTTTAAATTTAAAAAATAATCAATCAAAGGTAAATATACTAACATTTGTGTACTCGATTTTTAATTTTTGACGAAAATAATTTTTAAGCATGTTCACTACAAGTGGTTTAAAAACCAAGGGAATACTTCTCATTAACCGAATTTTAGTCCTCGATATAAATACATATCCCTCTATGCTAAATACACCTCTGTTTAATAGACGCTCTCTTTAATTTTGGTTGGCTATTGCATGAGAGAAGCTACTTAATCTCATACGACACTTAAATCTCATTATAAGATACCCCCTATATTAGGCGTACCTCATTTTAAGATACGCTGGAAGGGAGAAGTTGCCTGAACAATACCCTCTAATTAACATACCCCTCGTAATAAGGGACATTTTTTCATACCCAGGGGTATCTTATAGGTATCTCATATCTCTCAGGGATATGCTCTCTCCCTCTCATCTCATACCCTGAAGTATCTCATAGGTGTCTCATAGGTGTCTCATATCTCATCTCATAGTGAGGTCCAACTGTGTTTTCATCTCTATAATTAATCAGGATTCAACTAAAATGCATAAATCAGTACTAATTATAAAATACTCCCTTGGGGGAAATGACTGACCATTTTGTACATCAAGAAAGAAACTTTATCTCGTCTCCTCTCATCGTCACCTCTCATCTCATACCCTAGAATATCTCATAGGTGTCTTATATCTTATCTCATAGTGAGGTCTAACTGTGTTTTCGTTTTAAAAGAAAAAATTTTTATTGCCTCTATTTTATGAAAAATAAAAAAATAATTGAAAGTTCCTATCTTCATGTTACCATAAACTTTCCTTATCAGCTATTTTATTTTTTTCTCTGTTAATTTAGAACTCCACACATATAAAATAATATTTGCAAAATTCCCAGTAACTGTAAACATTCTTGTTTTTTTCTTAAAAGTCATTAAAAGGTGTAAACTTGCTATATTTCTCGGTTTAACTGACCCAACGTTAATGTATTCCATTTTTAGAAAAGCTAACTTTTCAAGCTAAAAAACGATAAAAACAACCATCAATCTAATCCAACTAAGGAAGCAATATTGTTGATATTACGCGTCTTTATCCCCCCCCCTCCCTACCCCCTCCTTCCCTGTTATACCCTGTTATTCTCCCCCGTGTGACATAAATGTCCTCCCGCTGACCGGCGCCAACAGATATTTTCTGTCACTTTTTTTAAAAAAATTTTTTTAATCGATTGTTTATTGTCGCTTTGGTGCAATATTCGACCGCTTTGCCTAGCACCTCTCTTCTCTCTCCACACAAAACAGCCAGTCGCTCACGTCTTTTTTTTAAAATCTTCATCCCATCTGCCCCTATTACTACTCTATTTTTCTTCCTTTAATAACAGCAAAGAGGCAAGTTATCTCTTCACTGTTTTTTTTATTTTTTGTTTCATTTAAAGTCCTCATTGCGTTCATTTCCGTTTTATTTGGATAAGGAAGTTTATTTGTTAGGGTTTTAATAGGGTGATAAAAATTACATATTATTAATTGAGCTTTGAACGATTAATTTTTAGTCAAGATCCAACTAGAATTCATAAATCAGTGGTAGTTATGAAATACCCCCTTGGGGAAATGATTGACCATTTTGTACATCAAGAAAGAAATTGGCTGGATGACGGCAGTAGTACCAAAAAATCCTGGACTTATCTAATCTCATCCTTCCTCCATTCCGGTTTTTTGTTTGAGATGTACAAAATGGTCAATCATTTTACAGATCGATTGAGCTCGTCGAGATAGTCGAATGACACCAAGATTAGTCAGTAGAGAGATCTTCGAGCCTAGTTACTGGCGTTCAAGTTAATCAAGAAAACATAGGTTACAGGGGTTCAAAATGTTCAACTTTTGGATAATGATGTTTATTTTATAATGAGGGGTATTTTCACTTGAGGGGTTTACTTAGGGAGCTTTCTCCATTCAATAGTTACCTAAATTTAACGTGTCTTTCAATTTAACGTGTTTTTTGTTTTTTTTTTAGATTAAAGTCAAATCAACGTTTTTTTAACTCAGGAGCTGAAATATTATTTTTACCAAATTTATTTTTCTAACCGGACTTGCCTCTCACTATTCATCAACTAATTTGTAAATGGGACAAAGGTCGTCAGTTCAACAACCTGGCGCTGATGTTGCTGTATAAATTTTTTTCGATTTTTTCAAATTTAAATTTTTTGTTTTTTAGCACAGGCCACGTACCAGTTCCGATATTTCCAACGGTTTGGCTTCTAGGCACCAAAGACATAGAAGCAACAATCAACGCTCAAGGTTCCAACAGAATGATACGGTTTGTGACCAAGCAAGGGATTTATCTTACTCATTTTTAGTCTTCTTCCTCATCGTCCCCTTCAAATAGAACCTCAACTGATGAAGATAATAGGAGTGAAGAGGATGGGGCTGGCGATCTTAATTTTGCTTCTATTCTGATGAGCCATCTTGGCCTTAGCTCAGGTTTTGTATATTTTTGTTCTTTTTGCTTTAGTCGGCGTAGTAGGGTTTGAGATCTTCAAGACTTTGGGCCTGTAATGTTTGTTAAGTCCACAACCACGGATCGGATCCTGGCCAAACAAGTATCCTGGGAGTGAATTTTTTTCGAGGCCGTTGGCATGTGGTTCTTAAGCCCCAGTAAGACTCGAAAAGTTGATGTAGACTCATCCAGGCTACATGCTTGATCTTGAGCCGGTGGTTCTGTGAGCCCCAGTAGGCTGTAAGCCTCATCTGCTGCTTATAAGGATGTTCGCCTTACATACATTTTTGTCTTCCTTGGCTTTTAATTTTTCCCTTGGCTTTGAAATAATTTGATGGTTGTGATTTTTGTCTTTTTTAGGTGTTTCACCATCAACAACTGGGTCTTCTAATTCTGCTCAACGTACTAATGTTCGACGTAGTGAAGGAGGGAGTACACTAAATAACGGGTTCTTCCACAACAGAAACCCTAGAACTAATCGCTTTGGTGGTAGTCAAAGGTTTTTTTGTTACACAAAGCTCACGCAGTACTATGAGGACCCCCAATTTAGGATAAATGGCCGCTGGACTCCTTTTTCTTTCCCAGGTTTGGGCAGACTTACCCTTCCAAATTCCCCCTCTAGTTTTTATTCTATTTTGGGTAGGAGAAAGGGAGGAAAACTGACCTTGAGGAAAAACTTGGGAAGGAAAAAGGGAACTTCTATTTCATACTCACTTAAACTTTAAAAAATTTTCAGGTCTCGTCGTGCTTTGGTTAGTAACTCAACCTCTTCTGCAGGGGAATTATTGTCTAGTGGACGTCTCGAAGCTTTATTACGTGGAATGGAAGATAGCCTTTCTGTTTCAAATTCTGCTTCTAGCAGTTCAATGCGGGTGATGGGAACACAGAAACAACAGGCAGCGTTGGGCCGTTTGCGTCAATCTCTTCCACTTTTGCAGTTAATTGGTATAAAATTTTTTTGATTTCTCATACCTTACTACACAAATTCTTTTAAATCATCAGGAATGTACGGGTTATTCGAAACCCAACGCCCGTACCTTTTTCAGCCCAAAACCCGATCCGGCCAAAACCTAATCCCAATCCTGGCCATCCTTGATAAGAATGCCTTTGACAATTAATTTAGAAAAAACTTTGTTGAGTACACTAGTGTGTTAAGGCTTGGGGATAGAATTTTACTCCAGAAATGGATCCTTTTTTTATTAATATTAGGGTGGCTCTCGACCGGCTAACTTTTGCTTGTGTTACCTCAAATGCTCTTATTCTTAATTTGAGACGTCGTCGGCAAAAATTAACCGCTCTTTAACAAATTAACAAACCCTGCTTTAACTGTTAATTTGGGGAAAAATAAAAGCTGTTATCAAGTTCAATATCACCCAGATTCAATTTTTAAACTTTAGAAAGTTCAAAATCCTCCTACTTTATTTATTTTAGGTCGTGATATAAAATGTCCAGTGTGCCATAAAATTGTGCCTTTAAAAGATGTAGAGATGCATTTGGTTATGTGTTTTACTAGACCAGTGCTTTCTTACAATGGTTTTCTTTAAATTTTATTTTCTTTAAAAATTCTCTTAATAGATGATGTTTTAACCGCTGATAAAGGGGAATGTTCCATTTGTTTGGAGGATATGTCTGAGGGAGATAATATTGCTCGATTGCCTTGTCTATGTATTTATCACAAAATGTGAGAGGTTTTTTTTGATTATATAGTTTTGAGGATAACTAAGTTTTTCTAAAGGAGCCCTTCCGATAATAAGGCCCTTCCGAAAATTTTCTTTCCACGCCATGAAACAAACGAGGTTCTAGGTTCTGAACCTTTAAGATCGGTTCTCTTAGACTGTCGGACCTCCCTTCTTTAATTTATTTGCATATTGTTGGGGATGGCTACTTGGATGGTAGGGGAGACACTGGCCCGTAGCCAGGGGGAGACATCGACATATCTGAATTTTTGTGACAAAAATAACTTTTACGTTGGTTCTAAAACAGAACCAACTTTGGTTCTGAAACATACAAATAGATGTTCACGACTCATTGGCCGTAGGGTCCTTAAACCAGTAGAGTAGCTGTTCGGACTTTGAAATTTGTTTATATGTCCGTGTCGATATTATAGCTTCCACATAATTGTAAGCAATATCCCTCAATTTAAAAATAGTTATCTCATCTCTTATGAGGTACGATTTTTCAAGAGGGTATTTTATAGTAAGGTGCACTTCTAACGTAAAAACAAATAACTATTTATATTTTTTAGTTGCATCGATGAATGGTTTAAAAGGAAGAATACTTGTCCTGAACATCCACCAGTTGAGGATGACTAATCTTTGAATGCAACTATTGAAATTTTTCTGGATGTCCATTCTCTCTTCTATAAAAGTTTCGTTTCAATTACTAAAATTTTTGTTTCTCTACAAGAGCATTCAATCGAAGAGTTTTCTTTTCCAAATACAATTTTGAAAAATTTATCTTTTTGTGGAATCTTGCAATTTTACACTATATTTAAATCTTCATTTTCTTACAACCTCTCTTTTTTTGGCCTCCGGAGGTTATTTATAAAATAAATATTAGTAGAAGGTAGAGGCGAGCTTCTTAATCGAAATTTCCGCAAAACTCGTATGCTTTGAATCGGCCCGACCCTTGTCCAGGGCATTTTTGAGGCGATAGGAGTTATAGGCACGGAAATTCTCGGCTCCTATTTTCTCCAAAATTCCATCTCTGACCCGTAATCTCAATCGGCCTACCCCTGGTCCAAGTCTTTTTTGGAGACGGGAAGAATTGAGAGAATAGTAATCAAGGGGCGTCTAAAAATCTGCGTCAGGTTCGCCAAGCAATCTCACCCGGCCTAACTCCGGTTCAAGTATTTTTTGGGACGAAAGAATGAAGGAATGGGAATTCAAAGGGGCGGGGGCTCTTAAATTTAATTTTCCCCTTTTGACAAAATTCTCTTTTTTCAAAGCCGCGTTTAAGTGGTCTAAATTTTACAACTTTTACCTTAAAAACATGGATTTTTATCTTAAACAAAAATCTTTTTTTTTCGCTCATTTACTAAATTTTCTATCCTTGTAAAAAACATTTTTTTAAAGCAAAAACAGGTTTCAATAAATATTATCAACACAAACACCGTTGATTATTCAATCAACAATTCTTTTTAATTTTTCTGCGCTTATATATTACACATTTTTGCTATATTTTTTTTAATAAATATTTTTTCTTAATTTTGTTTTTTTTTAAATTTATCCACTTGATTATTTTGTGGTTTTTATTTGAATTAAAATTTTTAGGAAATTTTTTAAAAATTTTTTTGATAAGTCCTTAAACAAATTAAGACAAGTTTTTCCCCGGAGCTAACAGCCCATTTAGGCGCGCGGCCATAACTTGCTTCAAGTATCCAAATCTTACCAAATTTAGTATTGAAAGATTCTTCTCATCGAGCTAAAGAAATTGGTACCAAAATTAATAAGGGCCAGAAATTTTCAAGTTAGTTATGGCTCTGCGCCGTTATGGCCGCGCGCCTAAATGGGCGTGTCCCCTTTCGGACGTTTGCTGGCATTATGAAAAATCAATCAATTTTTTAAAATTGATTTTTAAGTCATTTAACGGTCTTTATTTGAGAAAAATATTTTAATTTTATTATTTTCAGTTCGTTTCACACATTCCATTATTGCCTTAAAATATGATTCCTTCATTCTCCATGACCCAAAATTTTGGGGTCCAAAATGGTCAACCTCGTAATAATTTTGTTCAACACCAATCTACTCCGCCTATTTATGGTGCTGTTATGCGTCAAGGTGCTACTCAATCTCAAGTGCAATTTCAACAAATGATGCCTCAACGGGTTGTTCAACCAATTCCAAGTTTTGGGGTTCAACAGGTTTTTTAAATTTTTGATTAGAGATCGGGGTTGAGTCTCTAATTGGGCAGAGGTTAGGTTTTGTTATTTTGGATTCATTTGAGGGATTTTCAGGAGGGTATTTGGTTTTTCCTGATTTTTCTTTGACTCGAGGTCAATTCTTTTGGCTTGTTTTTTTGGTCAGATTCATCATGGGACTGGGGAAATGGCAGACACGGGTTCTTGATGCCGAAATGGGGCTGGGTCTTAAACACGACTTGGATTCTAGTCTTGATTTTGCTTGGATTCATTCTAGGGATTTTCGGGGTTCCTTGGTTTCTCCTGATCTTGATTATTTTGACTCAAGATTGGTCAGAGGGTTGTCCTTTTCTGATTCCAGAAATTTTTTCTTTCAAATTTCGAAGTACTTTTTGCATTCCTCCGCCTTTATGGCCGACATTTGATCCCTCTGTCCAGTCAAAGGTCTTTCAAACTTTCCTATCCCCAATTCTGCCACTCTATTTCTTGTTCTTTTAAGAATTACAACAATCCTCTACCTGCCAACACAACAAATATGAACATTAATTTGGGCCGTTCTAACCAGAACGTTTTTGCTCTTCAAACCAATCAAATGACGACTACATCAAGTCAATATTTGCCACAACAACAACTTCAACCGCCCTATCCTCTTCTTGCAACAAATTCGTCTCCTGCTTTGATTTCACCGCCGCGGATGTCTTTTGTTTCTTTTCCACCAATGCCTTCTGTGCATCCACCGCCAGCGCACATAAGTTTAACGGTTAATGGTCGTCAGCAACCGCATTCTCAACCGACTGTAACGCTTAACCATGTGGTTTTTTTTATTAATTTTGGGGTGGGTGGGCTTTTTTCCAACTCCAAACCCCGACTCAAGAGATTTTTCATAATCCTACCCGATCCTTCGCGGGTGCCGACCATATTATGTGTTCTACACATCCACGTCATTTTGTCAAAGTTTTCGACTTCACTTAAATCTTCCGATTCTTCCATAGTAAAAAGGGACCGTAAACGTAACTATCAGGCTCGTAGCCAACAAAAATTTTAAGGGGGGAGGGCATTTCAGAAAATTTCGGCGCCGAATTTGTCGTTAAAGTCTCCAAAACTATCCTCTTTTTGGCTCCATTACTCTAAACAAATTTTTTTAAAGAACTTCTGTCCGTATCAGCCTCCAGCTTGTATTAATCAACAACTATTTTCGCCTGCCGTAGGGTGGTCTTTTACTAGTGAACCTCCAACTAATACAAACCGAGTGCAACATCAACAACCTATTTTGCGAATGCCAACTGTTGTTATTCGACCTGGAGGGACTACAATTATTCGTTTAAATGGTTATAATCGTCCGGGAGGATATTTTGGACGAGGGCCGTTGACTAATATTGGTTTGATTTTTTGATAATTTTTTAAAAAATTTTCCCAGTGATTCTTGATATAGTCGAAAACCTCGAAAACCACTCCCAGGGCTGAAAAATCATACCTTATAATTAGGTCAGGCCCGTAGCCAAGATTTTTTCGGGGGTGGTGAGGAAGATCCAAACCCTCAGAAGACAAGCCGAGAATACCAAAATATGATTCGTTGACAACTTTTCACGTTGGTGGGGAACAACCTTCACCTTTGTAGTTGAAGCTTTTCTGTATTTTTTTGAAAGACCTTGTTTGATTTTTTCCCACTGTTCAGTATTTTGAGGATTTTGTATTTAGGCGTTTGGGAAATTTTTTTGGAATTCCCTCTACGGCTAACCAAAAATTTAAAAAAATCTAAAAACGAGATTTTCAATAGTCTCTTAAAGAATACTAAGGAAAAATTTTTTAGGTTGTCATACTTCAAATGTTAAAAACGGATATAAAGCTCAACAACCACGTATCAAATATAACGGTTTGAATTTTTCTCTTCAAAATTTTTTGAAAAAACTTTTATTTTTAGAAGAAATTCTTGCTGATAAAAAAGATGAATGTCCTATTTGTTTGGAAGATATGGATAGTGGAAATTTGATTGCTAGACTTCCTTGTCTTTGCATTTTTCATAAAAGGTTTTTTTTTTGATTTTATAAATTGGAGAGGTTTTTTGGGGGTTCTAGTGCATGACATGCGTCCCTCAACATTAATGTTCATTTCTGCTTAAAATATTTGGTTTTAAAATTTTTTGTTCCTGGGGATTTTGATCAATGTGTGGGTCTACCGGACGTAAATTCTTGTTAGTTCCTAGAAGCGACGGGTCTGTGACCAACTACAAGCTATGATCCAATGATGGTCGCAACTAGAGATGAGATTTTTGAAAAGCCTGGGTCTGTTCCTGGGTTTGATTTATTGACCTGGGCCGGATTATGGGCCTGTAGTCTAGGAAAAACACCAGGAAGGTCATCCTGGTACTAGTATCCCAATCACGAACCTAAAAGCAAATTTAAAAACATGGGAAATCGAATGAACTGTTTTACGGAGTACATTCAATGCCGCGTAAATGTCTTGCACTAGAGCCATGCTTTCATTAATCTGACAAATTTCGAAAAAATTTTTAAATTTTAGTTGTATTGATGAATGGTTCTTGCGTAAGAACACTTGCCCATGCCATCCAGATGATTAATTTTGAAAAAGAATTTTAAACACCAGAATTTGGTTAAATTATTTATTTTAATGTTGATACTTTTGAAAAATTTCAAGTGATTTTTTTGGCCCTTTAAAAATTGTGAGAGCTTTGCCCATTCTTTCAGCTTTACATGATAAAATCTTTGTTTTTTTTGGAGTATTTTAATATTAGTGAATATTTTCTGGGCGAATATTTTTTGAGAGATGAGGTGTATACGAAGAACTGTTTGATATCCTATTCCATTTTAATGATTCTTACCAAAATTATGAGTCCAAATCCTAGTTGGGAAAATTTTTTGTGCCAATGCAAGGGAATAAATTAAACGGTCACAACTTTGCTCACTTAAGGCATTTTTCTTGCGAATGATATATAAATTGCCATAAATTGAGAACAAAGTAGGAAAAATAGAAAGGAAAAAGGGGGACGACTTCAACTTAACTAGCCTCTTTACAAGAAATTGACAAACTTAATTTTATTAAATATGGTCTAAAATATAGGACAGTGGTCTACGATATACGATAGTGAATCATTGCATCCACATACATGCTTTCTTTGGATTTAAATAAATATCCTGTTGCAATTTCTTCGTTGTAAAATAATAATCTCACTTCTGGATTGTGAATATTGGCAATTTGGTATTTTGTATATTTTGTTCCCTTTATTTGTTTAATTTCAACCTTCTCTGCTCTTCCACTTAATTCAAGATTTGTGGAATTAACAAAAGATAAACCAATATTAGCCACCATTTTTGAACAGTCTCTAGATGTTGCTATATACTAAAATTTGAATTTATGCTTATTTGTAAATAACATGTTAGTAGATAAATGTCCAGGGAATAAAATAAAAATCCCCTCTGGTCCGCAACGCCAAAAATGCAAAGGAAAGTGAAATTTCCAAAATTGCAATTTCCCCAATTTCTTTGCGGACATTTGGGGAGCCAACTAGACATTTACCAATAACTTACTTCAACAATATAATCATAAAACAAAACCACATTTTTTAATGCACCATTTTTATGATCCGCCTTAGTAATAAAATTCAAATGAATTTCTTCAAAATTGTCTCCTCCATTTGTTAAAATTTTACATAAAATATTTTTATAATTTTCCATAATGTCTTTGTTTTGTTTAAAATAACAATGAAGATCTTCACAAGCCAGATAATTCTTCAAAATAAATTGTAACAAATATTCAGTATTATCATCCGTAAAATACAGATGACATGTCTCTATATAAATTGAATTTTTAAATAATAATTGAAGTAATTCTGGATTGAATATTAATGTAGGTATTTCGCCAGATTTTAAATTAGATTCTTTAAAAGAACAATTAAATAATTTGTTTAAATAATAAAAAGCTATTTTCAATTGATTTTTGTTTTGAACAATTGATGGAAGTTTTATTTGAGTAATATCTCCATTATCTAAAAATGAAAACTTTTTTATAAATCCCAAGGCTAACCCAAAAAAACAAAGGTTTCTAAAATTTAACAAATAAAAAATTGGGGCCAAATTCGCCGTTTCCCATTTTTTTGTTTTTTTCCTTTTGCGGACTGATATAGCTAATAATTTTCAGGTGAGGGCTAGGTTTTGTCCAAAATTTTTGTTCGGCCGAAGTTTTGGCAAGACTAAGTTTTGTCCGACAGAGTTCTGTCGGTCGAAGTGCCCTGACAAGGAAAATTTCATTAAACAAAATTTAACCTTCAGTTAAGTGAATAACAATGTTTTTGTTCGACTCAACATTAGGCAAATACAAAGGAATTGGGTCTTCTAATCCATTTTTCCACTAAAAAGAAAAGAAACTTTGATGTTCAAATTATTTTAATTTAACCTTCTCTTCAAATTGTTCTTCAAATTGTTCATTCAATGGAAAGTCAAAATTTTCTTCTTCAGGATTAAGTAAAATATGAGAATAATGGTCATAATGCTTTAAATATCCCTTAAAAACATTTAATAATTAAATTAATTAAAAAACATTACTATAGAAATTTCATCAAATTCCTCCCGAGCAAGTTCTCCTTCAAAATTATTGATAAAGTTATAAAAGTACACATTTGTTTGATTGATTTCACATAATTGTTGATGGTTGAGACATTTAAAGACATCAAGTTTTGCTTCGGTTGGAAGAGAATAGAACGCTTAAAATTTTTATTTTAAATATACCCAATATTGTGAGTATTTTGTGGGGGAAGTCCGACTTTTAAACTAAACTAGTAGAATAATCAACCTTTCACTCATTTGGGTTGGTAATTTAGAAAAATTTTAAAAATCCAAAAAAAAAAAACAAAAAAAACACACAAAATTCATTTGAATTGGATCAAGCCCAAAAAACGAACGCAATCCCCCCCAGATACGTGTTTGCTGGTCAGACTGATTGTGAAAAGTATAATTTACATAGCTGTACAACTCCTAATTCTCCTTAACGCGATTTCAAGGAAACCTGATATCGCCCCTTAATTATACTTAAATCATGTTCATATCACACAATTAAAATAAAAAAATTAAAAACCTCCTCTATCAGATTTTTTACAAGCAACAGCATCATTTATTCCATCCCCAGTCATTGCCACAACTTCTCCAATATTTTGAAGTGCTTTAACAATTCGTAATTTATGTCTAGAAGAAGCTTTATAAAATATTGTAACATTTTGAATAAGTTGCTCCAATTCCGAATCTTTTAAATCATCAATTTGAGGACCAGAAAGGCAAATATCGTTTTGTTTGTAGAGTCCAAGACGAATACCTGAAAAAAGTTTGAGTAATAAGAAAAGAAAAAGACTTTAAAATTATAAATTAATTTCAGCAAGGGACAAGACAACTACTTTACTATGTAAGGGAACTCCCGAACTGTTTCGAGGGCTCGGGGACAAGACGAATACACTACTATTGACCCAGGCCATTTTTACAGAAACCCTTATTGCCAGATAGATTGCTACTACTTTGCAGGATCCGTAAGATTAGCGTTATAACTTATTAGAAAAAATTCTAAAAATCTGAAACTTTAGCAATTATTCTAGTATAATATGTTACTTAAACAAAACTCAAAGAAATAATAGAAATACCAATGCTTTTTGCAGTTTCCAGCCCATACCCAGTCACAATTTTTACAGAAACTCCTGCTGACTGAACAATTTCTATCGATTGAAGACATCCAGGTCTAGGAGGATCCAATATTCCAACAAGTCCAGCATAATAAAGAGAACGCATATCTGAACCTCTAGCCATTCCAATCACTAGAAATTTTGATAGAAAAAAATTTTTTTCTCAAAAAAAACCTCGAAGTCCAGATTGACCCAAGCCACTAGCTGTTTGAATTATTTGATTATACTTCTCTTTAGTCATCTGCATTTTTATTTTTCCATTTTCCAAATAGCCAATACAGATATCTAGAATTCTGTCAATCGCTCCTTTTACCAATGTTTCAACTTCGCCTGGCTAAAAAAAATATTTTATTAAAGCTGTTAGATTTATTTTTTTCGTGGCTAATTTTTTTAACCAAGTCAAGCATCGAGACTTTAGGGAGATTTTTCAAAATTAGTCCTTGAAGACGGTTATTGGAAATTTCGGTTTTGCTCGTAACGTAATTAGTCCGATCTTTCAATAGACTCGTACTCCATCTGCCTATTTTACCCCGAGTAGGATTTTTAATACGAGCTTTCAAACACTCAGGCGCTTATCCAGAGGGGTGTAGGATTTAAAATTTAACAAACCTTATTTAATTGTTCTACTTGAACAGCCATCCATTTACTATCAGAAGTGAAAGGGATTTCATGAAGACGTCGAATATTATTGCATAAAGTGTACATATTTGTCTAAAATTTTAATAAAAAAATTTTTTCTTTAAATTCAAAATTATTTACTTTTATAGCCAAAACCATTAAAGCTCCTTCTGTTGGTTGTCCAATAACTGTTCCATTTGCCAATTGTGCATTATTACATATACAGCCAATTTCAATGACACAAGCAATGGAAGGGTGACGTTCACTTCCAGAAACTAATTCTCCATTTTGAAGACAATCCCCATCAAAAGGGGCATAACCAGTACCCGTTACCTTAAAATTTAAGGTACCTTTACCATTGGGGACTTTTTGAAAGAAAAAAATAAAGATTAAAAAACCTCTGCCTGACAATCATCTGCTGAAATAACAAAACAAGCAGTCATCATATTTTTTGTAAGAGTTCCAGTTTTGTCAGAAGCTAAAATAAGATAATCAGACAAATTTAAAATGTTTTTTAAAGTTTAGATACGAAGTCTTTGAGACTCTTTATAAGAAATTGATTAACTTGAAAAATTGATTTTTATTAAATGTGTGTGGTTTAATATATCCGATATAAAAGGACAATGAATATTTGCATAGGAAAAGGTTGCTTTCTGTCGAATATTTTATAGGGGCGATATGACTTTCACAATCATATCCACTGACTTCTAGGTCCCCTTTAGAGGTAAAAGACTTTAATGAGGTGTACAATAGGGGATGTATCGTTTAGGAAGCCCCTTCTCCTTCACTTCCACCACAACTGTCAACCGAACTGAAGAAGCAAAATTTAAATAGAGGACGTAGCCAATATACGGTGTACCTTATATAGAGAGGTCCGATTTCCAAAAAAAAAATTAAAAAAAGCAAACTTTTCCTCATTTGGGTTGGTAATTTAAAAAATAGCAAAAATCCAGAAAAATAACAAAAAATAAAGATCAACCCAAATTAAATGCTAGAGGTCAAAAATGTGGGTCTATAAACAAATTTATTTTTAAGTCGAATTGAATAAAATGAAAAATATTGTTTGAAAAAAACTGATTCGAAAATAAGTCAGTCAAGTGTATATGGTGCCGTCCTCACAAATTCAGTTTTCTTTGACATTCTTATTGAACCCATCACGAGCTGAAAAAACAAAATGTACAATTTATGAGGGAAATTTTTAAAAATAATAAAGAAGTTAGACCAAACGTGAGTGGATCTAATGCGCCTAAAAAGGCAGTAAATTGGATTTTGTTTCTCCCCCAAAAAAATTTTTTTCGAAAAATTTTACATGAGGGGGGTTAATAGTGGAATTGTCATTTATCCGACTCACTTTCTCATTTTCCCCGGGTGTCCTCCCGAATTTATCCCTTCGACACAAAAACAGCCAAAAAGGATATATGCCGTCAAGGGTACAACTCTGGTGTACTCAGTAACGAACAATTTTACCGGACCGATCTTTAAATAAATAAAATTCTTTTCAAGCCAATTCTTGTCCCTTTGGGCTTCAAAGACGGATGCTTTTAGTTTCCCAAAGTCTTAAAAGCTGATATGAATAACTCAAAGGATGGTCTGACCCAAAAAATTTAAGGAATTCAACTCGCATGAACCAGGGAAGTCTTCTAGTAGTTTATCCCAAACTCGATAAAAAATAGTAATTACGAACCACTGTTGAGTTTCTCCTCGACATGAGCCGTATATTGAAGACAGAACGGTCGGATGAGGCGGTCGTAGATAAGAATAGCTCCCAAAGTCGATGGCATGTAGAGCCAAAGGAGGAAGATGCACTTGAAAAAAGATTTTTGTTTCAAAATAAAAAAATTTAAAAAAACCTTCAAAAGAAAGTAAAATGGGAAGTAGTAGAGAATTGAGTCGGAAAAGAATTCGATAATGTTGAGGAGTGCAAAAACGACCTAAATAAAAGTTGAATTAGTAAGGGTTGATGAGTTAGTGTAGGACATGTGGTCCAAACAGGACCGTAACCAGGATTACTTTTTTTTGGGGGGGGGGGGTGGACAAGGGTGATTTTTGTGCGCAAGTTTGTACGCCGACCAGGCCCGTAACCAGGGGGGGGGGTGAGGGGGGGAATTCCCCCCCCCCCCCCGAAATGGGAAAAAGGAAAAAATTTGGGGAAGGGCTGGGGCAAAAAAGTGAATTTTTTTGGCCTACGGCCTTCGAAATTTTCAAAATTTTCGCCTGCGGCGCTAAAAAAGGACGAAATCTGGCTTCTTGAGGTCCAAAATTCAAAAAATTTTCGCCTGCGGCGCTGAAAATCAAATTTTTGGCGCCTGCGGCGCCGAAAAGTGAATTTTTTTGGCCTACGGCCTTCTAAAATTAAAAAAATTTTCGCCTGCGGCGCTGAAAATAAAAATTTTTGGCGCCTTCGGCGCCAAAAATTTGGCGCAATAAAATTTCCCCCCCTCGAAAAAAAATCCTAGTTACGGGCCTGACGCCGACCTCACCCCTGGTTCCAAAACTGATTGTGTCCCAAAAGTCATTGTGAACCCTCACGAGTTAGCAAAAGGAGTGAGGTTCATAACATCCATGAGATTCTAACAATAAGGACTTAAGGTCAATGACAACAACCATGAATCAGAGCTGGGTTCTGGCTCAAAGGAAAAGCTTTCGGTCATACCCAACACTGATTATCTCTGATTTTGGACAGGCCGCCGGCTTATCTTTTCAAATATTCAAAGAGATAAACTCTTAAGTTACTCTTCAAGATTGTCCCAGACCCAGTGACCTTTACACCAAAAATAAAGAAAACGTTAGGACCCAAAATCAATCGAATTCCTGAAAGCCTCCCAGGAAAGCATGTCCTTTAATACCTCCAAAATTAAATAAAAAATAAACCCAATAGGTCAGCCATTGTGTGTCATCCTCCTTTGTGTGGGTTTCAATAGCCTTAATTGAGACATAACTTGAAAATAAAAAATTTAACAAAATGTAAAATATTTAAAAAAATTACGCTGGGTAGAGATATCCTGTTATATTGCATGCCAATTGAGCCCAGTGTCCGAAAAGCAAATAGAGCGAGTAGACGAGAACAAAACCTTAAATTAGCACAATCTGACTTCAATATAAGACACCCAATTAGGTAATCGAAAATGATTTCCTATAATGGAGGTTTCTCAAAATGGGGAAGGTATTGCACACCTAGTGACTCAGCAGCCCCTTATGTTCTAAGCCTCTCCGCAGCCAGTGAACACAGATTTCTGAATGCGAGTCAACTGACTGGTGAGAGCTGACTAAAAGGAAAAGTAATTGATGTGTAGCCACCTCAAAGGCTGAGGATGGGGTACTTATAACGAAGGCAGGCCTTACATACAGCCAACCCCTCTTAAATCAGATTTCTGATCCGAATCAATTTTCAACCCAACTAAAAAGGTATCCCAACCTGAGACTATCTTATCCCGAAGGGTGTCTTATAATGAAATCAGAAAAAAGAAACCTGCAAACACATGCAGACGTTTAACGCTGGTCTTCTTCTCAATCGTCTCCAATACGGAAGTTAAAGCCCCAGGCTCATGAAGTTTCTTGTCGAGATCCGTAATTACTTTTTGCATAACAGGTGGAATTGAAGGCATTATTTGATTTGTTGTTGAAAAATTGAATTAAATTTAAAAAAATCCTAAAAAAATTAAAAATAAATAGAATTGGTGGATATAGTGTAGTGTACCGGTGGTAAAAGTTCGGGACGTGACATATGTCATTCGATTCGTCTCGACGAGCTGAGTCGAACGGTACCACTCCCTACTTTAGGAAATAATTCTGGACCGAGTTATAGGTCCCGAAAAATCGAAAAACCAAAGGGGGGACCAAGCACTTTTTTGGGGTGAAAAATTCGAAAATGCAAATTATACCTCATTCGAAAGAGCTCGTCGAGCTGAGTCGAATGACACCAAAATCAGCTTGATTGAACAAGTTTGAGTCGAGATATAGGGCTCGAAATGGTCAAAAACCATAAGGGGATTTTATGGTCAAAAATTCGATTCCACAAATGTTAGCTCATTCGAAAGAGCTCGACAAGCTGAGTCGAATGACATCAAAATCACCGTGATTGAACAAGATTAGACAAAGTTATGATACAAAAAACAAAAAATCCTAAACCTATGGAACGTCGGCGAGGCGCTTGTGCAAAACCCCGCGCTTCGCGCGGGGTTTTGCGGCACGCGCCTCGCGGGGAGTCTACGGGCGCTGGGTCTGGGCTCGTAACATAAACCTATTCCTATCTCCCTTGCTCTGGACGTATTTGGGGCCTCCGTAGCAGCAAAAATCTCCACAAATGACATAGGTAAGGAGCTAAAACAAACGGTCATAACTTTGTCAAATCAAGTCGGATTTTGTTGATTTTGGTGTCATTCGACTCGGCTCGACGAGCTCTTTCGAATGAGGTATAATTTGCATTTTCGAATTTTTCACCCCAAAAAAGTGCTTGGTCCCCCCTTTGGTTTTTCGATTTTTCGGGACCTATAACTCGGTCCAGAATTATTTCCTAAAGTAGGGAGTGGTACCGTTCGACTCAGCTCGTCGAGACGAATCGAATGACATATGTCACGTCCCGAACTTTTACCACCGGTACACTACACTACAGCCGAATTGGTTTGGTAAACAAACAAAAAATCAATGAATGAGGAAATAAAACTGAATATTACAAAAATGTAAGGGGTAAAGTGAGGGAGGAAAATAAGGGAGGAAAAATGATGAACGCTTGGACTTTGACTCCAAATTGATTTAACAAAAACTCTTATAAATTAAAAAATAATCACAATTCATACTCAAGTGTACAGCGCGTGCCAGACAAAATGGCACATCGGCCAAAAGGGTACAAAACGGAACACGGGCAAATTAAGACAAAATGGTACCTTGGTAGATTTTGAGAAAATGGAACTACGGGTAAACCACGACAAAATGGTACAGAGAGTAAAATAAGACAAAATGGAACCTCGGCTAAAATGAGACAAAATGGTACAAAGGGTAAAGACAACAAACTGGAATACAGGGTAAAGACGACAAAATGGAACCTTGGGTAAAATAAGACAAAATGGAACAATAAGTAAAGTACGACAAAATGGAACCTCGGCTAAAAGGAGGCAAAATGGAACTACGGGTAATATGAGACAAAATGGTACAGCTCTAAGGCAAACTGGCACTGCGTGTAGACTAAATAATTTATTTTCAAAACTCTATAGGAAATCATTTATTTAAAAAAGAAAGAACAATTTAACTAGAAAAAGGAATGACCATGAAAATATTTTAAAATTTAAAGTCAATGAAATTTGAAAAAATAAATATGTGAAAAGTCTTCAGTTGAAGGAAAATATCACTCGAATAAATGTACATAAAAATATATTTTATAGTATGTATTGGAAAATAAATATTTTTTAGATAAATAAATATAGAAAACAAAGGAAGAAAGAAACCAAAAGATAACGAGTAATTAAAAATTGAAAAAAATTGAAAAAAAATTTTTTAACGATTTTTGAAGATACAAATGTGGAAAATTAAAAACCTCATTTATGTATTTTCCCCCTCCCCCAAACCTGTACACTTTCGATTTAGAGTACTTTTTTTAAATCTCAAGTTGGTCACTAGGTTGGAGCTTAAAGGATATCCCAAAAAATGTAACAAAGACAAAATGGAACAACGGGTAAAATGGGACAAAATGGTACAACGCCTAAAATCGGACAAAATGGTACCAGTCAATTTAATTAGGAAAATTTTTTCAAAAGGCGATTTTTTCAGCCCTAAGGGTGTATACATAAAGTGAGGTTTATTACATAATTTAATTATTTCACTAACTAATTTCAAAAAATAAATTGCACATTTTTAAAATGGAAGAAAGAAAAGAAGAGAGATTTATATACTTGAGAGAGATTTTTTTTTTGATTTTTTAGACAGAAGAAACCAAAAATTAAAGCAAAGAGAAATGAAAAAAAATATTTTTTTACAATTAAAATAAATATTATTTAAAATTTTATTTAAAAATGCTTATAATAATTTTTCTTTTGTTGGTCTAGTAGACCAAATAATTTATAATTTAATTTATAGTCGGACTTCATTAATAAGATACATCATTTACCTCCAATAAAATCAAATTGGCATTGGCCATGGACGCAAAAAATTTCGGACTTTTTTGTCCGCAAATTTATTGCAACTTTTTTTTTCGTCCGCAAATTTTTTGCGGACACTTTTTTTCGTCCGCAAATTTTTTGCGGACTTTATTTTTTGTCCGCAAATCTTTGCGGACACTTTTTTGTCCGCAAATGTCTCTCATTATAAAATACTCCTCCTAAAAATTTTTGTTGACCACTAGAGAGGAGCTCCCTAACCGATATCTTCTATTTAAGATACGCCTCATTATAAGAGACAATTTTTCCAGCTTTAAGGGTGTGTGTATCTTATAAAGAAGTTCGACTGGAATAATAAAGCTCTCGAACACATAATTTTTAAATTTTTTTTATTGAAAAGAAGCAGTAGAAGTTCGCTGTTGTAATTCAGCCAAAAATTGACTAAAAGCAGCCAACGATGGAGTATTATTGTTGGTAGTTGCTGATGTTGTGGTGGTGGTAGATGTTGTTGGGCAAATTAACTGAAATTAAGGGAAATTAAGGTAAAATGAATAAAAAGGTAATTTTGGCTGTAGACGGTTATGACGGCAAAAGGAGAAAAAGAGGGGGAAAAGGCTAGATTTTAGTCGGCTATTTAAAAGGCTATAAATTTAAAGGATGGGAAAATAATAAAAAAAAAACTGATTGTAAAATAAGCGGTAATATAAAGGTAAAATTTGAATTATAAAGGTTTGACTATAAGGAAGTTTTTTTTTTGAGGGCCTTCTTTTGAAAGATGTTTTTACCCCAAACAACAGCAGACATTATTGTTAATCCTATCAATTTTTAAAAATTGCAAAAAAAAATTTTTTTTTAAAGACAGAAAAACTGATTTCGCGGAAGGGATTTTTAATTCTTTTGTGGAGGGGTTTGGAAGCCTTTTTTTCTTTCCACAACTCTTATTTGCGGATAAAATTTGTAGATTTTTGCCGTGATAACGAACAAAAGAACCTATAAGTATTTACTTGTTCTTGTTGAGTTGTTTTTGGAGTATCATCTAAAGCCGTTAATTTTTGCTGCATTTGTACAACATTAAGAAGCATTAAAGCAGCCAACGAAGTATTCTATTAATTAATAGATTAAATGAAGAGTCAAGATTTTAGAAAATCAGGTTTAAGGAAACGTTCCAGTAGCCAAAACCACTGCTATTTTTTTCCCAGCTTGAACATACTAACCTTACAGGGGTCGTAACAGACTTGGTAATGGATACAGATAATTTAAAAATGCCTGCGGATATCCGCTTGTATCCACCGCGAATATCCGGATCAGGATACCAAAATCCATGTCCAGACTGGTAATGGGTACTTCTTAATTTTTGGAAAGGTAGGGGATCAGCCGTTATTGTTATTGCTTCTCATAACATGTTCAAAATGACCCTATCTCTCACTACCATTCGACTTAGTTCGACTATAATTTATTTTTATCGCACCACATTCCGAAACAAGCTTTTGAGCAGGGAGAAGCGTGTCCGGTTAACTCATCTACTCGTTAACTCATCTACACGGCCAAAAACGTTCAACTCATCTAAACGGCTAAAATTCCTTAACTCATCTACACGGCCAAAAAGGGTAAACTCATCTAATCGTTAACTCATCTACTCGTTAACTCATCTACACGGCCAAAAAGGGTTAACTCATCTAATCGTTAACTCATCTAATCCTTAACTCATCTACACGGCCAAAAAGGGTCAACTCATCCAATCCTTCGGAACGAGACTATTGAGTACCGGCCGTTTGAGTCTTTGGCCGTCTGAGTCTCCGGCCGTTTGAGTCTCTGGCCGTCTGAGTCTCTGGCCGTCTGAGTCTCTGGCCGTTTGAGTCTCTGGCCGTCTGAGTCTCTGGCCGTCTGAGTCTCTGGTAAGTTGAGTCCATGACCAGTTGATTCCATGGCTAGTTGATTCCATGACCAGTTGAGTCCATGACCAGTTGAGTCTCAACCGGCGGTACTCTACTGGCCATGGACTCAAACGGCCGGTACTCAATAGTCTCGTTCCGAAGGATTGGATGAGTTGACCCTTTTTGGCCGTGTAGATGAGTTAAAGATTAGATGAGTTAACGATTAGATGAGTTAACCCTTTTTGGCCGTGTAGATGAGTTAACGAGTAGATGAGTTAACGATTAGATGAGTTAACCCTTTTTGGCCGTGTAGATGAGTTAACGAGTAGATGAGTTAACGATTAGATGAGTTGTATAGGAGCCGGGAGAAGGGAGGAGAAAGAGGAGGAAAGGCGGGGGAGATTCAACTACCTTAATGGCATCTTCATTTTGTAATTCATCCCCAGATTTTTCTTCCTCGACTTTAATATCATCAACATTAACACAAAAATCCTCTGTATCATCCAAATTTTGTTCGTTTTTATTAGCAGTTTCTGCCTCCAACGGGGAATGTTTTTGCTGCAATTTGGAATTGTATGGAAGAGGACATGTTGTTGTTGTTATGGGTGCTGGAATTTTTAATTCTGGTGATTGGGAAGACTTTAAAAAATAAAATTAATTATAGACTATTTTACCAAATAAGACGGCACTACTGTAGACTGAGGGGATTTTTTTGCAGAAAATCCGCAAAATTTTTGCGGACAAATTTTGCGGATTTCTGCAAATTTTTTTGCGGACAGTTTTTGCGGATCTTTAAATTTTTTGCGGACATAACTGCAAGTTTTTGCCCTAGTCTACAGTAGTAAACTCGAATATTTACTTTTATTTCTTTCTTCAAATCCTCCACAATTTCAACATTATCATCTTCATTATTCTTTTCCATGTGGTTTGGCTTTTCACAATTATTATTAATTAATGAGGCGTAAGATGGTGCAGTAGAAATGGCAGAACCGGGAGAACAACAATTTTGACTTTAATAAAAAAATATTTTTAATTAATCTATTTTGATTAAATAGAGAGAAGCTCATTATAAGAGACACCCTGGGAAAAACCGTACCCTCCTGTCTCTTATAATGAGGTAATCTTAAATAGAGGGTATCGCTTAGACTGCTCCCCTACCCATTGGTTAACCAAATCTTTAAAAAACAAGTGTTAAATAGAGGTGTCTCTTATGATGAAAGTGCCTTATAATAAGAGTAAGTATCTTAAAGGGAGTGTCCTATGACCTTCTAGGGAGCGTCTTTTAAATAAGCAGCACCCCGTGGCCAACTACCTCTTAAAACGTACCTCAAATGGAGGTGTATTTACTATTGGGTGTAGCTTATAGCGAGCGTCGACTAATTAAAAAAAATTTACCCAATTCCATGTAATTGAGCTATTGAATGACCAGAATATTGTGGAGGAAATGCCATTGTTGGTAATCCATAGGGAAATATTGCCGGAGGCAAAAGACCTCCAAAACCATTAAAATTGGCATTTTGATGCATATTTTGATGAAATAAAATATTATTCGAAGCTGATGCAGCTAAACGTTGTCCAAACAAATTTAATGGGGTTTGGCTTAAAAATAAAATTTTTAAAGTCCGCAAGATAAAAATTTGTCCGCAAGTTTTGAAATTTGTCCGCAAGTTAAATCCGCAAGTTTTGAAATTTGTCCGCAAGTTAAATCCGCAAGTTTTGAGATTTGTCCGCAAGTTAAAAATTGTCCGCAAGTTTTAAATTGTCCGCAAACATTATCCGCAAATTTCATCCGTAAGTTATTTCGTCCAAAAATCATAATAAATTTTCTCTCACTTTGCTTCATAATGTTCATTTCCAACAACAGAATCAACCAAAAAATTCCACTTTAATGCATTAGGAGGACACTTGTCTGTAGTAAAATGATCAGCAGCAGAAACAATTTGTGTAAAAGAACGATTACAAGACTTGAAAATTAATTGGATAATGAATTAAAAATTTTAAAAAATCAAAAAATACCTGACAACAAAATGGGGAAGTATTGTGAACTCCAAGCAAATGAGAGACAAGTAGAGGATAGGAGGGCTAAAAAAATAATTTTAGATTAGATTGAAAATTACACTCGGATCTCATTTATGTTCACACCAACCACACCTGAGTGGTCATTTTAATGTGATTATCCACGGGAGGGGGGGGGTGTTGATTAACTCATAAGTGGGGGAGGGGGAGGTACTTAAGCGATACTCCCACAACTCCTAGAAGTTTTGTGGAATCTCGCTTATACGTCACCCATCAGGGAGCAGGCGCATTGCGTTGATTTTTGGCCTTGCGTTGCGTTTTGGAAATTGTCTCTTGCACCCTCCCCTGACACCCTCGTGGCCGAATTTTGGTATTTTTATGAATGTTGCGTGTTTGAGAAGCCTATTATCCAGATTCTGTTGTAATACTAAATGAACCTTGCCTTATAAAAAAATTTTTTTCGAGTTGATGAAAAACATGCGGACATCTTGGAAGGACAAAAGCCTCCTAACTTTTTCAATTAAACTTTACCTGCTGAAAAATACACAATCCACACTTGTAAATTTGTTGTTGTTTCTGCTCCTGATTATTACAAACATTGTTGTTTTTAGCACATAATTGTTGCTGTATTTGTTCTCTAATTGTAGCATTAATTAATTGTTTGTTTGCCAATTGTTGGGACAATAAATTGAATAAAATTGAAGAAGCTTCCCCCTCGGTATTTTGATTTAAATTTTCTGTTTTGATTTTTCGTTGTTGTTTTTGTTTTGTTAATTTATTTATTGGTTGACTAGTATTTTTATTTAATCCGTTGAGACGTTGGGCTTTCCGAAACATGGAATTGAGCGACTCAGAAAATGCTGTTGAGGAGGAAGTGCTTTGCTATAAAATAGAAATTGGGATAGAGAATGTATAGATACCCCCTGAGGATACCCCCGATTCACCTCTGCCCCGAGGCTAAAAAAGAGTCTCTTATAATGAGGTGTGTCTAAAATAGAAGGTACGACTTCCTCGACCTAAGGGACTGTTATAACCCAATCAAACTATACTAGTGTGATCTCAATTTTACGACAACCCATGCAAATTGATGTTATAAGGAAATTGTCGTTGTATAAGCGAAGGTACGACCTCACTTATAAGACACCTCTAATGCTAGAAAACTCTAAAAATGCTTTCCGAAACATTGAATTTGTTGTTTTAATCACATAATCTGAGGATCTCGCTTATACGTCATTTCATTGCAAATTGAAGTTAAAGTGAGAGTGCTGGATAGGTGCATGTGTGATCTCACTAGTAATACCATTTGAGCAGAAAAAACTCTATAATGATACGAGGAGGAGAGGTTAGTGAAGGTGTCGTATACGCTTATAACCCCCTTACAACAAAATCTTTTTCTGTTAAAACTCTCACCTTCCTTCCAATTTTATTATTGTTATTGCTATTTGTCATCACATTATCATCATCATTATTATCAACAATATTTGTTGTCATTTCCGAAGAACAATTGTCCTCATCGGCCCTTACGTCCATTATTACATCATCTATTGTTAATTGTTGTTCTGTTGAGGATTTATTGCTGTTTTTACCAAAATCGAAAGCTTTAGAACGGCTGTATTTTGAAACAACACGAATACCATGAGTTTCTAAAATATAATTTTTTAAAAGGGTAGGGAAAACTTGAGTAGAGTGAATGGCACTTGAGTAGCCTAGGGGTTTGCGGACAATATTTTGCGGATATTTTTTGCGGACATTCCTTGCGGACATTTTTTGCGAACAATATTTGCGGACAAATTTTTTTGCGGACATTAATTGCGGATTTTTTCCTTCGGACAACCTTGGGACAATTTTTGCGGACAATCTTTTGCAGAGAAAAATTGCAGCTCGCAAAAATCCCCTCAGGCCACACACACGACCGCCAATTAAAATTTACTTGCTACATGACGAATCAAATCTGCCTTCCATTTACTTGTTCGGTTGCAATATTTACATTTAAAAGGCTTAAAAAATTTTTAAAACAAAAAATTCATTTAAATTACCCTATCGTTTGTATGCACTCTTTTGTGTCTAATCATTTCAGAAACCCATTTGCCTTGATAACCACAGACAGAACACATTCGGGTACACACATCTGGATCTGTTTCCATTCGCTAAAATGATTTAAAAATTATTTTATTAATAATCTCTAAACCCCCTGTTTAAACAGAGGGTGAATCGTTTAAACATCTCCTCACCCAGTGGCCAACTTTATTTTAAGAGAGCGTATCTAGTAGTTGCGCAGTGAGTTCCGGTTCCGGTAGGCCGGAAGTTTCGGGATTCTCTGGTTCCGGTTCCGGCCCGGTACGACTTTTAATTTGATAGCCACAGGGTGTAGAAGGCCGCCCAGGCTATACCCTCTATTTAAGATACACCTCATTATAGGAGACAATTTTTCAGCCCTAAGGGTATCTTGTAGAGTATCCTATAGAGGCTTTACTACATTCAACTCTTTTCCACCTTCATTTCCTGTTCATCATCAGGCAATTCAATAGCTTCTGTTTCTGATTGATAACGTTTCTTTAACGGCAAATCAGCCCTTTTAGCAACCAAACCATCAAGCGTATTATCCAAATTTCCAATTAGACGGCGTCGTTTGCGTTGCCCGAGTGGTCCTTTCTCTTCATTTTGAAAGTCCTGCTCTGATTGTTTTTCAGAAAAATTGGGTAAACCAGACAACTAAAAATTAAAGAAAAATTAGATACCTCCCTCAATCTTTGGCGCAACCGTTATCTAAGCTACACCTCCTTATAAGAGACTAGTTTCCAGCTCATAGGTGTATCTTATAGAGAGGTTCAAGCTCTATTTTAGCTACGCCTCTCATTATAATGAAAGAATTTTTAAGTTCCAAGGTGTTATCTTATAGTGAGGATCAACCCCTATTTGAGCTACACCTTATTATAAGAGACTATTTTTCTAGCCCAGAGGGTGTCTACAATAGAGAGGTTCGACATTAGTATTATTTCCAGTTTAAAAACCCTCACATTATCAAAAAGCGAATTCGGTTCAAACAAATCACCACAACCCTCATTATTTCCTTCACTTTCTTTTTGTTGTTCATCCCCATTCTCTTGCTTATTAGGCAACGAATTTGAAGGAATCAAGCCAGCTTTAGCCAACATTTCCAATAATTGTATTTGTTGTTGGGTAATTTGTGTTGAATTTTGTTGATTTTCTGTTGTCGAAGACTTCCGATTTTGTTCAAATTTTATTTCAGAAAATTGTGGTTGATTGTAGTTTTCGTTGATAAAATTGGTTAGAGGGCTAACGCTTTTATTATTTTTTGAATTGTTTGATGAAGAAAATGAAGAAGATGAGGAAGAGCAAGAAGAGGAAATTGATGTCATTTTTTGAATTTAATTTGGAATGAATATTGTTTTCTAAAAAAAGTAAAATATGCGGACAAATTTTGCGGACACATTTTTTTGCGGACAAAATTTTTGCGGACAAATTTTGCGGACAAAATATTTTGCGGATTTTTTTTGCGGACAATATTTTTGCGGACAAATTTTGCGGACACTTTTTGCGGACAAATTTCTTTTGGCTAATCCTTTGCGATATTTCTTGCGGACATTCTCTATATAAAGGGTAATACAGGATGAATACAGGGTAAAAAATCCCAAGAAAAATTACAGGGGTAAAAAATCCCAAGAAAAATTTTTTTTTGAAAATTAAAAAGAATTCTGGCTTAATGACAGAACATTAAAAAATAGGAAAGAAACAAAAACAAGGAGAAAGCACAAAAATATTCACTGAATCGATCTGTTGTTTACAACAAAATATTTTTGTTTTGGAATTTATTGAATTTATTTTTATTAGAATTAAGCACGTGAACTTTCTCCTCTCATTTTTTAGTAGAAATCCAAAAACAACAAGCTTATTATTTGTTATTTTTTACAAGCAAAAGTTAAATAAATAAATAGTAAATTAAGAAATTAGCAGAAATGAAAGTACAGCTGGACCTTATTATTGGACAATCTCTTGAGGATGAAGGAAGGTCTCTTATAATGAGGTGTGTATTAAATAGAGGGTATCGCTTAGGCAGCACTCATAGCCAGTGACCAAGCACATTAAGGAGCGTATCTTAAATAGAGGTGTACCCAGTATTGGGTGTATCTTATATAGAGCTTTGCCTGTAAATATGGTCCTTTATAATGAGGGGTATATTATTTAGAGGATAAGCGTTGAGTCAACTTCCCCAACGAGTGACTTATCAAAATAAAAAAGTATCTTAAATAGAGGTGTGTCTAGTATTGGGGGTATCTTATAATGAGGGTAAGTAGCTTATAGCGAGAGTATCTTATAATGAGGTGTCTTTAACAATGAGAGGATCCTAAATAGGCCTCCCCTTGACAAACAAACTTTGTAAGACTTATATTAGAGGTGTACCTAATATTGAGTGTATACTAAATAGAGGCTTGAGTGTAAAATAATACTTATTTTAAGAAAGCAAAAAATTTATTTTTTGCCAAGTCCACTTATTAAATGACTAAAAAATAATTTTTCCTCTTCCTTAAAATCTCAGCTGGGACCAAATGTCCATTTACTTCCCCGTTCATTTTTTTCTCATTTTTGTGTTCCAAAGGCTATTTTTACTCTCTCTAGTTTATGGCCACACCACGTCTTTCTCCAACAAAAATATTATATGTTTTGTTTACAAATCTCTCTGTAGTTGATGGTGGTGGTAGGTGGCGGCTGGTTGTTTCACTTCCTCACTCCACCTTTTTTTGCCCTCATAATTCCTCCTCCTCTTTTCTCGACCCCCAAGAATGTTTTTAAAATTTGACACACAAGTGCTCTTTAGTGTCACCCCAATTTTTATTATCATTCATAAAAATTTTTAATTGAAGATGGCAATCATTTCCTTATGACACTTTACAAATTGATGTTTAAATATACTTCCTTAAAAAGTAAAACACTTTGGCCTGGAAGAAATAATTTTTGATCTCATTTTGTCACATATTTGGCTGATTATAAAATTTCATATTTGCCTAGAGGCAGTATCCTTGCGATTTTTGAGGCATTAGGGCAGTTCACCGAAAGACAGTCCACCGTATGAGGTATTTCACCCTATGGACAATTCACAATGAGGTTGCGAAGAATTGTCCTTAAGGTGACTGTCCTGACAGCATATATCATTAATGTTTAAGACAGTTTACCAAAAGACATTTCACCATATATCGGATAATTCACCATATGGACAATTCGCTGAACAATTCAGTTATACGAGGAATTGTCCGTATGGTGAACTGTGTCTTGATACGGTAGATCCTTAACGTTTCAATGGATAAAGGATAAAAGTTCATTTAAGATCAAAAGGGCAATTTTTGCTTTTTTCTATCAAAATCCAATTTATTTTCAATTTTTTAGCCTTTGGCCGCTTTTTGCCATTTGACAGAAACCAAAAAATAAATAAAAATATTTGTAACACTTTTATTTAAAGTGATTAAAAGAAGAAAGATTAAAAAAAAGAAAAGAAAAACAGAAAAGAAGTGATGACAACAAGCAATTGTTGTTGTTTTGTTTTTGTTTTTATTCTGTTTTTGTTCTGACAGAAAGAAAAGTTTGCAAAGGGAAAAGAAAGGAATGCCGTTCATCTTTTGTAAAAGAGCAAAAAACTTTTTTTTTCCCCAACTTTTTCTAAAATTGGGAGAAAAATGTTGGAGAATGTTTGGAGAGAAATGTTTGGAGAGTGTTTTTGACCTTTCTGCTGCAGAAATTGTTGGGGAATTAAAAAAATATTATGATCGTATATGATCAGCTATTAAACATTAAAGTACCTATTGGCATATTAAATTCTGGAATTTGTAAGAAATTTGGATTTTAGATAAATATAGTAAGACCTCATTATAAATATCCCCTGGCGCTGAGAAAGTGTGCATTAAATAGAGGGCATCTCCCTAGGGTATCTCCCTAGGGTATCTCCGTAGGGTATCTCCCTACAGTATCTCCCTAACTATTCTAACAAGGTATCTTAAATTGGGGTGTATACTGGGGTTTATAATGAATGACCTTATACTGAGGTGTGCCTTATAATGAGGTGTGCCCTATAATGAGGTGTACCTTATACTGAGGGGTATATTAAATAGAGAGATTTCGCCTTTGCTGGTAAACAACTACCCCACCCAGTGGCCAACCAAATTTTAATGGTACGTCTTTTAAAAGAGGTGTATCTAGTATTGGGAGTGTCTTATAAAGAGGTCTGATTCATATGTATTTTAACGTTAAATATACATAAGAAATATTTACAAAAAAAATTGAGTAAAAAATATTTTTTAAGAATTTTTAAAAGGAAAATGAAGTGTTCAAACAATTGTTATAATTCAGAAACAGAATAGAACACGAAAAAGAAATGTAGAAAATAAAAAATAAAATAATAAAACTGTAAAATAAACAAACAAAAAAAACTTTTGATTTTACAATGGGCTTTTTGAAATTTTTTTTGGTCAAGTGATAGAAATTTTGTATTTTATGATATTTTTTTAGGCTCCCGGACAATCCGTCAGTGGACAATCCGGCAGTGGAAAATCCAACAGTGGACTATCCGTCAGTGGTAGGACAATCCGTCAGTGGACAATCCGTCAGTAAACAAATTCGTAATTTTTACCCATACCCAAACTACCTCTGCAAAAAATTTTCATTTTTATCGTGGGGATTATAAGAGATATCGAAAATTTGGCGATTAATTAGGAAATCGCCAGATTTAGGTGGATTAAAAGGATATCAGTGGATTTTGGAGATATCAGGAATTTCAAAGTCGTGGCATTAAGGAAATAAAAGATTTGTAGTATTATGTTGGTTCTCGGGGAATTTGGGAGATTAATATGGATTTCGGGGATTGGCATATCAAAGGATGTAGGCGGTTTAAAAGGATTTGGAAGTTGTTCCGTGATATCCATCTAAAAATAATCTTTGTTATTCATCGATATCCAACAATACCCACGATATTCATCCAAATCCAATATAATCCCATTCGTTAATCATGTAAATCTAATCCATCCAAATTCCCTATATCCTTCTAAATTCATCGTCATTCGCTTAATTGTCCAAATTGCCCAATATCCTCCAAATCCTATGATATCTTTTTAATCCACTTAAATCTGACGATTTCATAATTAATCTCCAAATTTTCGATATCCCTTATGATCCACCACATGATAAAATCAAAAATTTTGGCCCCGATATTTTGGGTATGGGTTGGAAGTACGAATTTCTTTACTGACGGATTGTCCACTAACGGATTGTCCGGCCACTGACGGATTGTCCACTGACGGATTTGCCACTGCCGGATTGTCCATTGACGGATTGTCCGGTCACGATTTTTTTAAAGTTGTGTAAAAAGTAAATGATGTCAAAAATATATTATTTTTGATAATTAAAAAAGTGGAAATAAATACATAAATGATTAAAAAAGTGGAGACCGGATCGAGAAGAGAACTCGAATAAAAATCTCGCTACTAGTAAGAGCTATCGATCTCGATTTTCATACGATTTCGCACTCACGCAAAATACCGCAAATAGAAAAAGGTGCGTGATTGTAGGAGCGGTATCCTGCAAAATCTCACGCGGGATCCCGTCCCGCGCCGGTCTCTAGTTCCGAAAAATAATTGCCCAGGGCAAGTGAGGCTATGAGGTAACCTTAGTGAATTTCATAAAAATAGTTTTGTCCCTTCTAGCGAGAGGTTGAAACCAGAGGTGGGTCGGAGCAGGCAGAGGTGCCGGAAATCGGAAGAGCCGGAAATCGGAACTGGCGCAAAAGTCGGAAATCGAAATTCTGACCTACTACTGGTTGAGACAAGAATTATGCAGGGCAATTATCTTAGCATATACTGTAACTTAAAAAATTTTATAAAAAATATTTTTGTTATGAAATATTTAAAATAAAAAGTTTTATTTTGTATAAAAGATAACAGAAACAATAAAATAAAATTTAATAAAAAAATTTTTTATGTTAAAAATTCCTCGTGTATAACTCATTAAATAAACAAGAAAATTTATGCAGATGTTTATGGGGAATAAAATTATTTTTTTAGACAAAAATGCCAACAAAAATATTAAAAATATTTGTCATAAGTTTCTAAATTGTTTAGAAAGAAAATTTTTTAAGCTGAAATTTTTTTGGTCAGCCTTGTTATCCTCCTTAGAATTAAGGAGGATTTGAAGAGATATATTGATTAAAGATATATTGATTAAAGAGCATATCAAAGTGAAGGGATTAAGAGAATTTGAAGGATATCGGGTGATTAAGGAGGATAGAGGGGAGCTGGAAGTATGTCTGGGATGGAAGGTATAGCGGGAGATTTAAAGGGATAGCAAGGGATTTTAAAGGAATATCAGGAGAGCTGAA